TTCTGTCTACGCTAGTAAAGGAGAAAGTGATTGATGCGACATGATTCAACTCATGTTGTCGATAGCATAGCGGGTTGGAACCTTGGCGGTGATCGTTGCAGACACGGGCCAATAACGCGAAGCACCGATTCACCGGCACGAACGTCGACATCAGAACAACGGTCAATCCTCCGAGCCGGACCGGACGAGAATAAATTTCTTGTCTCTTCAGAGTGCGCCAGCTGTGGACAAGACTTGTTCAATGACTGATATCATCGAAACGTAGAATACGAAAAGCAAAGAAGGAAACAAATCCAGCCCAGCTTTGGTACGCACACCAGCTGCCTTGATCCGTTGGAGCTGTTTACCGGATCAAGGATCTGGCTGATGGTGTTGCCGACCCCTGCTGGGCTGAGAAGACCCCGAAGACGCAGCGCCAATGGACGGGTGATGTGCTAGTGAGGCGATCCGACTTGACCGAGACTGGATGTCAGCCACGCGCACGCCAGGACAAAGTAGCCTACGCCCCTTCCACCTGGCGGCCCCCCGGGAGTGTTACTAGTTCGAGCACCCACGCCATCAGAGAGTGCGAGAGGCCACTCGGCGAAGGCGTTGGACGGCTGGCGGCATGGAGAACAACCTGCCCCTCTGCCACGGTTCCTGGCCACATAGATCCTTGCGTCCGCGATGAATATGGCTGAGAATGACAGAGCGGTGGTCTCCATGCTGGAGGCTGCCAATAGCCAACGAAGAACCGCAGAGCTGCTCTATCCAGCTCGTAAAATTGAGCAGCAACAGGGCGAGATGAGAAGTCGGTGCGGAAACAGAGCCATGTTGAACAAAGATGGCCCTGCGGACCAAGGCCAAGGCCTAGCCCCCCCCGTCCCATCGTATGCTGGGCCGTCCACACTTGAAACGGATATGCTATTTTGGCGGCCAAGGTACGCGGCGCGCTGTGGGGCACCTGGCACAATCTACTGAAGTCTTCTGGGAGTCTGCGTCTGCGTCTGCGTCTCTGCGCTTGCTTGAATGCTGTCTGTCCGTATCTCAGTCTGTCCTGCCTCTCATTGCTTCTCGGTTCTTGCATGGCTTCTTTAAGGTGTGCAGCGCCGCCAGCTGGCACAAGGTGCGGCACGTCTGCGACACACATAGGTACGCCGGATGCTGCCGCAGAGCCATTGGCAAAGCAGCAGTGTGGCGCCCATGAAGGACGGACGGGGGTGGTCTGGAGTTGAGGCCGCAAAAGGAGCCAAGCGCAGCGGGAGACTATTTGTTTCTGAGACCTGGCCGGACGATTGTTTGGCAGGAGAAGAGCCCCTCCGAAAGCTGGTCCCATGTGCCATCACCTTCCACTCTGCAGCTCCGATGCTGACTATTCGTCCACCGCGGAGGTGGATGAGGTGAGCTGCGCAGTCGAGACTTGGTCAGGGAAATTCTCTCGATACTATGCGTCGGTGACGAGTAGAGCCGTTTAGTAGTCTCCATAGCAAGAGTGCACTGGTATTCAGTAAGTAAGTTCAGCGTCAGTCCCACCCTCCCCCCAGGCCGCTGAGGGGGGGAAGCCACGATTGCGAGTAAGGTGACGAGTGTCAACCAGTTTCTTAGTCAGGGACGGGGGCCATGGACCACATTCGGATCCGGAGTGAAGGATTGACAGGAGCTAATACTGTATGTGCATCTTGACGCGGCTGGAACGAGACGAGTCTGGGGACGTAACCTTATTGTGCGCAGTCCAGCCAGTCACGGTCTTTTCTGGTCAGCGGTCTGACAAGCAGCGGAAGTTGGAATAGAGAGAAGGATATGAGGGTTTATGTCACACGGTCGAGAACCGAGAGAGCATGTGTAGGTAGGTTGGTTGGTTGGTCTCCGGATGATGTTGGTCTGATAGGAAAGCGAAGGTCGATACCTATCTGCCGAGCTTGGTATCGCGGCTGCTATCCTGGCCGTGGTGATTCGACAAATACCAAGAGACGGACCAGGCGTGCCAGGCAAGCCAGGCAAAAAGAAGGGCCAAAAGAAAAGACAAAAACAGAAAAAGACCAACCGTTGGACGCGCGAAGAAAGTGGAAGCGTGTGTAACAAGAACCTGTCGCTGCTGGCCGCCGTCGCCCACATTGCAACGCAGAGTGATGTAATCAAGAGAGGCGACGAGGGGCCCAGAGCACTTGGAGGACGAGGCAGGCACTCACTGGCAGGCGGGCAGCGAGTTGGGTGGGCCACACCCTTTCTCCCGGGTAGGTTCCAACTTGACCCATCCAGAAGCAACGGGACGCTAAGTATCAGTCACCGGCAAGGTTAGGCAAGTACCGAATAGACCCAGACATATCATCATAGCGCCTGACGGAGGAGGCGGCGGGGGGCGGGGCCAACGGCCCAGGGGAAGGGGGGGGGGGGGGGGGGGGGGGGCGGGGGGAGGAGAGGAGAGGAGAGGAGAGGGGGACAGGGGGAGGGAGAGAGGGGAGGGGTGTGGGCGGGGTGGGGGGGGGGGGGGGGGGGGGGGGGGGGGGGGGGGGGGGGGGGCGTCATCGAGTCAATGAGAAGGAGGGGGTAGGGTGTAGCTAGCTGAGGGGGGACTTTCTTCCTGGATGGCTTGGGATTTCTTAGCTGGAGATCCTCTGCAGCAACGACCAGCTGCCACTTCCGCACGAAAAGTACTCTGGACTTTGGACTCGGAGATTTACTCATCCTCATCGTGTCTTTCTACATGGGCAAAAGATGATGCCAATATGTCCAGAGCGCAATGAAAAGAATTTGCCCTTGTGTTTTATAAAAAGTTTATGGAAATGATTCCCGGCAGAAGAAAACCGGTCATTTGGTAAGAAAGAATCTTGTTCTTTTTATTCCTTACAAGTACTGGTTCTCCACGACGGGTGCAAAGTAACCGTACAAGCAGGCAAGGTAGATTAGGACTGGCAGAAAAACAAAAAGGCAGATCTCGTCCGTTTGATGTTCCCAACTGCCAACACCTTGTTTCTTTTTTAGTTTGGAGCCGGTTGAGAAGAACCTTATTACCTGACTGATGTCGACGGGCAGCTTTTATTACACTTTCTCCCCTATTACCTTATGTGCTTATCCCATCTCTACAGTTACCTTACTCTAACTCTGAGCAAACCGTCAATCCAACCAACACTGCTCATTAGTCACCCACTGCTGCCCAGACCAGCAAGGCAATCTCTCATACTTCTGTGACACACTTGCTTGTGCTCATCTCATCGCATTGAAAGAGTGAAGCACCTTATTTTGGCAAGGCTTTGTAGCCAGCGTCGCCCAAGGCCAACGGCCGATCTCAGTTCAGATGATTGTCAGCGTTTTCTGTAGGGTCCCTCTACTCCCTCCAAACGTCGAACGCTGGCTCCGTTCACCCTGGTTCAGCTGTCGCCTCTTGGGGAGGGCAAGATGGTCATTTATGGAGAGTATGGTATGGGGAATCCGGGTCTTGCTTTGTAGTGAGTAAAGTGTGACACGAGGGACTACGAGGCGGATTCTCTGCCTGTGCCCTGTGTCCTCGAGAGAAGTGGACAGTGAGCGAGAGGTCGAGGATGTGGCAGTGGGCACTAGCTTGACTAGAATCTGGGACTCGCAGGGTGCCCGTGGCCCCGTGCATCCGTGCCTCCGCGCCCTTGTTATTTCCTCCTCCCGGCACGCATGTACTTCATCCCGTTTCGCTGCAACGCCCACCTCATATTGAGATGGATCGATGTGGATGAGCCTAATACCAACGTCCATTCCTTGATCTTGGTCTCGCCCGCCACCTTGGACCTACCCGTTGAACATTGAACGTTCGACGCATCTCGCACACTCCTTCTTCACCTTTGGCAGAATTCAAATGGCTCCTTGAAAAGTACGGATTGCCAGCGGATACACCGCCAGGTCACGCCTCCATACCGCCGCGGTCACTTGGCACAAGCTCAGGTACTCTTCCCACCTTGTGAGAAGCAGCCGTCACGATTTGGCCATTTCCGGACTAGCGCACATGTGTACAATTGAGCTAGACAGGGATGACCCTGGTGTATTGTGTGCAGCGTGTCCAGGAAAAAGCAGCAATTCGAGCCATGAGCCATGAGCCTCGAGCCTTTTGAGCCTTTCTCCCTCTCTTGCGTTCCCTGAGAGCCCCCGGTTCCGTCTCTCCTACTGTGTAGGTAGGTGTGCCCTTTCTGACCACAATGAGACGCTGCGCGCCGCGGCCCAATTTTACACGGCTTCTTCCCTGCTGCAGACGCCATGTGAGGTTCTCTAGTGTACGAAGTATCGGGAGTGCTTGCGGTCGAGATTCTCTTTCACTAGTTACAGAGTATCAATGCAAGGGCAGCTGCCCCCCGCTACGTTGCCGTATTCGCAGCTTCTTCTCAGCGGGCAAGTCGGCTTTGTCTCCTGAACAGAAACAGGGACAACAATATAATTGGGTGGGGGGCAAGAGAAAGAAGGCAACAGCTGAAACGTGAATCGGAGAATGCGTGGGCGGGAAGAACTTGGACTTGAGGACCGTGTTGCTGGGACGTGGGGACCTGGAAGACAAGACGGCGTGCGAATAGGAATGACAAGAGTGTGACGGCAGAGTAGTTCAACTGGAAGTGGAAGCAGATGGGGGGAAAAGTAACAGGAATGAACCCCGACTTGCCCACTCGGGAAGCAAGACGAGAGGGCAAGGAACAAGAAGAAACGAGGCAAAGACAAATGAGGCTCGTCCCAAAAAGGTCGACGGATGGTCTACACCTATTCGTTTCGCACACTAGGCCTGGGTAGCCGTTCGTTCGTAGAGGGGAAAACTCGCCAGTGGGCCAATGTCTTGCGATGGCTGGACTTTAGAGAGACATTGGATTGCCGATTTGTATCGGGGTACCGAGGGGTTGTACCATGCTCCAAGAATGCGTGGCGTAACCATTGGAAGCCGGAGAAGTCGGCGACTGTTCACCAGCACCCGGCATGGAATGCAAAAAGAGTCTGTTGGTAGATGGTGCGAATAGCAGCTAATAGCTGTCATAGCTGGAGCGACGTGAAGGATTAGGGATGTCGAAATTCCTTTACATTCCTTCGTCTCTTGCATCGCGGATTGCCCGGGGCAAGTCCCTGGTAGTTGGTAACAGATGAGGTGCCGTGGCCAGTGGACGGTGGTGTAGCCGTGCCGGCTCTTACCGGCTTGCCTTGCCCTGCTCACCGGGTGATGTAAATCACTGACGAACGAGGCGCGTGACCGGGGTTTTGCGAGATGGTCCTCGCCATGGGACTTGTTCCTCCACGATCTGCTGGTGAGGCCTCATGGTGTTCGTCAGGTCGCAATGAGTTTGCCATTCTGACGAACCAACGGTCAGTATCCGTCCCAGTGGTTCGTACAGCTGAGTAGCTGGAGGGAGATGAACAGTACGGATACCGTACTTGTGACAGCCCCCAAAGCTGGATACCCTTTGGAATGGCCTCAGAGAGGAGAGAGAGAGAGAGAGAAAAAGAGAGAGGACCAAAGGCCCAGGGCAAGGCCAAGGCAAGGTACATCAGACATACGGGGTCCGGTATTGAGGTTAGCTCTGACCCTTGGCCCCGGCACTGACCTCTTCGGTCTGTCTGTACTTTGTACCGTCGGTTAGCACGGAGTGAAAGAAGCTCTCGAAGGTAAGATGAAGCAGATGAGGCGAGGACACCACCACACTCGCACCACGTCGTTCGTCGACGTCGTCGTTTCCGAGCCGCTGCTCAGATGCGCCTCAAGTGTGCGATCTGCAGCTTGCGTATTGGATGTATATGGACCGCAATCGTCCTGGTCAGTCGTCAGTTGCTTACCTACCCGTAGGGCCTGGGCTTAAGGTACGCATGGTCTAGAGTTGGCTGCCAAGTTGTATCGTGTTAGCACCCATGATACAGTCTGGCGGACGACGCTGACCGCTTCCCACACCGCTGTCGTGGTAGACTAGTACATGGCGACAGCTGTTGGCCTCTTCTTTTGCACCAGTACCAGCATCGGGAGATATTACCTCGAGAGTGTATGTCTCTGAACAAGGTGCAATGGGCGAGAGGGACGGTGAGATGGAGCAAAAGCGACAGAGACCCTGCTTGCTTGGTGGCATAGTGGACGAGTGGGAGATCGAGGCAGGCAGAGAATGTGCGTGGGGGGGGGGGGGGGGGGGCCCTAGAAGGGGGGGGGGGGGGGGGGGGGGGGGGGGGGGGGGAAGAGGGGAGGTGGACGTGCTTTGTTGGGGGGGGTGGGGGGGGGGGGGGGGTGGGGGGGGGAGGAGGAAGTGTGGGGTTTTTGGGAGGCTGGCCCCCCCCCCCCGCCGAAAAAACACACACCCCCCCCCCCCCCCCCCCCCCTTCCAGTCCACGTCCCAGTCCCTGCTCGTCTACTTTTCCCCTCCCAGCCAGTCCAGTCCCTCTCGAGGCGCGAAGGCAGAATTAAGAGGAAGAAAAAAAAAAAGGCCAACCGCCGCCGAAGGAAAGGAGGGAAGAAAAGGACCCCATTTTCTGCCAGGTGCCCACTTTGGCCCGCCTGGCTTCCCTTCCCTCCTCCCCCTACCTCTGGACTTGTATCTTGCCTGCCCGTCTTTCCTCGTCTGCTATGTTTTCCATCCTGCACAATCCATCGCGGGCCCGGGACCAGTCCAAATTCTGATGCCAATGCAGTCAGTGTTGGCGAGCAGGCGGATAGATGGCAGGTGGCGACTTCAAAATTGGGCTGCTGCGACTGTCTTTTCCATGCCGGTATTGCTGTGCAGCGCTTGGTGAAATGTGTACCTTTTCGTCCAAAGGTACCTTACTGCCCAAGGTACCTTGCGGGCTCCCTGCTCTCACCCTCAACTCAAGATTCACTCACACGGACTGCCTTGCCCTCAAGACCAACGGCATCCTCCCTCACCGGGACGAACGCCAACAACCATTTACGAGTAATAAAAAGACGGATACGAGAATAGACTAATATGAAATCGTTGTTCCGAGGAACTGTATAATAGAGGAGTGTCAAATAACTATGGATAAACGTCCAGCAGGACTCTCCCTCGTCGCCCAACCAGTGGCGGACCCTTGCACGTGAATAGAGGCATGGGTGGTAAGGTACCTCGTGCACCTCCCCAAGCTCACCGGTACCTGGCTCCTGCCTGCTGTTGCTGCTGCCCTGCCCTGCTCCTTGCCACAGCTACTTCCCACCTCCCACTTCACATTTTAATACACACCCCCTCCCTCTTGGTCTCTTGTCCAATCATCTCTCACCAAACCAAGCCATCCTCGTGTTGTCGCACGCCCTCCCCTCTCCACCTGCGCATCTCGCCGCCCTGCAGGCCCCATCCTCTCTTCTCTCAGTCCCGTCTTCTAAGGTACCCCGGCACCTCGTCCACAGTCACTCTCACAGTCTCACTCACATCCACCACCACCACCACCACAACACTCATCACTGCGCGCGCCCTCTTTCTCTCTTCGCCCTGCCTACCTGACCTATTGCCTACCTATCTGCTCCGACCTCCGTCCTCATCCTCGTCCACGTCCTCCCTCCCTCCCTTTCTTTCTACACACGACTACCCGGCCTCATCCTCCTCCTCCGGGTACTCCTCCTCATCAGTCGCCTGGTCGCCTCTCCCCTTGGAGAATGTTTGAATCCCCTCTCCTTCTCCTCTCTCACCTCGCTTGTCTGATTCACTCCAGAGAAAGGTGAACGAGCGTCCTCCCGCGATATAGGGCGATTACGACGACAGCATCCCACCTCCATTTCCTCGCCCATTTGTCGTTTCAGCCACCCCAGTCGACCGTCGAACACAGGCAAAAATAGGCTCCACGCTTAAAAAGGCGCCAATCCTGAGCCCACCAGAACCTAAATCAACTGGCACTGGTCGAGCAAAGCCCATCTCCAGAGGCTCCACCACGCCCAAGGATCCCGTCCTCTGCCGTAACCCATTGCTCACCTCACCCACGCACGCACACATACACACACCTCTCTGTCTCTCTCTCTTTCTCTTTCGCGCGCAACCATCTCTCCTGCCTCTTTTTCTCTTCCTCCAACACACTCCACACGAACGCTCCGTCGTTGTTGATGTGGTCTTCTCCTTTTCGTGAGCCTTTCATCAACCTCGCTGCGTTGTCTACCAAACCAGGGTTTGGTGACGCTTACAGAGACGATAAGTTTGTATTGCATAAGTTGCTACGCACAGCACCGTCCCGTTTTCGAAGATCCCCGGCTCGCTTTGTCTCGACCTGCGGCTGTCCACGCCCACCCTCCACTCTCTGGAATTTCCGCCGCTCCTGGACGGACACAACCGCAACCACAACAACCCACCACCGACAGCCACCTCACGTCGCGGCCACTTGCCCTTCACTCTTCTTTCTGATCGAGTCAACTGCATCTTCCTCTCTCAGCTTCATGTTACAGTGACTGGCGCAACATCTAAAGTCGTTGCCGCACAGGCGCTCGGGTCTATTCATCGACTCCGCGTAATCTTGGTTAACGAAAAAATAACACGAGACGAGACTGCCGAACCACCTTCGCTTGCCTCGTTATCCTTCTACCGACGCTCAACAACTCTTACACGCCTACGGACGACGAGGAAGATTTTGCTTTGTATCGCAATATCTTCTACGAAGGCTTTCCAATCGCTCACGACATCCGACTGGCTCCTTCATGCTTGTCGCAAGTCGTTAGGCACCCTGCAGATAGTCGACGGCTCCGTGCCTCCTTGTTGAGAACAAAACCAGACCAGCGCCACTCCTGACCTGTGGACCTCTTACTCGACCAAACTTAAACTCTGACCTCTATACAGCTCTGTTACCGGACCGCGGACCTCATCACAGCAGTCGATCGACGGTCCCTGGCCCCTTCCAGACCGAAGCTGTCGGTTCTGGGATTGTCGTAGGAGACTTGTGTAAAACCCGTGGAAAGCGGCCATGGCCGCAAACATGCAACACATGGCGGGAGCGGCGGGGATGATGCAGCAGCAGCAGCCGCGTCCCCGACCCTCCCAGGTTCAGTTGAACCAGTTTCTTTACCAGACTATGCTCGCCCAGCAACAGCCACACTCGGGCTGGCAAGCCGGCGTGGCCATTCAAGAGCGCATGATCAAGTGCCATAACTTGTACGTTGACCCGAATTCCACCCTCTAGTTTCTCGGTTTTTGCGCTGTGACTGATACGACGTCTTTCTTCTCCAGAATCACAAACATCGGCCTTGCCGTGACCAACATTGACTTCATGAAGGCGGCAGAAGTAGGCGTAAACTTTGAGCGCGATGCCTTTAACAAGTCGCAAGATAAGGTAAGGTTTCGCGCGGAGATTTCCACCCTGATTTCTCTTCCCCGGTATAGGAAAACCCTAACAAAAGAATGCAGGCCCAGTACGAGGCACAAATGAGCAACAAGACGAACGAATTCTTCCGACGACGACAGGCGAATGAGCAGAGCATGACGAACAACATGCAGGCCCAGGCAGCCGCCCAGGCTCAGCAACAGCTCATGATGAACCAGAACGCAGCCATGCAGAACCAGATGGGTCGAGGAATGGGCCAAAATCAACAGCAGGGTTTCCAGCATCTTCAGCACCAGATGCAGGCGTCGCAGATTCCTCAGCAGGCCCAAATGGGTGTCAACATGGGCAATCAGGGTGGCCAACCGATAGGGCCCAACCAGCAGATGTTCCAGATGCCCGGGGGACAGGCCCGACAACAGAACGGCATACCTACCGACGCTTCAAATCTTACACCCCACGACCAGCAAAAGGTGATGGAGCTCGCACAAAAGATGGCATCCGCCTGCCCCGATCCTCAGAAAAACCATTATCGCAACATTGTGCAGACCCGATTCGCACAACGGGCACAGGAATACACCGCTCAGGGCAAGGACCCGGTCTTAATTTGGTTCCAACACCAGGCCTTCCAAGGCCTGTCAAAGAACGCGGCCTTGGCCAGACAGCGACAGCAACAGGGTGGCATGCCGCCCAATATGAACCCCGCCCAAGCCCAGGCCATGATGCAGGCCGGCAGAGGACAAATCAACCCTGCGATGATGAACGCGGCAAACATGCAATCTGGCAACGGTGACTTTGGCCAGTTTACCATGGAGAGCATCATGAACCAGCAAAAGGCGGGTATACTAGCCCAGGAGCAAGGCCAGATGGTCGTTCCTGCAAGCAATGGCCCAGCGCGTAACGCTACACCGCAACCCATCGCTGGGGGCCAAGGTCAAGGAATGCCTAACCAATCCGGACAGAGCCAAACACCGCGACCGAATCAAGCTCAGCAACAATTGAGTATGCAGCAGGCCCAGCAACTGAAGATGGAGCAGCAGCAGTCGCAACATGCGGCGCAAATGCGTGCTCAACAGCAAGCCAGGCAGTTACAGGGGCAGCCAAACGGTCTCAATGGCGCTCCGCCATCTCAGAGCCCGGGCATGAACACTTTGAACACCCCCATGCGCCGCCCTCCCGGTGCCATGCCCATGGAAGGGCAAAACGGGGCACAGGCAAATGGTCCCTTTGCCGGTACTCTCGATCCCCGTTTCAACCAGGGAAACCAGAGGCCGATGGGCGCAGCGGGTAACATGAACCTGAACAATAACCCGGTTTTCCACAACATGATGGCAAGCATGAACCCCGAGCAGAGGCAGGCCGTCCACGGTCTGCCCCCGGACAAGTTGCATGAGGTCATGACGAAGTGGCAGGAGCAGCAGCGCAAGATGCAAATGAATGCCATGGGTAACCCGGGCCAAATGCAGGGTCGGCCAGGGCAGCTTGGACAATTCAACGTCGCCAACGGCAATCAATTCATGACCAACGGCATGATGCCTCAGCAAGCGCAGCCTGGAGCTCCTAACAACCAGCAGCAACTGATTGCGCAGCAACAACAGATGTTGAATAGATTGAGGAACCAACAAACACCTGTAGCCCCCGCTCACCAAGTCATGATGGACAGCATGGAGCTGCCGCCGCCAGTCCTCCACCAAGTAGGAAACCAGCTTCGCGCCCCTCCTGAAGTACGCAAGTGGAAAGATCTTCGGCAATGGCTCTCACAAAACCCCGTTCAGCCGCAGCTGCAACAACATCTTGAGAGAATTCAGAGATCGCAGTTCGCTACATACATGCAGAGGCAGATGGAAAAGCGCAATCAGCAGGCAGCACAGGCGGCGGCGGCGCAGCAGCAGCAGCAGCAGCAGCAACAGCAAACGCCGCAACCACAGCAGCCTCAATCTCAGCCGCCACAACAGGTTCCCCCTCAGGCCCAACCACAACAACTTGCGCAGCCGCCTCAGCAAGCCCAAGCCCAAGCCCAAACCCAGCCGAATGGCATGCAACCTGGCAACGGCGTGCAGAACCCGCAGGCACCCAACCAACCAGGCATGCCACCTGGTATGCCGAATATTCCAGCTCACATGATTCAGGTGACGCCAACTGATATCATGAACGCTCGCAAGGCGAACCCTAAGATTGCTAGCCTTACCGACGATCAGTTGAGACAGTTCATCATCCAGATTAAACAACGGCAGATGGCTGCCGCGATGCAGAAAGAGATGGCCATGCGCCAGGCTCAGTCACAAGGGCTAGCGGCCCCCGGAGGACAAAACGTTCCGGTGTCAGCACCTCAACCGCCTCAAATGCCGCAGCCCGGTCTACCAGCAAGTATCACCCCGACGCCTGCCCAAGCACTGCCGGCACCCCCGAAGCAACAAAGCGCTACTCCTGATCAGAAGGCTGTTGCCAACGTTGCGGCGCCAAGGAACAACAACCGTCCGGCCTCGAGCAACCAGGCGCAGCCTCCTAACCCCTCGCCTGCAACACTGCAAAAGAACCTCAAGCGCCCTAGCACTGACGAGCCTGCCGACGTCCCTCAGGCATCTCATCAAACCCAGAGACCTACTGCCGTACCGGGCCAGATGCGCCAGATTCCGAATTTCACCCCTGAGCAAATAGCGACCATGACTCCCGAACAGAAGGCCAAGTACGAGGCGATGAAGAGTCGCCAACAGGCAATGCAAGCTGCAAACCCGGGCATTGCCCCTACGGAGAACGACTTTGACAAGCTCAGGCGCATTGGCCAAGAAGAGCAGAGGTTAATGATGACGGCGGAGCACATGCCGGATATTCCTATGTCACCAGAGCAGCGTACAGAGACATGTGCCAAGCTCATGAAGATCGTAGTTGACATGGGCAAGATTGGAAAGGCCCTTGGTCGCTGGTATGCCGCAACTCGTGACGATACGCGCGCCAAGAGCTACTTCCGAGCTGTAAGTTGATAAGCATCGTCATATGCACTGGCCGTTTTTGCTAACATACTCCAGCGACTACGGATGATCAGGCAATTCACTGACGGCGAACATATGATGAACCCCAAGCCGGTTTTCAGTGTGAGGCCCGCCGAGATTGACGAGGTTCGTCGGCTCCTCGAGAGCATGGCGCGCGATTGCGCCAATCTCGGCAAGAAAGCTGGTGCCGTGCCACCTCAGCCAGGTCAACCCGCACCGCCGAACCAGGCTGGTGCCACCCCTGCTCAAGGCGGACAGGTGACGCCATTGAGTGCCGCCAACTTGGAGAAGCAGACGAAGGCTCTAAACAATATGCACCAGCGATCCAATAGCAAGAGCGGTGGTCCCCCAGCTGCACCCACGACAAGCCAACCTCCGTTCCCGTTCAACGCAACCTCTCCGCACGGCGATCCCACTTACATGGACCGGCCAAAGGTGAACAGGGACAACCTCAAACTACCGAACCCGCGGAAGAAGGCCAAGACGGGGGCACAGCCTACGCCGCCCCAGCAACCGAACCAGACCACCCCGTCGCCCCAGATCAGCAAGTCGGGCTCCCCAGAACTGAAAAGGCACGCCATGCCTGAACCGAAGGCACCGCCAAAACCGATGTTTTTGTGCCCCGAAACAGACTGCGAGATGGCGACAACAGGTTTCCCCTCAGAGCAGGCGCGACAGGCGCATATCCAAGAAGAACACGTTAAGCCTCTTGAAGACCCCATGAAGTTCATGCAAGAGAACTTGGCCCTCTCGTTGGGGTTGGACGTTAACGGTCAGGTGCCGGTGACTGCGCAACCAATGGGCCAGGACTCATCTAAACAGGGCCAAACACCGGCAAGCAACCCGGGTGCGACGCCAATGTCCCGAGATGCGTCGATGCAGCGTACAGGCAGCAAGATGGGAGCGAAAGCACAGGACAACAAGCTGGCGATTGGCAAGACAGACAGTACGCCAAAGATGGAGCACAAGCAACCCGAGATGGCTGTAGCACCGGCCCCGCCGATGGACGCCTGGGCCACAACGATCAACCCGCAGAGCCTATTCAACAACCTAGGCAAGTTCGAGCTTGGTGCCAACGGTGTCATTAGCGACATGGCTGTGTATCGGTCCCAGACGCCTAACGACACACCAGAGTCGAGCAAGGACAGCGGGTCATCGGAACCCAACAGCGATATTTCGGAGGGTGTCCATCTGGACATTGACCTCAACTGGCAACAAGTCGATGTGGACGTGCTTCTCGACATGAACAACATCAACATGGACGGTCTCGAGGGCCTACAAGACGGCGGGGCCGAGTTTGAGGGCCTGATGCTGGAGGAGGCGATGCCGATGGAACAGTTCCCCAACTGGGATGAAGTGACAAATGACTTCAACAAGCCGTTCCAGTTCGACAACAGCCTATACTCACTCGATGTCTCGTCGTCGATGTGAGTGACGGAGACTAGAGACTGAGTGAAGAAGAAGCAGAGGATGAAGAAGCGACCGAAAAAATGATGATGGGAGAGGCGGCTGCTGGATACCCCCGGAGAGAATTCCACGAATGACGACCAGCCGGTTCATTGGATGGGTGGGCAAGGTTAGCATTGGGAAAAGCAAGGGTTTGGCGTTCCTCGGGCAGGGTTGCAGACTGGCTCAGTGTGCAGGCTCTGAGTTGGTCTCTTTTGCAAGCGTTTGCGATTTTTGATATATGGAGATTACCTGAGCCGTCGTGGCATATGGACAACGGTTGTTGGCTCAGTGCATGGCCCTCGTTTTTTTGAGACGACGATGACTGTTATTTTTTTCTTTTCTTTCTCCCAGTCTTTTGAGGATTATTTCACTTGGAGAGACAGCTACTACGCGTTGTATGTATCGAGGGAGGCATTATTGTTTTAGTTACTTTCCTTGGCGATGACGAAAACGTCAGCGCGACTCTTGCAAGGGCGAGAGGAATGATACCCAAGTCTACAAAACGAGCGTGTGCCGCGGAACTGTGACATTGAGGCCTTTTGTGCTAAGGAATACAATGAGAAGCTTTAGTAACCTACAGAGAAGCCCATTGGCTCGAGGACGAGAAGAAGAGGATGGAGGGGGAGCCCGTGCCAAAAGTTATGCTGGTGCCAGCGACGCGTGGTGTTGGCAATTAACACGACTTGCAATGACCGGACGGGATCTTGAGATGGTCGGGGGAGGTGTCACGTCGATCCCAGCAGCGTGGACCCTGAACGGGCGTGCCCCCGGTACCTGCATGTCGTCTTGGTTAGCGCTAGACCAGATGCGATGGACGGTGGCTAGCGGACCCTTGTAAAGACACGCGCCTCTGGGGACTTTGCTGGTGTTGCCTTCCTTATGTAAGCCGCATTCTGGACCATTGAGTCCCCCAAACAGCGCCTCATTGCGCTGTAAGGTCCCTGAGTCTGTAGCAGTGCCTACCCGGGCCAGATGAAAGCAGTGGCGTGCGGGTGGGATGGACGCAGCAGGGGTACGCGACCAAGCTGCCAGCCACCAAACAGGGGGGAAAGGCCGCGATTTTGGGTGGTTCATTACTCTTCTTCTTCTTCTTTTTTTTTTCTTTTTTCAGGGTTCTTTCTTTTGGCAGGTCGGTAAGGTTACTTTTTACAGTGAGGTTCATGCAGTGAAGAAGAACCTGGAAGTGCACTACCTACCTATAGGTACTTCGCGGCTAGGTACGCGGTCAATCCTCAGCGTGCCTGAGACGCTACCTTTGGTACTTTTACATATTTCCCTCTCAGACAAACGACCAAGGTCCTCTTTACGCGTCTTGCCTGTGTGACCTGGGTCATTATCATATTGCACCCTAAGCCAGTCAACAACACGTTTGATTCCTCGCTCCTCCCCCCCCCCTTTTCCCCCTTGGTTAAAGGATATCTTGCGTGCTTGCTCACATTTCATACTTCTCCCTCGAATCCTCAAGGCCGACCCTGCTCTGCGACGTTGACACTGGATATCAAACATCAACAAATGTCGTGCTTTTATTTGTTTATTTAGGTGAAAAAAAAACGCACGGGCAGAGAGCAGTCCTGTCCAGTGGACTGGTTACGCATTTTTGTTGCTATAGCTGCACGCGGGCGAAAGTCGTTCTTCATTCGTTTACGGCTACGGCTCGCCCCAATTCCCAGCGCCAGCCACGAAACACGGTCCAGAGCTCGCTTGACAGTATTTTTGTAATTGGCAATTGAGTGGGAATAGCAACTTTCCCTCTCTTTCTCCCTCTATTTTCAGTGTCCCCCCCTCCGTGCCGCTTAGCTATCTTACCTTAAGGTACATTGGGCTTTAGCTAGACGCACCTGATCTGCCTCTCTCCAACCCTCCTCATCCCTCCCCTCCTCCACACCTCACCACACACTCAGGTCCCATCCCGTCAACACCTACCCACCTCCATTCACCACCACGAGGGTCCCGACCCCCCATCCTCCTCTCCCTCTCTTTCCCCCCCAATAACCTTGGCCTTTCTCGATCTTCAACGGTGGTACAGGAAGAACGAGAACAGAAAAGAAAACATACATACACGGTCTTTACACCCATCCACTCACGCACATTCACTACACAGATCATGAACCCCCCATCGCCGGCAAAGAGACGCGCCCTCGCGCCCCTGGACGCGAACGTGAACGCGATGTTGCCCACGAAGCTGCACAAACACTCCAAGCTGATGCAGCCCAGCTCGCCGCGCAAAAGCCCCGTCAAGGCTCTCAATCTCAAGAGGCCCCTCGCCGCCGTCGACATCTTTGACGAGAACGCCATCGGCCCCAACAAGAAGCACTGCCAGGAGCCCGCCTCTGCAGCGTCACTGCCTGTCACTGCTGCTGCTGCTGCTGCCGCCGCCGCCACCGCACCCGCATATGGACCTGAAGTTGCACCGGCACCTGCACAAGAGCTTGCTTTGGCATCGGAAGCTATTTCACCAGCCCTTGCTTCTGCATCCGGACCCGCACCAACTACCGCGCCCGCACAGACGGAGATGGACGTGGACGTTGAGCCCGACGCCATTGAGGTGAGATGAACCCCCGAAAAGTCGATGAACGGTATTTGCTGGAATCGGTATACTGATACGCTTGTCTTGCTCAACAGGACCAGAGCGAAGAATCAGAAGAGCAAAAACAAGACAGCGAACAACAACCACGACCCGAGATTCAGGGCGACGATGAACAGCAGGAACAGCAAGAAGATTCGCGGCACGAGACACCGCGAACCCGCTCCGTGTCCCCCGACACGTCGGCCGTGTTCGACACTTCCGCCATGGACACGTCCCAGAACACCACCATCCTCACCGAGCCCGACGCAGAGCAGGCTAGGACCCTGCCGCCGCCGAGGCCGAGAAGGTTATTGACCCGCGAGGAGGCGCGTCAGGTACGGACTGCCCCCAACCCTTCCACACGTCTCAGTACCACCCGGCTCGGGTGGTATTGGAGATGACATCCTGGGACGACGTTTGGAAAAACAAGATTGCTGACACTGATGGTCCGGTAATCCAGAAAGCCCAGATCCTGCGACTCAAGCTCGGGCTCGCAAACTACAAGCTTCAGACGGGACAGGAGAACGTGCCTCTCGATAGGCTGCAGGTGAAGCCGCGACCGGGGCAGCAGCAGCAGGAGACGAAGACGCAGACGCAGACGACGGAGAGGGCCCTGCCGAGGGTCACGGTACAGCCGCCTTCAAGCCGTGATGGGCCTCCCGAGAAAGAGGTTGGGGAGGTCGGGGAGACCAAGACCGCGAGGGAGTCTTCTGAACAACATCAGGAGTCTGAGGCCGAATTAGCGACGCAGCAGATACAGAAAGAGAGGGAAGCTCGGAATACGGGCAGCGTGCTGTCGCGTCTGGTGATGGGTGACATCAAGGCCGTGGACGACGATGAACCGACGAGGGCTGTTTCGGGTGGTGTCGTGAGCAGTCTGCTCAGCTTGGCGAGGGGGTCTTCTTCTTCTGTTTCTACTTCGTCATGACGCGTCGTCGGGGGGTGGGGAGCTTTGATTTGGGGGTTGGCGTGAAGGCGTTTGGCTTGCATTGCATTGCCGGTCGGCCCATCGTCGGTAGCAGGTTGCGTCGAACCTGTTTTATTTGCATCATGTCGTCGCAGCATACGGGTTGATGATACTACTGCTGCATTATCACGGACTCGCGAGGTGGGAGAGGGGGGCGGGCTTGATGCATCTGAAGTGGGATTGGAATACATCCCTCCGGATCGCCCCCCTTGAGAGGGAGGAGGGCTGATTCGTCTGAAAGTAATTGCTGGATATTGTATGCATCTCATGAAGGAAGATCTCCTAGTCCAGCCAAGATGCAGATAATTTGTCATTTTCGCTTGATGTCGAAAGCTACAACCTACAGCATGAGGTACGGCGTTAGGGGCGCCTTTTTTTTTTTTTTCATGAAAGCCAGAGCTAGAGCGAGAGCTAGAGCTGAAATGCTGGCGAATCTTTTATTTTATTTTCTTATGAAAAGTGGTGCAAAGTTGATTCCCCGTGTCGCTGCGGAACGAGTAAAAAAGCCTGCTTGTATGACTGAGGTGTGTGTGATGTCCCATGAGGTGAGGTACGGGTACCAGGTAACACGAAGTGTATTCATGGACGGAAGCGGGCAGGCCGGTCGGGACGGGACGGTCGCACAGCGGAGGTTGTCGAAGCGGGGCTTTCTGAAGGTTGGGTGGGGACCGGCGCTATGGGTTCGGTGCGGACGCAGACTCGGGAGTCGATTGTCTCCACTCTATTCATGGGGAATCGGCACATTTGACGTGATCCACATCGGTGGTCGGGTAGAGGCGTATATAACATGAGGTCAAGGCAGAGGACGGATGTTTAAGATAAGGGAATATGTTCATTGTGTTTGATGAGCGGTCTGGCCTGGAGACAGGCAACTCGTAAGTACCTTGGTAGGCTTAATACCTAATGTATCTTACCTTGCCAGATACGTAAGTGGCACGGGCAGGACAGCGAGGATCAATGGTAGTCGATGCATCAGGTCCAATAGAGGAGCAATAAATTGGTTGATGTAGCCGCCGATTCTACTTTTCCCTCAGTGAGCGAGCGGCGCCCTCTCCGCTGGTCAGGGAGGTGAGGATCAAATGGAGGACTTGCCTCTTTTCCTCGAGCCGGATATCAGTATCCATCGTCGCTTGCCTTTAAACAACGCGCTTAGAATAAATCATAACAAACAGACAGTGATAAAGGATTTTTTTTTTTTAAAGAAAAAAAAAAAGCCGCTATCTCTGAAGGGGGTACCTGCGACTAACGGCGCTGAAAAGTCGCATAATGTGGCAGACAACCAAGCCCGAAGCTTTGCTGCTCAACAATCAAAGTGGATGCCCCTGCTCAAATCTGTCAGATGCTTCTGTGAAGAGTCGTCGCTTGCTGACAGTATAGGCAAAGTCGCTGGTGCTTTTGTTTGCCTCAAACAATACTCATAGATGGAACACCCAGAGCTTCCCAGTACTTGGGACCACATTTGCAACGCGTTGTGAGAATTTTGTTGCCACTATTTTAGTATAGTCTCTCTTAAAGAACAGTCACTTTGCACCTTGGTCAACTGCGCTGCTCGTTCACCTGTTAGCAACGCTTGGCTCTTCCTTTGTCGAATTTGAGTAGAATCATGTGAGTTGGATCGTAGAATTACGCGGTTGTGTACTTGGTGTGTTTTGCTGTCGCTTGCGGTATGTATTGGAGGCAGCAGCACTTTGAATAGATATGTAAGATACCGATGCGTAAAGTAGGAAGAGTGTATGTCTGATGTAGAAGTGTTTTGATCAGTCGTGTACATATCTCTCGAGACTGAAGAAACGGGTCGAAACGGGTCTAGAAACATGCCCATGTAGCTAGGAGTGGGGGCCATCTGCCTCTCTCACCCTGTATTTCTCTATTGCGCATCTTAGTACGATCTAACAATCTATGTCAATGTTTTAACTCGATTCGAGGTCCACAGGTCTTTTATTTTGTAAAGTCATAGAGACGGCCGCACTTTCATGGTGCGTGACTTTTCGGTACGAGATGCTCATGATAACACACTGAGAGACATATGTATTCAGAGCTGAGCCCGTTACCAGAGGCAGACAGCGATGAAGACCCTCAACGAGCCGCATGGTACGTGGGGAGAGCATACCAACTTATCTACCTAAGTAAGCTTGATGATCTGTTGATTTGAGTGTGATTTGACTTGACGAGATAGGCCTAGAAGTCGTTGGGCGGCTTGAATTACGTTTTAAGCAAGTCTCGGGGGACAGTAAATGGCCAGCGGCATGTGTACACGCGGCTTAGGAGGGCCGCAGTGCTTCACTCTACGTCCGGCCGGACCTCTTGTTGGCGATGGTACGTCTGTAAATAGTATGAGGGTTTCTCAAAAGTCTCACACCTCCATCTGATCTTTACGTTCGGCGGCTATCACAGAAGCACGTTCAAGACACAAGATCTTTATCATACTACATCACCGCAAGATGAAAGCGAACATTCCTTCTTGCGATATGGGAAGCGCAGATCGACAGACTTTGTGTGCTGTGAATTGATCCGATTTGTGAGACAATTTCATGTTCGTTCACATTGTATTACTTGGGCGACAGATTCGACGTTTTGGATTATCGAGTGATTTTTTTCTGAGTAATGGCTGTGCGCTGGTGGTTTCCCTTATGAGCTGCCCTTGATACACGCGTCGACAGAGCGTTAACTCTCAGTATTTTGAGAGTGTATGAGCAGGTACCTAATTCAAGAAATTGCCACAATGTGTTCCTTTCATGCAAGATACCCGCCGGTGTTCGTTGTTTTGGTCGTTTTTTGAACTCGTCATTCTCGGAAACACTTTTCTCTGTAAATCAGACGGGTCTGTCAGTCAATGGTGTAGCAGTCTGATAGGACAGGCTTCTCCTCGGTTACACCGTTACAATAGACTGAAAATGACATCGTTGTGTTGAGATACAACCAGCTCGAAAGAAACAACGAGCGGGATATCAACGTGCGTTCTGGGTCTCGTCATCACGGGCAGCATCTTTTGTTGGGGCAATGTAGGCGGACACGCGGCTTGGACAAATGGCATCCATTAAAGCAGTCCATCTCTGAAACCCGTCGCATTTCTGGTCGTGTCCCCAGTTATATTCCTGATCGGGTACTCCGGAGAGGTTAGTGAGTTAAAGCTGGAGGCGTAGAGTAGTTGTTTGTCGGATACCTGCTAGAAGACACCGTGCCGTCGCACGTGGTGACGTCTCTTATGATGACGAAGTGAGCTTGTGCTCTTTCATTGATTATTACACTATAACGCCAGCGGTTGGGAGCTGGAAAACTTGAAACGGGCTTATGGCAAGGTAGATAATTCAGCATCTGCCGTCCTCAAATATAAAGTATGTACTCAAGTTTAATGTGGTGGCAATAATTAACCGCGTGTGGCAGAAGAGGCGCCATCGGTCATGTGGTCCCTCTATCACATGGAACTCATTCATTACGTGTGATTCAAGCCATATTTTGCCATCATGTCATCTTCGCAACCTCTTCCATATTTGACAGTTTGACAAGCAGGAGGAGCCCCACAATCATCTGCTCGGGGATCGGTTTAGGGATGGTGTTTCAGTTCGAAGGTACCTGAGGTCATAATGATCTTCAAGTCAATAAAGCTCGCTACGGATAAGCAACGTGCTAGAAGACACAATGCGAAAGGGAGGCAACCGCTCCAGGCAGGTACGGCATCGTTAGTTGATGAGGAAAAGTGGGACGAGGACATTGATTGAAGAAGTCAAACTTTTGAAAGCGTAAGTGTGAGAAGCTGCGAAAGGCAAGACAGAACATGGAAGGAACTGGGATGGTCAATATGATGAGAGAAACCTAATTGGAGAATTACTCCGAGTCCCGGGGATTTGTATTCGGGACTGCTCGCCGAAGGCAAGGCCCAGCGTCCTCCGAAGCCCGGATGCCCCACTCCGGGGACGGCGGCGGCGGCGGCATCACAAATCTAACTCATCCGTTATTCGTGCAATTCGCATTATGCGCGCTTTGTCGCATACATTTGATTTTAAAGTAGGTGGGCATTTGTTGAATGGCTTGGGAGAAAGCTAGATGATACCAGCTGTCAAGGGAAAGACCTTGGAGCTGAGATCCATCGCGCTGTGACGATACGCACATCCCCTCAGAAGTCTGGCATGTCATCTCGCAACCATCATATCCTCATCTTGAATATACTAGAACTCCTTATTCTGGTACCATAGACATTCGTTCCTTCCTGTCGAGTACCGGCGGAAGCCGAAAGAGGAGGTGGGGGCGATTGTAGTGTATCAGAACGATCTCCAACTCCGGACCGGTGACGACGTGTCGTTTGAGCTATTAGCTCAAGGGACTTTGAGCGGAAGGTATGCAATGAAAGCAGAAAGAGAAAGGTGAGATCTGAAGCTGCGCATCCAGGACGGCGTGAGACTGGTCCTCAAGCTCTCCGCCGCAGTCATGGACTCCACGCCCTTCAACAAGACGGCTGGTGGACCCGTGACGGTGTCATACCTTACCTCCGATCGCTGCGCTTCCCTCACCAGAAAGTTGTCATCAGGACCCACCAAGCCCAGGCACCAATCAAAGTCTCTGACAGAGGCGGCACACGGTAGCAATGTACTGCACTAACAGTGCACATCGCCGCCTTGGATCGGAGCACGTCGACGACTTTGAGAAGAGCGTTCTTTGTGATTAAAATCGGAGTTGCATTATATGCTTTTACAGATGGTGCGTTGCGTACCTGGACATGTGCGCAGTTGCTGCGCCGCAGCGTCGCGTGGTGTCGGACCGAGCTCTAGGTGCCTGGCTAGGGTACATAGTCCAGAATTTGTCAAAAGTTAAGAAAGCCCCTGTAGCCAAGTGGTGAAGGCGCCGTTCTTATAATTACATAATCAATGTGAGAAATGCGGAGGTCGTGAGTTCGATCCTCACCAGGAGCAAATTTTTGGAAACCTGTCCAAGTTTGATTTTATTGTTTGTTCTCTGGCACGTAATGAGCTGGGCAATTAACACGGCAAGCAAGGAATGACTTGCTTGGTTGGGTTTTGTCGGCAATCTACTGACTCTATCTACTCAGGCCTGCCTGACTGACTGTGCTCTTCCGAAGTTTGACAGAAGGGAGACGAGGCATAGATAGAGCCTGTTGCTCCGACCAGACTGGGATACGAAATGTCCTTTAGTACTTTGGGCCTTATTACGGTGAGTCTGTTCTATCATCGATCGGCTGGCTGAGTGAGAATGAAGAAGCCTGGCTTTTGCTCACATTACGGGACTGCTCTCATCAACGCGGTCTCTTCCAACTCTTCGATTCATGCAAAAGCCGCGAAGGGGAGGAAGCGAGGGACGAATATGCAATGTTGAAGAGATACGAGGTCTCTCTTACTACAGAGGGTGAAGCATTTAGCTTATTGCATGGGAGGGGATTGAATACTAGCGGGGTCTTCTTGTCTCTCTCATGCGCTCAAGTCTCAACCTCGTGCTCAACTCCAAACAAGGGACATCCATCCTGGCAGCCTGCTGAAGGGGCCGGAAAAGCTCAATCCCACGAAGCAGTTCCAAGAAGCTTGACAGTTAGACCAATCTATGTGGACTAGTCGATGCGGGTTCTCCGTTCTACACTACTAGGCTTCGATCGCAGTCCATGATTATTGAACAGACCATCGAGCCAGGTTGGCCTAGAAGTAAGTGTTCCATGACTCGGGGAGGAAGGCTTGTCCAAACGCCCGCTGGAAATAACCTTTTGCCATCGTCTAGGGATCCTTGGGAGAGGAGAGGCGAGGATGAGGAGTAAGTCTTCCGACATGGCTCGACAGCATAGATTAGTGGGAGGCTGCATTGTTCTACTAGTATAAAGGCATGATGCTACGATGCACTGTCTGATGTAGGTGAAAGCAGGACGTTGCCCCTTTGAAGGTATGGTCGAACACGAGGTCGAGAGACTCACTCGCCTCTGATGAATTTCTCTGTTGACGACAATTCAAAGCACATACAAAATACCCCAATAGGTCCCACGTGTCGAAAACCCATGACCATGACGTCTTCTGAACAAACTCGGAGTGACATGCTGCAGAGCAAAAGCCTGAGCTAATAAGGGAAACGAGGGACCCAAGTTGCGAAAAGCGTCGCGACGACAGACTTCGTGTTCGCATCACGCTGAGTTCTGTCACCCACTTTAAGCTTATCCCTAATTTGTAAAGCTAGAGAGTTTCTTCAACGTCCTGCAGTTTGTGATTATTGAAATAGTCGAATCAATCCTGTTCCCTCAGAAATGAGTCCATCACGTTAGGGCAAGGAACCACAAACAGACATGGCCGGGTTCTCATGCCCACAACACACTCAGCAGTCGTTTCATACCGCCCGGCCACCCGACTACTGGAGGTCATCTACCGCTCACCTGACGAAGTGGCGTTGATGTGTGTGAGAAGAAAGACGTAAAAATTGAATCAGAAAGAAGGGTAAAAAAAAGTAAAAGTAAACGGCTGTTAGTGAAGCAGCAAGTGTCGGAGGCAAAAGAATTGACCAGCCTGGGGGTCGAACCCAGAATCTCCTGATTACACGTTCCTGTGAGGGAGTCGTAGTCAGACGCCTTGCCATTGGGCCAACCGGCCACTGAACGACCGAAGAAGTCGAAGGAGTGGAAGCCCGATGCTTGGAAACTTCCATTGCAGAATCTGCTTGTATTCTGTAGTGCGCGGGGTGCGGGTTTAATGGGTCGGTGAAATTTCTTCTTCATGCGCGGGAGAAGGGGGGGCGAAGTAGCTAATTCGGTGGGGATGTACGTACGACATGGTGAAAGAGAAAGCAGGTGAAAGGGAAAAAGTGGACTTACCTCGTGGACAGTGGGCTCAGACAGGGAAAGCTTCATTTGACCGTGTCGAATCGTGGAAATGAGATATTGATTGGTTGTCGGTGTCCAGTGCCACCGGGTGGAGTGGCCGGAACACTCGGACTCGAGTCGGGAGTTGGGCCAAAATATCAGGGCGACTTGCAAAGTTACGAGGGGGGACTTGAGGTGGGAACCACGAAGAGGAACAGACCAGCATGAGGTTGACCGTGTGCCGAGCTGCGCTTGCTGGCCAAGTTTTTGTTGGACTCGATTTCAGCCATTCGGAAAACCTCACGAGAGAGGGTTGCATTCAATCTGTCGATCAGGGCGCCGGAGAGATTGGGTCCCGTCGCTCTTAAACTTGGCCTTGCATGGTGATTAGGGAGCGAGGGGGTGAGGAAAGAAGTTGGGATGGCCACAACGCATATAGAATATGGCCTGCATATCCGTCGGTGGTGGTGTGGTGGTGGGCAGGGACCATAGTGAAACATGTTTCCTTGGGTCCAACCCATGAAACGGGGCAAAAGGATTCCTTGATGAGAGCCGCGGCATCATAGCGCCAAAACATTGATCTCACAGCCGCATCACCATCTGTGATCATGTGGGAAACATCTTTGACCACTCACAGTCACCGCGACGAAGGAGAACCCAAAAGATGGGAATAAACGTCTGACGCTTGGATTGCTCGTTGTGGCTATGTCTGCACCTCCGCACTCCGGCCACAACCCCTAACTCATCCAGACGTCTCAATTACAGCCCGAGACTGCTTTTGAGCCATGAGGACGAGCCCACGGACTGACCACCGCTGAAAAAGGGTCTCCAAGGGGATTTGGGTTGCCCACTTCTTATACGGCTGAACCTTTTTGCCACCATATGTGTTTGGCCCTGTGAAATCGCCATTACTGCGCATTGTCGTAAACCTCGTGAACCGGATCAAGCAACCAGCACCAGTGCTGATTTTCTATCCATTAACCTCTCCGACCACAGCTAACTGAGAAATAACTCAGCTACCGTTATTCTTGCCCTAAGCTGCGGGAATCGCAGGAGCAACAGGGGCAGGCGCGACGGCAGCCGGCTGAGCGGGGGTAATGGGCTTGGCGGCGGCGGCGGCGGGTGGAGGGTTGGCGGCGGGCGCGGCGGCAGGAGCCTTGGGGGCAGCGGCAGGGGGAGCGGCGGCAGGAGGAGCAGCAGCAGGAGGAGCAGCAGCAGGAGGAGCGTTGCCCTTGCCCTTAGCAGCAGCACCACCGGCGGGAGCAGCGGGAGCAGCGGCACCCTTACCCTTGCCGGCGGCAGGGGCAGCGGGAGCGGCAGCCTTCTTCTTAGCGGCACCGGCGGCGGGAGCAGCGGCCTTGCCCTTAGCCTTTGCGGGAGCAGCGGCCTTGGCCTTCTTCGCAGCCTTCTTGGCCTTCTTAGCCTTCTTCGCCTTCTTGCCCTTCTTACCCTTCTTGCCCTTCTTGCCCTTCTTCTTCTTAAGCTGGCGGGCCCTCAGGGGGACAGCATTCTCCTCGACCTCAATGTCGGCGATCACACCGCTGGTGGTCTCGACGCCGGCGAAGGAGGGGACGGAGATGTCGCGAGCCTCCTTGCGCTCCTCGCGGTCCTCCAAGTGTTGATCATAGTTGTTTTGATAACTGCGGGAGTTAGCCAACGACTACTACAAAGGGTATATTCAATGACCTACCTGACAGCCCTGCTATCGATATCGGCGGGAGCACTGCTGACGCTAACGATCGTCGAGGCGAGAAGGAATCCGAATGTAAGGAATCTCATTTTGATGGACTGAAGTGAACCGAAATGGATGAAATATTAGATTGTTCTGTGTGAATGTTGAACCGAAGTTACCGTTTCCAAGGGAATGTCTGTATTAAATTTGATACTGTGAGGCCTGCCGTCGATCCGGACAATTTTTCTCCTTGAGCAGAGGAATCAGCCAGATCTTTATGTACTCACTCGCCTTTCGTCCCAAATCAGGGTCCCCAATTCGACTATGTGGCGTGAGGCGGAACATGTCGAGACAATGTGGCCGAGGGTGCCTGAAACCAATCTAGCAGGACAGATGTCAATGTGCTAGGCGCTGAGCCACCACCCATGGACCAAGAGATAATTGCAGATATTCCCATCCGCATCGCAATCAGCATGGCAATAGCGTTGAGTCAGGCCAACCGCAGAGAGTGGTTTCGGGACTCGGTCCGTCGTCGTCCCAAGTCCCTTACATCCAGACCTTCAAAAGGGTAAGGTGCTCGAGGCAACCGAAACTCTGTTCCCTCGTCCGATGTCTTCAGTCCCACAACCTTTTCGTGCCATGCCGCGCGAACCAGGGCCACCCACAGACTTTGTAAGGTTATTCATGCTTGATTCGGAACTAAAAGGTCGCCCCTTACCAGTCTCAGGAATAAGCATTGGGGATCCGGCGAGAATTCCACACGATTAACCACCACCGTGGGTGACCTGCCTGGCTCGTGCCCCCCCTCCAATCCCTCGTCGCATTTTCACGTTTGAGGTCGGAAAACTTTGTTGAATCCCCCTGATCCCTTTGGTGATGTGGTTGGGCCGGAGCTGCAGAACACAGCAAGGGAGGCGAGCAAGGTCAAACCGCCTCAAACCGCCTCGCTTCGTTCCACCCTGCTCGTCGTCTTCTCGACACCATTCGTTACATGGTTACCCACGACTCAATCCGAAAATGATGAGATTCGATAGGCTGGTGGATTAAACGCTTCCCAAGTAGGATTACGCATCTTTCTTGACGTTCTCGAGAACTGCTGATATGCACAATTGACAAATGACCAGGGCATGGCGACGGGGGAAAAAAAAAAAGAAGCATACAACTGTAAATTTGACAGCCCCTTGTCCTTGAACTCTGATTCAGCTCCGGATATCGTGTCCACCGAGAAGATTCAAGGAAATCCGCGATGCGAGTGAATAGACTTAGGTACAGCATGCCGTCGTCGGTGTTCGTTTGCCAGTCAAGCTTTTTGACACGGCGCTTAGAAGCCGAAGAGCCGTACAGCTTCAAGTAGCAGATGCAGCCACAAAGCTGCCGAAATGCTGAACCACTGATCCAGACAGGAAATCGAACGTCGTGTGGGCTGGGTAACTCGCGCGATCCGCAGATCCCACCCCGCGGGGAAGAAAAGGGGGCCCAATCGTGGGCGTTCGGGCCCCGGGCTAGTATCAGAAGCGCGGTAGTGTGTAGGAGAAACCCGGTAAACGGCTTTGCGCTCAGCCCAGAGAGGCCCCTTGCCGCAAGAAAGCCTGGACCGCACCACGCAAAACCTCGACTGGGCTGTGTTCTCTTGGAGTATCACATGAGTCGATGTCGAGAGGTCAAGAAATGCACCGGCTAGGGCCGAGGCGTCCAGGGCGAGGAGGCCCTGGAGGCTGAGGAACCGATGCCTTCCAAGGAATCTGCAGATCTCCTGTTCCATAATCTTTCTCGCGCCTGATATCGGTTGCATGTTGGTCACAACTCTTGGCATCCCCGGATCCCTGGATCCATCGCAGATCAATTGGTAGGTATTTGGAAAGAATCGTTCGCAACTTGAGACACAGGCCACACTGCGGCCCCTCGGGTCCTATTTTGGAAGTTTTAGACATGAGCCGCTTGATTCAGAGACAAGTTTTACCGGAGTCGTGGGCACTCTGGGAGACGAAGTGAGCCATGTCGCAGCCGAGTCCCAAGAGGTAACCCAATCGCTCCCACCGGGACGACGAACGATTTCCGCTCGAGACCCATTTCAGGAATCCTGCACCGTCTGTTGATGAGTCCAGTCAGTTTGACAACGTCCATGAGGCAATTGATAACGAGGGCGGCATGGACTGATGTGGCCGGGGACGGCGACTTTCGCTCGTGGTGGCTGTCCAGCAGGCAAAACAGTGCCCGCCTCGTCGCAAATCTTTCCGAATGAAGAAGGGCAGTCATCTGACTGGTTCCAGAAGTTGAGAAGGCAGAGGCCATCCCGAATATGTAGTCGAAACTTTCCCAATAAACCCTCTGGCATCCCAACGCCTGGAAATTGATGCGCATAACGGCCGAACGTTCCTGTAAAGTGTCGTTCACATGAGGGAGTGTGTTCGGGTGCGGGCGGAGCCACAACGCAGACTGGACATGAAAGACAAAGCGGCCTGCCAGATAGCACAAGCTGACGTGAGAAATAACCGCCATCAGACGAGGTCGTCATTTGGGCGCGTCGTGATGTTGAAGTGGGATTATGCTCCGCTTCTTCCGTCGTGCTCCGTAGGGTTCCGGGAGAAGCTGACAGCTGCAGTGGCTGAAATTACCTTAACTTACGTTGGCTGGAGGTTCAGATGGATACAAATATGAAAAGGCAAAAGAAACTCAATTATTGCAGATTTATCAGCAAGCATTCTCGTGGCAACTTAAATTGCGCGTAATGGGCCACAAAGGGCCCGGTGCAGTCCGTCATGATAGAGTTGGGAGGTTAACCTTAGATTGAGAGCTTCTTTTTGCATAATTGATGACGGCTTCCCATGTTCTTATCCACGAGTTGCCACGTTATCTTATCTTATCTGAGGTGGTGGTAGCTTCAGATACTATGCTTACAAGATATATTCTTTCTAGTAGAATATGACCTTTCTATATGTATCTATACATACTTCACTCCATCCGATCCAGTAAAAATGCACAAATCCGAGTCTGCCCCATCTTCGCGTCCACGTTGACCACCTCACTGTCGTGATGCAGTGCACATATTCTTCAACAATGTGACACAGCCAAGCAACCTCCGATCGGTTCTTCACTACCACGCCGTCTGCCAACGAGCCACACACATCACCACACACACCTACCAGGAGACAAGCAATTGAGGTCGCGAGTCGCTGCCCGTGTGCGTCACTATGCCCGGCGACGAGGGAGCTGTTGCAGCTTCAGCATCCGCGGCGTCAGGGCCAGGAGGAACAGAAGGACAGACAACCACACCGCCGCTCGACGCCAAGATCAACGCCGCCGATGGCCGTTCCTACTGGCAGGGCATCGACGCCGACGTGAACGGTATGCTGGGCGGCTTCCCCTACATCAGCAAGGTCGACCTGCAGGGCTCGCGCAACTTTCTCGCCAAACTGGGCATTGGTTCGAAGAGCGGTCTGCGGACGGTGAGCCGTGCTCTGGAAGGCGGGGCCGGGTGAGTTTTTCTTTGCGACTTTCTTCTCTCCCGTCCGGTGTACCCGTACATTGGACATGGCTTGCGTCTGATTTTCAAACTCGACCTCGCAAACTTCAAACACGCCCCCCGGCGTTTCTCACCGCTATCTCAACTCACCGCCTCCTATTTTTTTTTTCCTCTTTACCTCCTTCTGCAGTTACTCATGCTCGGGTTCCTCCATTCTCTGTCTCACTTCCACCCTCTACCTACCCTTACCCACCGCCACCGCAACACTGCACGAGCGGGCCGAGCTAATGATTTGCCTCTCTTGACCCGTTTCTTCAATCCTTGTCTCTCTTTTGCCTCCCATATCGGAACCTCTCACCGTGGTGTAGTGTACTCCGTACGGAAACTTGATGCAACATCCCTGTCTCCCCGGTTCAAGTCTCCGTGTCATGCAGACCCCTGCTAACCCCCAACCCCCAGCATCGGCCGTATCACAGAGGGGTTCCTCCTCGATGTAGCCGAACAAGTCGACATTGTCGAACCCATCGCAAAGTTCACCGCCGCTCTTCAGGAGAAATCTGGTGTCGGCTCTATTTTCAACATTGGCCTCGAGGAGTGGACACCACTTGATGGCACCGCCTACGACCTCGTGTGGAACCAGTGGTGTCTCGGACATCTCACTGATGACCAGCTCGTAGCCTACCTGCGTCGTTGCAAGGCTGTTGTTGCCCCCAACGACGGCCTCATCATCGTCAAGGAAAACCTGAGCACTAGTGGCGTCGATCTTTTCGACGACGTTGACAGCAGTGTGACAAGGTGAGTTTAGTTCCAACACTTGTCACCTTCCTTGCCGATTTCCTACCCTAATCGTTTGTCGCCAACCTCTGCTGCCAACCGTCGTCTTATTGGAAATTTCCGCCGCCTTCCCGGTCTTCTTTCATTGTCAATAGCCCACGTCAATGGACGGCCTGGGGCGCATGCAAGACACTTGCATATACATACACATATACACATACATACATATACAGAACACTGACGCAAGGCAAAACGCAAAAAAGGGTGGATGACAAGTTCCGCGCCCTCTTTGAGCAAGCGGGTCTCCACCTCGTCAAGACGGAGCTGCAGCACGGCTTTCCCAAGGATCTGTTCCCGGTACGTATGTATGCACTCAAGTAGCGGGCTGGGAAAACCAGCAGTGGCACGGGATAGCGGCGGCGGCGGCGGCGGCGGCAAACCATGGATCCGGGGCTCATCGCCGGGAGACTAGGGGTCCTGGGGGCCAGCTGGATGGGCTAGACTAGGCCCAGATTAACCCCAAAAACACAATCCCGCAAATCGTTTCCCCCCCCCTCCCCCTCCCCCTCCCCCTGGCTGCCTAGCTATGGAAATGGGATGACATGGCGGCTCGGGCTCCGATCTACTGCACGATGCGGCAGGCCCCCGGTCGTTCGTTCATGGGGAGCCACTTTAATTCTCCGATCTCAGAAAACCGGGACTGCGAGAAAGCGAGAAAGCGAGAGAGAGAGCAAGGGAAGGAGACACACACCCAGCAAGACGGCGATACCATGTCCGCACGAGTCCTGGATGTATGAGTACATGACCCGCGACCGGCCTGCCACGTCGGTGTTGCAGATGCAGCAGATAGGCGACAACGGACGACAGGTGTGGGTGTGGTGGGCGTATACGGGACCGTCAGGTTCGTTGGGTTCGACTGGGCCTCTCCCCTCGCTGGGTTACATGCCTCTTACCTTTATGCATATACACTAGCGATGTCGGACGTCACTAGCTGCGCCTCTGCCCACGCCGCTGTCATACGTCCCGCGATGGATGCAAAGGTGTACAGCCAGTAAGCCATGCAGTGCAAACGCAGCACGGAGCTGAGACTTGAGAGGCATTGGTGCCCAAAATAAAAGGAAAGGTCTGTCGCGTATCCCATCCCCTGTCTCCCATCCATACATGGACCGGAACGGTGTAAAAGTGAGGCGAACTTGCTGCATGCTGCAGTCCTATATACAATACGAAGTGCACATCACCAACTCGATTGGCAAAAAGACATGAGTCAAAGGGTTCATTTCTAAGTAAACCGCCAACAATATTATCGTGAAGCGCAGAAAGCGCAGGTCTGCTTGTGCAGGGTGGTTAGTGAGGCCTTGGGCCTGTCATCGACAACGCACTCTGCTTCCGGGTGAAGCTATCGTCGTCCACATTCGTGAGAAATCTGGCCATTGACATGTCACGATACCGAAGTAGCATGGTTCTTCAGCAATTGCCAACAAAAGCGCGGCAAACACGGCGAAAGAGAGAGAGAGAGAGAGAGAGAGAGACAGAGAGACATGGAGAGAAAGAGCGGCGTCGTATGCTTCATTGCCGTCATCAACACACCCTGCCATCATCGTCTTGCCTTCCTGGCTTCCTTTCGAGTTGCGGTCTTAGAAACCTCGGCTATCCATTCATCCAGCCCCTCAAGTCTCATAGCTCTTGTCCCATCATGGGAGTATCGTGAAGGACGCTTCGTATCTGATGCAGCTACATGACACATACCCCCCCTCCCTTGCTCATCAGACTACATCAGTGAAATCGTGGCCACGATACATGCCACCTACCAGCCCATGGTGAACCCTTCAAGCCTGGTCCCATTCTCCCTGGACCCCTAGAGCTTAAACTCAAACGGCTCCAGACCCCTGGCACCAACATCGACGCGGAACAACGCGCCCCCAAGCTCCCTCTGCTCCTCCGTCCCCTCACCCTCGCCAAGCTGCGCTGTCGTGATGAACAGCGCAGTGCCGACGAACTGCACACAGCTCGTAGCCAGCGTTGGCACTTGCACCTCGCCGACGAGCTCGCCCGCCGGCGAGATCTTGAGCACGCGACCCTCGCCGTAGACGGCGTGCCACAGATTTCCCTCCGTGTCGACGCGGAAGCCGTCGGGCTCGCCCTTGCCGTCGTGGGCGTAAAAGACGCGCTTGTTGGAGAGCGCGCCCCCGTCTGTGGCATCGTAGTCCCACGCGTAGACTTTGCGGTCGGTGGAGTGCGTAAAGTACATGGTCTTGTTGTCCGGGGACCATCCCACCGAGTTGGGGATCAAAATGTCCTTGAGGACTTGTTCGTTGCCCGACTTTCCGTCGAAACGGTGCAGTGCGCCTAAGAGAGGGGGGAGTCGGTGACCCCGACGAGTGAGCTCATGTTTCTACAAGGTTTCCTGTTGCATGTTGGTGTAGTTGAGAGAGTGATGCGGTGAGAGGCTTGTTGTCATGACGACGGGGCAATGAGTGAGTGGGAGGCGCAGTGTCATGAGTGAGTGAGTGAGTGACAAGGGTCCCGTCATGATTGACCGACAAAACCACGCTCCCCCAAAGCCAAAAGAACGAACCCGAACGGGATATTACGCAATGCATACCTTCGACCTGGAGATCGCCCAGTCCGAAATCCGTCATGGTACCAAGCCAGAACCGCCCGTTGGGGTCGACGGCGCCGTCGTTGGTCCTCAGCCTCTCGTTGTCCAGGTCGTGCAGCTTGGCGACGTATTCGTAGGCACCCGACCGGACATCGAGTACGGCGATGCCGTACTTGAGGCCTACCAGGATCTTGTCCGCCGGGTCGACGCCCGCGATGTCGGCGGTCACGCCGACGGGCACATCGAGCTGCACCGTCCGCAGGGACGCGGGCCCCTGCGCGAGGTCGACAAAATGGACACTCTTCTTCTTGATGTCGACGAAGCGCAGGACGTTGGTCGCCTTTTCGTAGTAAGGCCCTTCGCCCAGGCCGCAGTGTATGTTTAGGTACGGCTTGTCGACCGTCCATGTCTGGAGAGGCGCCATTTCTGTTTGTGAGAGTCTTTTGTCTAGGTCTCTTCCAGATACCCAATCTTGTGGAAACTTGCTGGTGTTGGTCGGAATGCCCACTCGTCTTATACTACTAGTACTGGAGGCTCGAAAAGTGAGGGATTTCGCGATGAGTGGTATTAGCTATATCCTTGTAGTAAAGCCGGGGATGTTCTCTGCGAAAACGAGCCCGTTCGCTCGACAATTACCCGAAGGAAACCCGACAGACCACGTTTTTTTCTTCTCCTCCCCCCTCTCTCGGTTCGGTTCGTCATTCCGCAGACGATCCGCCCGAGTGGGAAAAGGCGTCTTTCTACAGGGTAATCACACAGTAAGGAAGGTAGAGAAAGCAGACGTCACGGTAGCGGCAGCCAGTCATTCGTCAACCGAATTTGCGAAGGGGCCAGCATTTATCATGCCAACCTGGCGATATTGACGCCACGACGACCAATTCCTGCTTGGATTTGTTGTCTGGCCTTGCCCTAAAATTTGCTCGCCCCGAGAGGAAAACCCACCACGGAGCCACGGCATGCGCATTTCCCAAATAGTCGAGTAACTGCGCGGAAGACGGGCCGCTTTGCCTCAATTCCGGCGATTTTCTTCTCTTGTAGAACAGAACAAACAGACTTGAACAAAGAGCGGAGATCTTTAGAACGTTGGCATGTCTGCCACATCTTGTGGCCTACAGCAAAAACGCGAATTTTTTTTTAAAAAAACATTAAAAAAATTGGGCGACGAAACGCCCGCGCTGAGTAGATGGAAGCCTAACCCAGTGTATTTCCGTAAACAGAGAAAAGAAAGAAGAGAAACAATAAAAAGGCAAGGATGACAAAGGTTTCAATAAAACTCCAAAGAAAATTTGACCGACAGATCTCAGCAGAAAATCTCCTCAGGGAACCATCTTGCCAGGTACGGATAACTAGGCAGAAACAAACAGATCCGAGGCAGCTGAGACGGCATGGCCCCCCCTCCGCCGTATTTTTCGCTTTTGTGTGGTAGTCGGGTTGGAACGTTGAGCAAAAGCCTTTGTACTTTGCTAGTAGTTCCTCATGAACCAACGGCCATCCATCAATTGCGAAATATTGAAAGACAGAAGCCCCTGCACTAACAGAGTTGGCGGTTTGGGTGGGTAGGATCTGCTGTTGGTTGATTGAAAAATAAAAAATGTTTGCGACTTCCCCAACAGCAAAAAACGCCGCCCAGTTCCGGGGGCCCGGGGAAGCGTTGGATGTATGTTCCGGGACGCCGGTGCCGCGGAAGCTTGTGGTGAGTGAGATATGCCAGATCATCCGCCCGTCACTGACTTCCAGTGTGTGCGTGCGTGGTAAGACGAGACAACAGTGACAACCAACGTTTGGGGGCGGCTCAAGCGGCCAACTCCCCTCCCCCCCCTTCCCTCCCATCGACTGTCACTTCTTCATCCGAACGTTGTCCCAATTGTGCGCAAACCCGTTCATTTCACGTGCCGAAACCGACCTGCGCGTAATATTTCCTCCCCTGTTTTTTCCCGTCTCTCTGTTCTCTCGGCGCCGGGCTTCGAGACTCTGACCTCACCTTCAGTCCGTTGCGAATCAGAGGGTCAAAGCAGGCCCGAAGTGATGCTGATGCGACGTTCATCGATGACTAGGAAACAAGGGGAGACTACACATCCAAGAAAAAGCTGGGCCGCCGCTCCAGAGTGTTTGGACACGAGCGCTGAGAGAGGGTGATATTGTACTCTCTAGGTACAGTGGTACCGCACCCAGGAGGAACCTGATGAGGAGCAATTTCATGGGCCAGTCCAGCCACCAGTTCCATCATTCATGGGCCTATGCTATGCATTGCGCCCCCCGATCGAAATGTTCCATCACCAAGGGCGCAGGGGAAGGGGGGAGGGGGGGTGATCAGACAACAATGATCGCCCACAACCCGGGGAGGTCAGAAGCGTCCTTTTTTTGCAAATTTCCCGAACGAGGGGGGTTGCAATGAGGCGTCGTTTATAGCTTTCCGCTCCATGAATCGTGCAGCTGCTGCTCGGGTTGCCGATGCGGGTCGAGCGGGAGTAACAGAAAAAAGAAAACGATGCTATGTACGGATACTTTACCCTGCACATCTTGTCTTCCAAGATTTACCTACCTGCCTTACCTTGGCTTGGATGTGGAGGTGAAGGGCGCCTCCCCCCCACCGACTCTGTGAGGGATGAACATCGTGCGGAAAGGGGTTGTTCCTCGCTACCTTCAGGGTCGTATCGGGTAGTAGCTCCGTCGCCCTGTCGCAAGCTTCACCAGTGACAGAGTGACGTTGGAGCAGCTGGGAGTTTTGCCAATGTGAGTGAAATGGTAAGGCTGTCAGACGCGCATCATTCATCCGGCCAACCTCTGGAAACATTCATTTCAACAAAGCGGGCTTCATACCTCCGCTACCTAGCCTCTCTTTTCTCACCCTAAACGGCTTGCTGCATAACCAGCAGCTGCTACTGCATGAGGGCATATGGGTCACCTGCTAGCGAAGCCCGTTGATCACCAGGCGCTTCTTTCTCTCTCTCTCTTTCTCTTTCTCCCGTTGCCTATCGACGACCTACGTTTCCGAGGTTGGTCTGTCTAGCAGCCAGCCGGGCAGGGGTCGGTGTATAGGAAGGGAAGAAGGGCTGGGCGCATGAACTGCGGCCCGTGTGAAGCACCGTTATTAGTTGCAGCTGCAAGACGCATGCCATTCTCACATCACGTATTGATCCATTTCCCCCTTCGGGGTGCCTACCCGCCCTGCCTTGCCTGCCTGTGGCCTGTCCGTCACATATTCGTGCCAATCTTTTTCGTCAGGGTAGCATTCTCTTTTTGCCCCCTTGTTGGAAAGGGGGGTTAAGAGACTTGTGGGAGGGGAGGAAAAAAAGAGACCCCTTAAATCATTTGGCAGTTGGCGAGATTTGAGACTGGCATCAATCATCTTTGGGGCGGCACCCCATGGGCCCATCCACACACAATGGCGGTAGCGATCGTCGGCGCACCCCCAAAAGTATCACTTTCAAATTTCTTCTCCTTCATTTTTTTCGTAGCGTGTGTGTGTGTGTGTGTGAGCACCAGACTAGGGAACCAGAGAGTCGTCGCAGCACTAACAAAACACCGCGCCGGTTCGCGCGCGAATGGACGGTCCGGCTGCTGACTAGTTGGGGAAACCAAATTGCTAGGGACGGGCCGGACGAGTGAAGACGGGCAGGGAACAGGCCTTCATCCTCCTTCGAAACGCGCGTTATGCTAATGTATGTGACCTGTCGATGTCGACAAAATCTTAAATTCGGTTCTCACGTAGGCGTTGGTTTGGTGGTGCTTGGACGAAGGGGGGAACCTTGGAAAGTGACGGACTGCGAAGCTGCGGAGGCAGAAAGAGAGAGAGAGAGAGAGAGAGAGAGAGAGAGAGAGAGAGAGAGAGGACTCTTTCCCCTCCTTCTCCTTCGGTCCATCTTAGCTGCGAAATTCGGTCTTGTAGAGCACCGAACTTGTCGTATCTGAAGCATCCGGCAAAGGCTTGAAGACGCGCTTGGAAACTCTGAATGGTGGCGGAATGCAGCTTTCGGCTACCAGCAGCATGCCAATACATATAGATATTCTGCCCGGCAACCAGAACAATCACCCTGCGTGCGCTCTGGCCGGGTTCAGGCCGTTGGCGGTAGTTGATCATTGCAATAAACGGCGCTGCCATTCTCGTCGTCGTTGCAGATGTCTCACTTGTCTCATCATTATCAACCGTGAACTCGGCCCTTCGGTGGGGGTTCATCTCGCAACTTCCCACGACGCAATGTTAATTTTTGGGCGCGTGATTGATATTGCGTCTCCCACATTCGCCGCGGGCCCCCCCTCCCTTGAGTCTTAGCCCAGGACCCGGAATTAGGTCAAAACTTTGCGACGACTTACACGGAACGAAACGTAGCGCCGTCAAAGGCCGCCAAACTTCCCTAGTCCAGACTCCAAAGAGGTCGGCTGACAGAGACAGGGCCCTAATAAACTTTTGAGGTTCGCTGGGGGCATCGTCATCATGGCACCCGCTCCATTCTCCGAATAACGGAGCTTGAATCGGTATCGTACTGGAAAGGCGTGCTTCGAGACCATGGAGGCCATCATATCAAGGGCATAACAGTAGACTCTATCCCCCTCTTTTTGCCCAGAGTCTGCAAATATGCCGCAGCCGACACAGTAAGGTGCTTGTTTCGCGTCGGCTTCGGAAGCGAAGAGTGTAAATGAAAGCTTGCAAACCAGGGGATGCCTCCCATGGCCCCAAATAGGACGGCCATGTTCCCAGCCCGACGTTACATCCACTCGAGTCCATACTCCCTGTGAGTGTGTCGCGAACCAGGTCCGATGAGATGAGCGTTGCCCGTTCGTCTCGAATCCAGGGGACACGCTATTCCAGTCCCGATGTTGCTTCCCTTGGTTCTAGCACTCTACGCCCCCGCCGTCTACGGGCTGAAAGCTCTTTGAAGGGAATATCCATGTCGGCGGTCTCGAGACGTGACATTTCGGAAGTTGATTCAAATTTGAGCCTCGCGAGTCGCGACGGAGTGTGAAGCCAATCTTGCGACGAGACAGGGTTCCTCTTAAGCCTTGATATGCGCCTGCACTGCGATGCACTGCGATACACTGTCACTCATTCTGTTCCGGTCGTCGCAGAAGCTGCTGCCACCAAATCACCGGTAGATGACTGGTGTGACACACCGGGATCACGCATCTCGTGGTTGGCTCTGGAGACAGGTAGGTCCCGTTTCCTCGCACTCGCCACGGAAAGCTCGGGGAGCTTCGCGGTAAGATACGCGCGCGTAGCTCGCGGTAACACCGGAAACAGGTTTGCGCTGGTTTCGCTGGTCGCAATAGCCCCCGTTCATCGGACGTATTTTGTTACCTGTACGGATACAGTGCACACTCAGTCTTGAATCTTGAGCCTTGATACTTGACTCTCGCATACACCAGCCTGGGGCCAGGTCCCTCGCCAATGAGGTCTTGCCCGACGAGGTGATGTTGCGCGCGCGCATGCCCCATGTTCCACGACTAGGTAAATAGACCGGTAGGGGTGCATCGCGTGCCAGATTCCAAAAGCTAGGATTAGACAGGGCGGAGCCGAACGAACATGCCGGATTGCGCACAGAGTATCCGTAGTGTACGTACAATGTAGTAGAGCTTCGTTCTTTTTCGCGGATGCGCGAAATGTCCCGGAAAGGCTAAGTTATTTGGTATGATTGCGGCTATCCACTCGGTTGGAACGACTCATTTGGTGAGGCGGGTTAATAAGTAGACGTCTACCTTAGACTCTCGTGATGGCGGCGGGAGGCCACCGGTTCCTTGCAATGATTCGCACCAAGTACTCCGTACCATGGCACTGCTTTCGCGGGCAGGCGGGACTCGTGCCCGTCAGCTACGCTACCTTGTTTGGTGGTCTACGTAGTGTACGTACTCCGTACTACAATGATGTCTACAGGTAGTGCGGTGTCGTCTCGTCTCGTCTGGATTGAGAACACAGTAGGTACCTCTGTACTCAGCCTGTCCTTGAACACCTTACCGTAGGCGATAGACAAAGGTGTCACTGGTCAGGGGCCGCAGATTGGGCCGCAGATGGCACTTCCTTCCTTCTGGGGCCTTGCATACGGATACAGCTCATGCAGGTGGCCATGGTGCATGTACGTACAACGACACGTCCCGCGGGTGGTGCTGTGCGTCGCTGGGGGCCAAGGATCTGATATCATCGGTCGCCTTGGTGGGTTGGCAGCCGCGGGCGTGATATCATGACTGGCGCCGACCAACGCTGAATGACAACCAATGATCTTCATCGTCCAGCGTCGAAAGCTGTTGGACACTGGAGCTTCTCTTCTCAGTGCCTTCGACTCATCTGTGAGCTCGTCCTTGGAGCGGTCGACCTCGCTACCCTAGAGAGAACCCCGAAACTCGAAGCTACCTGGCAGTGGGCCGCACCAAAAAAGAAAAGAGAAAGGAAGGCCGATGTAAAGAATGAGCTCCCGAGTCCCCAGAGGAGAAAATTAAACGATAATACGAAGAAGAAATGAGACACTGTAAAAAGGCGTGGGTGGGAGACCATTGAGTGTGGAGAGGGAACGTCCTAGGGAATCTCCATTCCCCATCCAGGATCCTCTCACCTGGAGGCTAGTTAGTCCCTCCGCTCCCCATGGCCCATGCCGCCGCGAGCGACCGTGTGACGGGCAGCTGGAGCAGGAGTAGAAGCCAGTGCCCGGTGGTCGGTCATATTAGTCGTTGTTAGTTGTTTGGGGCCATCTTGCGAGCATGCGAGGGGGGAGCCTTGCTGTCAAGGATGGATGGTTGGTTATTTCAGTTCGTAGGGTTGCTTGCAGGGAATATTACATCGAAATCGATAGTGGTGTGGGGAAACTTTCGCAGCGAGGAAGCAAACGAAACAATAGAGGCAGATTGACAATGAATGCACAATGGAATGCTGAGAGAGTGAGGAGGGGCGACGATTGTGCCTTCTTTGGAACAAGGCCTGTCTCACCCATTCTCCAACATGGAGCATACCCAGCAGCTGAAGTTGGGTTTAGGGCGCTCTTCCCGAGTCCCCTTTGGCCTCGCTATACGGATAGAGTTGTTGGCGATGACGAGGTCGCCGACTCTCCCGTGATACGTTGCCGATGTACGGTTTGTACGGTTACGCAGCCCATCCATGGTGGGCTGAGATGCACGCAAGATGTGGCCATCTCTGCTGGCGACCCGCTCCTGCGGCGTGTGTTCGCTGCCATGTCCCAACGAGGCTTCTCGTCCGGCATCGATCCAGAAGCAGCGACCGTGGCCGCGCGTGAATGGCGTTCCAGGAGGCCGGGAGGCAGGGCTTGCATGGCATGGCACGGCAGGGCCTGGACGAGGATCCTGAGATGCAGCGGGCGGGATCAGAAGAAGGTGGTGAGCATCCATGGCCACGGCCGACCTGCCAGGAAGTCCACCCATCCGCAACCCACTCGACTCTCGATATGATGCGCGCAATTCCTACATATGTACATAGTATGTTTCCACGAAGCGGATGCGGCATGCGTCTCAGTGTGGATCTAAACAGACCATCGGTCTGCTAGCCTGCATGGCATGGGGGTTAAACTTTGCACGTCAACTGACCGCCTTGGACGACCGTGGAATGGATTTGCCTGTATCTGTAGGGCTAGCATGCAGTCGTCAGTTGGGGAGGTCAAGCTGGAGGACCTCACCTCTGAGGGGCCAGACACACTACGGACACACGTGCGACTCAGGTCCCTGCTTTGAAGCTCCAGACAAAAGTCCAGTGACCATACTCTGTACGGAAGTACCTGGTTGGAGTCGGAACGGCGATCCTCTTCTTGAAGTGTCTGCGCAGTGTCCCCACGCGAGACGGCGGGAATAAGAAGCTGCGGAAATGTTGGGCAGCAGAGGATGGCGGCAAGTTGGATAAAGGTGACGGCGAAGGGGGCAGGAGAATTGTGTTTGCACCCGTTTAAGCGCCAACTGCACGGCTGTGCTGTCATGGAGGAGTTGTCGGTGCATGAGAAAGAGAGCGGTCATGGTCTTTTTGACACATTACAAAGTATGTATTGCATAGACAAACATACACGTATGTACCCGTGGTGTCCAGGTTGTAAAGTTGGCCCGGAGCGTAAATGTGACAGGTCAAAATTCGATGAGCGCGAGACAGAATGGCCTTCCGGATCAAGATCGCCGCAGTGAACCGGAGAGAGAGGAGTCTCCATCGCGTCTGGTAGTTGTACCGTACGCTTGCTGCGGGAGGAATGGATGAGACGAGACGAGATCGACTTTGACGAGTCCTTGTCGTCTTCTCGAAAAGACGGTGACGGTGACGTTAGAGCAGACCAGGGCCAGATTCCGTGTTCCGCGCGAGAAAATGAGGAGCCAAAAACGTGTCCAAGGTGCAGCTGGGATGGCATGGGCTGAGAGGGCAGGGATGAGCGGTAGGCATGCCAGCCCAGCTGCTCAGGACCCAGGAAAACCTACATCCCATACTCCGTAGTAGTGTAGTACGGATACTCTAGCGGTGGAGAGGAAAGACAGACAAGACGATGCAGAGGAAGTGTGGTTCCGTTGAGAATACCTTTAGCAAGCGTGGACCAGGAAGCCTATGTAGGCGTGATGTGTCAGGGAACAGGGGAGCAGGAGGAATGTGGATGCGCCATGGGTGCCCAATATCCAGTTGGCTCAAGTGCAAGTGAGTGCGCGATGTGGTTTGCTTGCTTGCTTTATTGTGCTGTGCTGTGCATTGCGTCACATCACGCAGTGCATGGCTGGGCTGGCTTGGGCCGTCTTGCAACGAACGGTGGTCACTGGGTGTTGGATCTCACTCAGAGTCGTTGTATCCGACGATCCGTAGAGCAACGTAGAGCAACCATCGGTTGAGTGGACAGACAGTCTGTATGTTGAGTGAGCATGGGATGCCGTTTCGAGGCAAGAGGAGAGAAGCTTGAGACGCTAGAAGATGGGCTCGTGGCCATTCCGCCTTGGCCTCAGATACCTACTCGCAGAAACTCAGAGAGGGTGTGATTACTATGTACTTCACGGGAGACGTGAGAGGAGCCCAGAGTCCAGACCCTGAGCAAGTTGCAACAGCAGCGGGCGGGGGAAAAGAGATTAGAGTGATGTGACGAGCGGGGGAGAGGGGGACCAGAGTACCAGACGGAAAAAGAAGGGGAGAAACAGAGAAGGAAAAATAAAATGAAAAGATGAAAAGCCAATTTTGGCGTCGACGATGAGCGAACGGCGCGGCACTCGACTTGCTGTCGTCAGCCAGGCTCGAGTCGCTGGACGACCATCTCATTATCTCAACAACTTGATTCGTACGCATACCTAGGATCCGGACGGATGAATCAGTGAACGTCGTCCGTTCCCTCACCTCCCGCCCCCAATTCCAATTACCGCCTTCATCCCAGTTTGCCCTACGCAGTGATGCTTGTAGGTTTGTTTGCCTGGTGGTCCCTCGCAAGGAAATTCCGTCATCAAATAGACTTCCTTACCCACGGCTAGCAGCTCCTCATATCCAACTTGCGCAGAAAAAGACACAACGACTCGTCGACACCTGAGTCAACCCCCCCCCTTCCTAAAAGCTCGGCCCAGGGGCGGAGTATCCGTACGTCGCTTGTCTGCCCAAGTCGTCGGAAGGTCAGGGTCCAAGAACGCATGACATCCAATCGACAACGAGGTCAAGTGAGAGTGGGCTTCGGTGTTGAATAAGGCTACGATATTCAGAGTCTCGTGCAAGTTGATTGTTGGCATACCTGTTCGTGTTCCGCCCCCTTCTCTTCCATCCTCCCTTTTCCCGCGTTGCCCCAGATTCCGAACGATACGGATATACTCACTGTCTACTAGCGAACTTTAAAGCGCCGGGGCGCTGGTCGCCATTGGCAGCGAGCCGGATCTCGCCTCGGAAGTAGCATCGAGTGCCGGTTGGAACTGGGCACGCCGCACTACACAGTACGGTGCTTCGAAGTATCTGGGGGATGGAGCCATTCATGACGCTGAGGTGAGGACATATAGGTAGGTAGTGCGGCGTGCCATGGTCAACCGTATTGAGCAAGAGCAGCAATCTGGACCCCCCATGGAAGGAATGAGGTGCACTCCAAGTGCCCAAGTGCCTGGCACCGTTCGTGTCTCCCCTGCAACTCGCAGAAACATGCCGATGAGTGCGTAGCTGCACAGCGGCGCAGCGGCGCAGCAGCGCTACCTTAGGCGGAGAAACTTGGTCAGGCACGGCGGGACATGTACCGGTACGCCCAAAATAAGAGGGCCGCGACTTGCATCATTCCGCATCTGCCGTACCGGCTGCGACCCATCTCCTGGTCCAGCTCCGCTATTGTTTCTTCTTGCCTAGCTCTGGTTTCGTCGTCTTTCCTCTTGTGGTTTACGCAGTACCTACTGCCATCCAACCAGGTCGCAGTATCCCTAATGAGCATCCGTACTCCGTACCAACCTGCTGTCGCAAGTACGGATACCTTGGTCACGAACACAGTAGTGCAGCAGCACCTCCGTACTCTGCAATTTACCGCTTTCTGTCCCTTTCAACTCAACGTCTATTACTAAGATATGTAGTGGTCAACCGTCGACGCCCGTCTCCCGCCGGAAACCCATCGGATGCTGCCGGTAGGAGAGTTGCACGACGAGTCGTCGCCCAACCAGCTGCACATTTGACGCCCACGCAAACATTGTTGGGTTGGGTATCTGTACACCGTACGGAGTGCGCCGTATCTCATCTCGAATCGAACCCCTTCTCTTTCTCATCAGGTGTATCCGTACGCTGCCGCACGAGATAACGGCGCAGGATTGTGGCTCAAGGTTTCCGCGTCTTCCTTTCTTGGCCACTCATGCGATTCAGTGCAGCTTTATTTCCGCCCCAGACGCAGACGGGCATTCCAAACGTCACCGTTGTTCAGATGGATTGATTCCATTCCATGCCTATGGTCCGCCGTTGCGCTAATCCAGCTGGCCCCCATTCTTCACTCTCCCGGCTTGCCGATTCCATATTGCCTAGTCCAAGGGCTCGCACATCGACATTCCTAAAGCCTAAACCGCCACACGGATTGCGGACATCGCCAACCACCTGGATGCCGGAAATGCAAGCTGTCCGTCTACTGGAGCGAGCCACGGTCAACGGACCGTCCGGGACGTTGCAAGATATTGCCCACAGATACTGTACATCACGTTGATACTCCAAAACAGCATCCAGACTACACAAGCGACTGACGCCGTGACGAAGGCATGTGCAGCAGCAATGGCGATCTGCTCAGCGTCGACTACGCCGAGCTGGATCCTACCCGCACCGGGCAGGCGGGCACTTTGGACGAAAAGTCTTCGACGGTGATCCATGGACATGGACGCGGACGTTGGACGCTACCGCCAGTGCCACACGACACTGCACGCTTCTTGACGCTAATTGCCCTCATCTGTGCCTCGCCATGTCGCGGCGTCGCCCACCTCACCTTGCTCGACGAACCACGCTAGCCGGCTAGTTACCTACAGTAGTGTCCAGGTAGCTTCCATGAGCCTGGTCCAAGGACGTCGTCTTCGACTCTTCACTCCCCTGTTCGACTTCTCTCGCTTCCCCCCCGGAGACCCGCGCAGGGACCCCCGAAATCCCGGCCGATTTGGATTTTTCTCCCTCCCACGCTCCACCGGGCGAGATGAGGCAAAGTGTCCAACATCCCGCGTTTCTCCCTCGGCCTGCCAATGTCGGTCAGAAGGGCGGTGATTAGAGGGGAACCTCCCCGATTCTTGCATCATGCACCGGAAGCCGTTTCTGGGGCGTAAGAGCAACCCCTCGTCTCCTTTCAGACATATCTGACTGCTGCGGACAACAGACAACAGACCCCAGTGCCTTGGCTGCACACACCTCGGATGCGAACACATATGTGCGAGAGGGGACAGCAAGATACGCAATGAGCATCGTCAAGTGCCAGATGTGCCACCATCCTTGCTGGTAACCGAGCTGCCCTCCACGTAATAACGGTTGCGCAGCGCATCGTTATCTCGCGACACCTGTGGTTCATGACAGCCTGCCCGCTGCGTCTCGGCCGAGCAGTCATTCCTCTTATGCTTGACGTCGCCTGCGCATTGCGGTTTTGTACGGATAGCTAGCTAGAGCTAGCTAGCCGCGAAGCACCACTGACTGCTGCCCGTCATTGCTAGGAAGACCGAGGCACCACAAGCAAGCACCATCCCAGTTTGGAGCTACCGTTCCGGAATGGCTCTTCAGTCGACAACATTCGGCTCTGTGCGTCAAGCATGGCTAACCCTCCTAGAAAAAAGTATTTCTGCATGGCATGTCACAAGAAGCAAAAACAAGAGGCAAACTTCCCTAGGTCAAGGCCCCAGCCAAAGCCAAGGCAAGACAGAGAAATAGCCGGTACCGCCATGTCAGCAGGGGACTTGTACCGTTACTTACCTCTCGACCCAAACGAGAGCAACCGGTCGACTAAGCCCTGTCAATGTCTGAGCACCCTACGGTGCCGAGAATGGGGCTACCCCCTGGTGTTTGTTTCCCTTGCTCCCATGCACCCCGGCCAGCACATTTGCTGTCCACAGCTTCAACTTGTATCCAGATCCATGTCGCCGTTCATCCTCCTCTTCTTCTCCTCCTCCTCCTCCACCACCACCACCCCCCATGCACCTTAAGCTCGCTGGTTCCCCGGCAAGTTGCCAGGGCTCGGTCGATAAGAAGGCTATGCCGCCATGGGAGAATTACGCTAGGGCAATTCAGAAAAAAATCAAATATACCTGGCTCCTCCCGACCTTGCCTATTATTCCCCATCGTGTAATGACTAGCAGTTACATTGAAACCATAGCAGACTTGCAAGAGAATCCTAACCACTCCTTTCGATCTCACTTGCTCATCTAAGTCGAAACCGACCTTGGTCACCACCCACCCCGTCTGGTTCTCGAAATAACACTCAGTCCACACGAGGAGCACGGCCGACTGTACTGCGCTACTTCGACCACCCAGCCCATCAACATCTACTTGGTTCCGGCTCCGCAACGATTCCCTCAAGCAGACCGGCTCACAGCACGTCAACGTGTTGATTCATTCCTTGGTCAGTGAATAAGACCAGGAAGAGAGCAAACCAGCTCTGGGAAGGAAATAGGACGCCTTGGATACTCACAGTGAGTCGATTCAACCATTACCCCGTGCCTGAGGATCTCCTCGGCCACTCGTTACCCGGGATCGAATCCAGAGCCATGAGTGGTCCGTTCGGCTGCACTCATCCCACGCCATCAATACCTTACATTTAATCCTGACCATCGGCACTGCCAGCCTCTGCCAGCTTTCCAACCTCCTCCACGGCCTTTTGTGGCCATCCAAGTACTTTTGCCCACAGGAACTTGCTTCTCACCTGGAACGCTCATTTCTCCACGTCGGTGAAAGCAGACCAACCTGCCACCACAGAGAGCAGTTATTGAGACCACCGTCAACGCCAACTTCGACTAAACCCCGTCCACCAAGCCGGGCTTTAGCCAGCTCTCCGATCTGAAGATTGATTTGACCGAGCGGCTACCGTTGTGGCCGTTTGAGAATCTGTCATTCTTACCTCCTGACCTATCCGTGATTTCTAGACTTTGGGACTGTTGGCTTCGACCCAGTTAGTCCCACACAAAGCCGACAACCTGGCGGTCTCAGCGGTTGTCCGATTCTCTGGACAACAACCTCAACGTAGCCGCGAGGCTAAGGAGGGCGATAACGCACAGACAGGTTGCTTGAATATCATTAACCGGCATTCTGGACACGACAACGCGCAAACACCTGAGAAAACTACTGCCGCACCGAATTCGGACTACTCCTCGGCTTCGAGTATTGGCCAGAACGGTCAATGTCCGGGCCAGCAAGGCCGGGCGAGTGTAGGGGATCAGGTCTCGATGTCACGGAGCGGACCTGCACCTCACTCTACGACGCCGGCATCAACGCAATCACCGCCTCAAGCTCACTTCACCTCCCAGCAGGGTCTTCTTGCTCGAGATAGCCAAGCGTTCCAGGATGTTGCCAATACCCCTTCCGCAGCCGGCGAGAGACACCCCCATGCTCCACGGTCCTTGGGCATCAGAGGGTTGATCAACCCGTCCGAAGCGCAACAGGAAGGCTCCACTGGCGAGTCATCGCAGCCTCGAACAACTGACAGTCAGACCTCACCGTATGGCATGCCTCCGAGGCAATATAGCATATCTGGTGATCGTCCATTTGCATTCCAAGGTCGCAGCCATCCCAGTTCTCAGCCCGCTACTCCAGCTGGCCACCCGACGACGACACCGTTGGGCCACACACCGTCGGAGCACTCGCCCAAGAGTGGATTTCCCTTTCCCCCCATGGGTGCTCCGAGGCAGATCCTTAGTCCTCGAGAAGTTCGCGCAGCCAGTGTGAGCCAGGCGAGTATGCGAGGCCCCGAGCCACAACAGACTCCCTTTCTGCCGCCCCACGCGCCGCGAATGAAGCGCCCTTATCCTGGCGAGGACGGTCCTCTGGAACCTTTTCGTTCAGCATCTGGTCTGCCATTCTCCGGACCGCCTTCTCTAGGACCCCCGTCAGCGGGAATGGGACCACTCACAACACCGCCACGTTCCATGTCTCAATCCATGGTTGGACATATGCAGCCCGGCAACCCCGATCGGCCACAACTGCCCCCTATGGCACGAGATTCTCACGGTAGGCCCCAAGAGTATCACGGCCAACCAATGCTGCCTCCTGGCCAAAACTATCCTCCGCCACAGTCGCCAGGCGTCCCTGTCTGGTCAACACCTGGTGCCGGAACCTCTCTATATCAAAGTCTGCGGTCAGACGTTACAAAGGCGGAAGGCGGAATGGTGGTCAGGCTACCGGGAGATGAGGGAGGCATACTCATACCTGTAGATGTGCATCAGGCGTCGAAACAGGCAGACGAGAAACGCCAACGAAATGCCGGGGCGTCGGCACGCTTCAGACAAAGGAAGAAGGAGAGGGACCAGGAACAGACGGCCAGTCTGCAAAAGTTGGAGCAGCGGGGACGCGATTTGGAGGTGAGAGTACGAGAATTGACCCGAGAGAGGGACTTTTACAGGGACGAGCGAAACCGCCTTCGCGATGTGGTTCTACGAACGCCTCTCAGCGACATGGCGAACGGACCTCCAAGCCCGACGTCGTCGAGAAGCGGAGGGTCCATGGCAGAGACCAGCCCGATGGCGCAAGCTCCGATGCTGCCCCATCAGTCTCAGGGTTACGCCTCGAGCGAGGCATCCTCGGTGGAACGACCGACGCGAAGACGTAGGACCGACTCAGCCCCGCCTCCAGAGTTCTCGATGCCGTCGTATGGCACTCCGATTCCTCAGGCTGGGAACCTGCCGCCCATGCAGGCTCCGGCGTATAGCATGATGCCGCAGAGGCCACCGTCTACGGCGCCTGGAGGAGAGCGACTGCCACCTCTTCGCGGCATGGAGGGTTCTTATCCTGGTCAGGAGTCGGGGCCAGGTGTGTCTGCCGGTGGCCCCTTGTATCCCAGCTACACGCGCGTTCCTCACGAGACGGGATTCGCGAGCAGATCCACCGGTCCGCCGCCGGCCGGTCACCACGGGCATCATGTCCACGAGGCCGGCCCGCGGTAGAGCAAGAACAGAATAAATAACCGTACGACAGAAAAGTGTTTTTCTTTAGGCCTTGGATTTCCGACGCATTTCTCTACATCGACACTCGTTACCCAGTTTATACCCACTTCGTTTCACTGTTCGACTCGTTCGCCCTATACGGATACAGATTATAATAGGAGGGAGAGTGCGGTTTCAAAATGGACTGTTCGGGTATATTGGTTATTCCTCGAGAACCGCATAGTTGGGCGACCGACGCAGATGTTTTTCTTATGGGGTTATCATGGAAGTTGGCTGCATGGGACAAGAAAGGGGATGACAGAGAGTAAGAGAAGAAGGGATTTTGATAAGAACAGTCAGTCACCATTACCACAGAAAGGAAGCACCTTTGCCTCTTCGTGAGGAGGTCTCGGTTCGACCAAAAATCAACTTTTCCACAGCGTTGGATTTCATGTTTTGCACCTTTTTGGTTTGCATTCGAACTTTATGGTGGCGTGAATGGGGGACCAGGTAGGGGTTTGGGACTGGAATTGTTCATTGATGTGATTCAAAGCGGACATTTGATAGAGCATTCTGCTGTTTATTGTTGCAGCTGACTTTGTTTTGCTTTTTCCTTGTTCATGTACGTCACCGGTAGACGCCGGGCTGACAATGGCGTTGTGTTTGAGCGGGTATGAATTATAAGATGGTCGTGCGTACTTTGGCTATCTCGGTAGATTCAAACAATAGACGATCTTGTGTATCATTTGCTTGGCAAGATACCAATCACTCATAGTCTCTGATAAACAAGGCTCATTACTAAAAACCTGATGATGCGAGGAACGTGGCGCAGCTCCGATAGGCCTGGGGGAAAGTGAGGGTGGGGGGTTGTTTGATGGGAAACAAGTGAGGCGAAGAAAGGTGTGTTGCCAGCCGACCGCCAGGGGAAAAGAAGAAAGACGAGGCCAATAGTCTACTCATTACTGGACGGTTTTCGATCGAGAAGAACTAGGATAATGCGCCATTCGCCAAGATGGTTGACACCCGGACAAGTCAGCTTATGCTACAATGCGAGTCATCCCATCCGTTCCGTACAAGGACTTTGCCTACATAGAATGATCGACCGGTTGGTCACATCCATTCATCCCACACGAACAGCGCGCGATTTTTCAGAGAGGCAAGGCGAGCCACACCCGCCCCCATGGCAGCAAACCCGCGCCATCGCCTTTGCTAACGTCGTTGACAGGACTCAAGGGGGAGATGGCCGGCTGCCCGAAGTGTCTCACGCGCGCCTTGGGGAGGGGGGGGATAAGATAGATAGGTAGAAGAAGACAGAGGAAAAAGAAGAAGCAATTTCGTTGGCAGCGTCACCCTCGCCACGTCATGCACCCTTTATTTCGGGGCGGCAGAGAAGGGCCATCGGACCGCGCCAACGCAGCGTCCCCCGCCCCTCCTCCTACTTCTCCTTCTATTCCTCGGCCGCCTGGCATTAGGATTTGTCGCGCTAGCCGACGACGTTAAGACAGCAATATGGCTTCCAAGTCGACGCCCGGGAGGGGGGGGGGCTGTACTTGATGTTGAAAATGACACTAGTGCGACGTTCGTTTTTGCAAAGCGATCGAGGTTTTGCGTACTGTCATTGAGCGTCTGCGTCTGCTCTTTGGTGCGCTTAAAGGAAATTGACGGCGTTGGACGAGTAAGGAAAAAAAAGGCAAAAGAGCTCGTTGCCCAATCAAGCAATGAGCTCACCGAGCCACGGTACGTTCCGGGCCAAGGTGAACCGACTCTCGGGCTTGTGGTGATCGTAGCTCGGGCACGGTTCAGGGTCTGACGAACAGACGGAAAGGAAGGAAGGCGCTTGTGGGAGTGAGTGGAGGGAGTGGGTGGGTGTGGGGGGGGAGACGGGAAACGGGAAACGGGGAAACGGCGGGTGGGCGCGGGCGCGGGAGGCGGCACAGCACGACTTCTTCTTTGGGCCCCCTTTCCTTCTCAGCTTGGCAGCTTGGGGTTTGGCCCCCACCTTCCGTGGTTGCGTGCCCGGCTCCCACGTCCCTTTTCTTCGTCCTTCCACGTTGGGAGGGTTTGACAACCACACCTGCCTTGCGTTCCCGTCCATATTCGAATACGTGAGCACGGTGAGGCAGGTGGCTTAAGGTAGCTAAGGCAAGGCATGTTGTGTATGTGTGTCGATGATGCTGATGTTATGCTGCAGGTGATGCTGATGCCGATGCTGATGCTGACGCTGACTTACCTCTTGACATGCACCACGACATCACGACACCTGCAATGTATACCTGGCGGTTGCGAGATGCATGCTGCTCTCGGGTTGTCTTGCATCTTGCAGCCCGCTATGCACAGCGCACGGCATCAGGTCTCCCCAAGATGGTTTGGCCTGCTGGATCGAGACGCGGGCGATGCAGAAGTGTCTCGCTGAATTGGGAGAGCGTCTACGGATATCTCTCCTGCACTTCTTCTTTTTCTGGGCAAAAAAAACCATGTTGGACAACAAGCAAGAGATAAGCCGCTTCCCACCCCCTTCCTTACCGCGACAACCTACAATGGCATCGCAGCTGAAAAGGAGAGAGAGAGAGAGAGAGAGCGAGAGAGAGAGAGAGAGCTTCCCCGACGGTAAGCTGTAGATCCCCGACAATCTCCCCTGCGTCCGGCTTGCGTCCCCGGCGACGTTGACATTTTCATCTTTTTTTCTAAAAATGTTTCCCATGTCACGCATGTGTTCGTTTCTTGCCAACTGTGCTGTGTACCCACGAACCCCTCCACCTTCGTCCCTTTTATTTCCCTCTGGTGTGTTTATTCTCTTCACTTCCCATATGGCCTTCCATCACCACTTGGACGGCAGTTCTGGAAGCTTTTTTCTGCCCATCATCGAGGCTGTCCTAGCTTTTTTTTTTTTGGCTTGACTTGCTTCCTAGCTTGTGTTGCACCAGTGCTGCACCGGTGCTGCACGCACGCCTCGTCCGTACGCTTCAACCAAGGCAAGCAGGTGGACGGACTTTGGGAACAAGCTGGGCTAGGCCCGACGTCAGCCGCCGACATCATAACTCTGTTCAAACTGCCCTGGTTTGCAAATAATTAAGTTTTTGTTTGTCCACTCTGCCCCCCAATTCTTCTATTCCTGGGAATTTGCTTATGCTTGCCTTTCTAGGCCTCGTCACCTTTTCTTACTTGGTCGGACGGACGAAATAGCATTAATCGGCAGTTCATTCTTTCACCCAATCCTGGGGAAAAGGGGGAGTTGGGAAGGGGGGGCCCAGGAAGCTGCTCCGGCTAAGGCAAGATGCGATTGGGAGAGGCTGTTCACGATGGCGCGCCTGGGCAAATGAGGAATCCGCGAGACGGAGGTGGCCCTGCGAGAGACCCGTGAAGAAAGCGATGAACGCGAGACAGAACCCAGGTTGGACCCGGGACCAAGACATGTCCAGTTTCCCCCCTGATGACGGGCAGAATATCGCCGCTGCATGGGCTCGGCGCCACGCGGAACTCGATGTTGCAGCCCTCGTCGGCCCGTCAAGGCAACGGGATTGCGTCAAGTTTGAGCCTACCTCTCCTAGGCGGGGAGGTTCGTGTTGTGCCTCGGGTGGACATCTATTCCAGCCATGGTCTTGCTCTCTGTTGGGACGGTTGCGAGCTCGCTCGAAAGGGAAGGCGCAGAGGAAGAGGGGAGTGAGGGAAGAGAGGGAGGGTGCAGCAAGGAATTTGGGCTGATGCATTCCTTGTTGTTTCCCGTCTTCTTTTTTCTTCTTTTCTCTCTTCCCCCTTCCTCTTCCTTCGCTCGGACGAGAACCACGGACCCGGTCGACTAGTCCGACTGACTCTTGGTTTTTCTCTCAGCTTCTTCTTTTGGTGTTCGAGGGGGTCCGATGTAGAGGTACATCATCCTGGCTGGGGCACGTCCCTCGCCATGTACCGGTTCAAAACTGCCTGCTCTCTAGCCCGTCCCTTTTTTGGCCCAACATTTGTCCATGCTTTTTTTTCTTCTTTTGCTGCTTTTTGGGGCTGATGGAAAGCAAGGGGAGGGAAGGGAAGGGGGAAGAAGGATGATAGGTGGGCACACCTTTGACACCCAAGCCGCACCTCCAAAGCTGCCCCTCCCCCCTCCACCCAATCCCCGATAAGCTACGGGGCTGCCTTAGCTTACACTTGCATTTTCTCCGAAAATCACAGCGTCTCGGCACCCGGGATCCACCAACTTGAGGACTGCAAGGCGACCCAATGCCGGCAAGCCCCGGGACCTCGGCGGGCGAACCGAAGGAGATGGGAAGCGAAGGAAGGGTGGGGAGGAGGGAAGAAGGGAACAAGAGAAGAGGCCCCACCCTTCAACCAGGTACGATCGGGCAATACTGGAGCCTTTGGTGGCCCGATTTACCCCGCAACCGTGTTACCCAACAACCGGCGCTGCACCGGCACTTTTCGCAAGCCGGATGACCTCATCTCATCCCCGTCGTCATCATCGTCGTCTCTTACCCTCTCGTTCTCGCGTGGCAAGGCCCGCGGTCCACTCCTCTACTGTACATACCTACCGAGTTCTCCACTGCTCCCGGCTGGGTCCGCCGATTGGGGCACCTTTCCCCCCCTGGAATGCGTGGCCGGGTTGACTCGACTTGAGAGCTGCTTAGAGGCGGCCGAGAATCTCCGCCAATTGCTACAATTGCGCCCTCCCGTTGATGTACGGCAACAGCAGCAGCCCGAACTCATGACAACCTAGACGCTTTGGAGGGGATCTGCTGAATTTCTACTACGTTAAATACCTAGATGACGAGAGACGCGCAAGGCCTGACAGAAATGACACGATACGGTGAGGCACGGCACATAGACTTCTCAAGCACATCGCTGCAGCACCGACTAGAATGCCCTCACAGTGCATGAAGAGGTTGAGGGAGCCAGGTAACCAAGTGACATACTTCTCTCGGCGCATTTGGGGTTTCCCTCGCCTGGACGGCGGATATGAGGGCGTGGCGAGACGCGAATTCTTGTGATTCGAATGCGAAATTAAGCTGACCAGCGATATTTGAATTTTACACCACCTCTCAAGTTGGAACTGGCAAGTTTGAGAAACGGATTGGCTATCAATGTACTGCTGTGCTACTATGCTTGCTTGCGTTTCAGTAGCCTCCCACTCTGCCGGATTATTTGGCTTCCTGTTGACCCTGTGTTCCCCCGAGATGTATGTACGAGGACTCTTTGGCTAAGTCCAGTCTGCTTCTACTCAACTCCAATGACTTTTTCGAGATAACATTCTCCTTGAGCTGTGTACTAGAACCTCTGAGTTATACTCGCCCACTATTTACCTCTTGACTCCAAATCATTCATTTCGATTTTTCCATTGAGCTTCAAGCTCTTCATCGGCATTGATTTGGCTAAACAACGTACTACACACGGTATCCGCAGAATAGTCTGCAGGCCCAAGTAAATCATCTATAAATACATGAGCCCGTCCCGCCTACCTATCTCGATAGCTTTGTTAATGCTAATCAGCTCTTTGATGAAAATCGCTGTTCTTCGATTGCATTCCATCCCCTAATTATCTCCCTCGTTCAAGATGATATAGCCCCCTTTTACCAATGATTCGCTTGTAGTGAGGAGGAGAGAGAAAAGAGGAAGGCAAACGATTTTATTTTAATGCTCTTGAATGGAATACAGATAAGAAATTTGATCCATTATGGTAGCTTCATCAGCAGCAACAATGTGAACCAGATCCCTCATGAGTACTTGGTCGTGTATCCCCCCTTTTTGGTCTCTTCTCTCAAGGAACTACCTACCAGATCAACTAACAAGAACGAACTTCAGCTCTCCACCATTACAAGAGCGCTTTAATTGCAAATAGTATCAAAAAGGTACAACAGAGGTAAGTCAGAAAAATCAAGAGGACAAAAAGGGGCCACAGGGCTTGCCTTGAGCGTGATATACCGATCTTGCCGATTATCCCTCCTATAATGACTCCTCTCACCTAATTGATTCCAAGCTTACTTCACCTCAAATATCGCACCTGCTGTTCCAAATCCAGCGAGAACTTCACATTACACCCCTAGCACGTGACTGGGCCTACAGCCTAACTGTGTGTATTCCAACTCACTACTTCCTTCCCCAAAAGATATTGAAAAGAGACATCGCCCGTTGTTTATTTATTCAGCACATCAATCTCTAGTCGCATTCAACATCCCTAATTCGTTCATTGCACCTTCCCCAGAAAAAGATTGACGGTCTCGCGTCAGGTTCAACTCCCAACCCACCTTGTCCCTCGAGCAACTTCTTTCTTTCTCTCAACAAACCCCTTTGAGGCCAACCATAAATTCTCCTTCATAAGGTACTAAACTCATCGCTTACTTGGAAACCTCTTCAAAGCAACCACTCACTGCACTTCATAACTTCTCATGTAGGTTCATCTTCTCTCACACAAGAACCACTAGAAGCCGCGAAGCTAATCCGTCGTCTTAAAGCCGGTTCAGCTCACTATAACAACACCATACTGTTCATCATTCAGCTTCGACAGCCTTTGCTCATTTTCAAAGAGCAGGCTCACTCTCACATTCACAAACGCAAGACCAGCAGCAGATTGAAGCAGCCATCATGTCTTTCCTGTCCGCTGAGGAAAAGTTTGCTGAAATCCTCGTTTTCAAGCAGAGGATGAAGGAGCGTATCCCTCCCACCGTCTCGACTGCTTACCGCAAAACCCTCCATGAGACAATTGAGCACATGGTCGACACGCCCGACCACATCGACTGCAAGCTCAAGTGGCAGGTCATGTCCGACTATGTCTCCAATGTTGAGCCTCCTTCGCACTTCGTCATTGGCCTCAGTCTCGCCTTTGACTCGCTCGCGCTCGAGGGTGAAGCCCTAAAGTGCCAGAAGCAGTTCTACACCAATAACCCCTACTTGGCTCACCACTTGAACGAGTGGACTGTCCAGGGTCTCATCAACAACCACAACAAAAAGATCCACGCCGGCGACACCACCGGCGATTATGTACACAACACTGACGGTAGTCCCTGGAACCCCGAGGCCATCATCGTCAGCCACACTGCAAAGCGCCTAGCCTCTGCCGTTGAGGACCTCTCCTCTGGTCCATCTCCCAAGAGACGCCCCGCCCCAGAGGCTGACATGCGTACTACGTACTTTGAGAACAAGGAAACGCCCCGTCTCAATTTCCTGGTCAAGGCGCCAGAGATTCCCAGAGATTTGCGCCCCATCATCCCGGGTATGCCTGAAGTTCCCAAGAGCCCTCCTATTCCGAATACCATGACGCTTCCCCTCCTTGAGCCCATGAACCTCTCGCCCAGCCCCTTCAGGAACCCCATCCCGGGCTCAAAGATGGACAGTCCCATTGACAACGGCTCTCTCTTCAATAACCCGGCCCGCTTCCCCGTCGAGACCTACAACCTGGCCAGCCCCGACCGCCAGTCCTCCACCTGCATTGGCGATGGCGACTACGGCATGGTCTCGAACGGCTACAACCCCAGCGGCCCCTCCGACTTCTTCGACAACCGGGCGACCCCTTTCCCCGGCGGCCACTCTGGCGACCAGAACCACAACGAGACTTGGCCCGACGCCGTCCCTGAGGCGCCAAGCAATATCATCACTCCCCTCCCCGCCCGCATGCCCACCACAGCAGCAGCTCTCGCTCCTCCAGCCACCATTCAAGCCGCTGCTGCCCCCGCTGCTGCCCCCGCTGCTGCCCCTGCCCTCAGAATCCCAGGCGACAACGCCTCCAACCCCTGGATCGTCGCCGAGCACAACTCCGCCGAGAAGATTGCCCTCCTCGGCACCCGTATCGCCAAGCAGCACGCCAAAGCCGCCGACAAGATCAAGCACGCGGACGCACTGCGCAACGAGCACGCCGCGATGGCCAAGCCGCCTCTCTTCATCAACAACAACAACAACGCCCAACGTGTTGGCGGCGCCTACATCACTGCCGCAGACGGCGAGGCTCTCTGCAAGTTCGTCATGGACGCCCACGACTTTGAGGTCCGCGCCTACAAGCACTATAGCGAGGGCATCCAGGCCATGGTCGAGGCCTCGCGCCTTGAGAGAGAGCGCTACGACGAGTGCGCCGCTGCGGCGAACCAGCGTATCGAACGTCAGCAGATCGTGGTCACCGGTCTCGTCAACTTCGTCCGGAGAGAGCGCGAGTGGGCGCAGGGCTTCGACGCTGGTGATGGCGACGATGGCGGTGGGGCTTCCGCGCTTCCGCCTGCGCCCGGAACCCTCCGGGATCTCACCGCCAGGCTCACCCGCCAGCAGGAGGCTGCCAACTGGTCTTACCAGCAGGTCAAGCAGGCCCAGCAGCAGAATCGGCAGCAGTAATTGCAGCAGCACATGCTAGGGTTTCTAATGGGGCTGGGTAAAGGGGGGAGGATTTGGGTTCCCACTATCCTCAGGACCGCGATTCTGCTATCCAGATTTCCAATACTAATTACATGTACGAGCAAGGGAACGGAAGACGGGAACCTTTGTTTTTAGGAGTACCGTCGATACCCCTCAGCTTTTGCTTCTTTGGCATGTTTTTAAACCAGATATCCCTCAAGAATCCTCAAGGACTTTGGGGAACATGAATGAGCTCATGAAGATAGGGGGCAACGAGACACGCATCGAGATCAATGAAAAGCATGAATCAAAACAGAATGAAACTTCAAGTGATGGTCAATGAGCCATTCTATTATTATATTATAACAAGTGATAGTAGGTAGTAAGTACCTCGGGTAGAGATGTATCGATCGCTCTATCAGTATCTTTGGTGAAGCCCCTGAATTCCTCAACGCCGCTGTGATCCAGCTAAATGAGAGACCATATGAAAACAAAAGACATTAAAAGGGGAAAGAAGAAACCAATGAATAGCAACCTTTGGGTCTTGCCCCATCTCTCCAATTTTTTAACAACCCGCTCGCTTTCACTTGCCATGTCTAGCTGATAATGCATTACATATTAAAAACAACTACTGCCCCAGCTCATCTGGCAAACACGACGGGCTCGTGACGAGCAAGAGCTTGGTGCTGGCGCAGACGTTCAGAAGCGTACAGCAGAAACCGTCACCGCACTTTGTATTCGCCGACGAACCACAGGCAGTGCCGGCGGTGGCGGCCGTCTTGACGGTAGAAGCCGCAGCTTACGTCGCTGCAGGCCCCGAGGCGGCGGAAGTACCAGAACCGGATGGCGAATCTGTGATTTAATCTAATCAGCTAACCAATCTTATACGCTGAGGCCTAGCTGTATAATAGCTGGGTTTCCTCGATTTGGATTACTTACTACAGGTACCGTATCCAGTCTGGCAGCCGGTGCCGCAGAACGCGGAAGTACTGCCGCAGTATCCGTACGGCGAGCAGCAGTTGCCAAAGGCCGAGCCGACGCAGGAGGCTCCGCCGTTGGTGGCACCGCAGTTGCCGTTGAGCGAGACCTGAGCGTTGACGCCCGTGCCGGAGCACTTTCCGAAGCCGCTCTGGCAGCCCGTGTCGCAGTGGGCGGTGGTGTTGCCGCAGTAGTTGTAAGGCGAGCAGCAGTCACCAAAGTTGGAGCCTAGGCAGTTGAAGCCGGCCGTGCCGGCGCACTCGCCGTTGGTCGAGATCTTTGTATTGGTCGCGGCGGCGGCGTTGGCGGTAGTGCTGCCGCTGGCAACGACGACTGAGGAAGCGCTATTCGCGGCCGACGAACCTCCGGCGGCAGCGGAGCTGGAGGCGACGGTCGTGCCATTGCAGGTTCCGTAGCCTGGCTGGCAACCGGTGCCGCAGTGGGCGGGGGTGCTGCCGCAGTAGTTGTAAACCGAGCAGCAGTTGCCGAATGTGCTTCCCAAGCAAGATTGGCCAGCGGCGGCACCGCACTGGCCGCTGGTGGAGATGACAGAGGTGCTCGGGAGGACACCAGAGGACGAAGAGGTGGCACTGCCGCTGACAGAGGCCGAGCCAGAGCTGCTAGCACCAGTGGAAGAGCTGGAAGAGGACGTGCTGTTGCAGGTACCGAAAGCAGACTGGCAACCGACGCCGCAGTGGGCGGGGGTATTACCGCAGTAATTGTAGACTGAGCAGCAGTTGCCAAAGGTTGACCCGAAGCATTGCTTTCCGCTGGTGGCACCGCAGTCGCCGCCGGTGGAGACGGGCAGCGTTGAAGTGGAAGACGCCGCGGAGCTGGAGGCGGACGCCGTGCCGGTGCCTGAGGAAGAGCGAGTATTAGACGACGAAGAAGACGAGGATCCGGTACGGGTGGAAGAGCCGGAGCTGGAAGTACCGGAACGCGAGGAGCTGCTGCTGCCGGTACTGGTGCGCGAACTGGAGCTAGACGTGCCGGTGCGGGAAGAGCTGCCGCTGCTACTGGTACCAGTGCGCGAACTGGAGCTCGACGTGCCGCTGCGGGAAGAGCTGCCGCTGCTACTGGTACCAGTGCGCGAACTGGAGCTCGAGGTGCCAGTGCGGGAAGAGCTGCCGCTGCTGCTGGTCCCGGTGCGCGAGCTGGAGCTGGTGCTGGTGCCGTTGCGGGTGGTCGACAAAGAGGAAGATGTCCTACCTGAGGTGGCGCTACTCAAAGTGGAGTTGGCGGCACGGCTCGAGGAGTTGGCGCTGATGCTCGAAGTAGAATTGGCGACGGTGTTCAAAGCCGAACTTCCGCAAGTGCCGTACTTGGACTGGCAGCTCGTGCCGCAGTAGGCCGCGGTGCTTCCACAGTATCCGGCGCCGGAGCAGCAGTTTCCAAACGTGGAGCCCAGGCAGGTGTTGCCGGCGGCGGCACCGCAGGTAGCGTCGAGGGAGACGGGGAGGGTAGTGGAATTGGAGATGGCGGAGGATGTGGGCGAAAAAGAGGAAGTCGTGGTCGAGGTTAAAGACGAGCTGGTGGTGCTGGGACAGGCTGTTGGGCTGACGGCCGTGAAGTTGAAGTTGTAGCTGGGGACGTTGCCGCGGTACCAGTTCTCGGGAGGGTCACCCAGGCAAGTGCCAACGGTGACGGCGTTCCAGCCATTGGCAACGACGGAGTCGAGGATGTGGTTCGTAAGAGTCGTGGCAATCGTCTGGTGGATGTCGTGCTCGATGTGCAAGTAGCTGCCGTTGCAAGGCGTGCGAGCCAGCATGGCCTGGTCCCACAGGTTGATGCTGAACCCGATCTGGGTGGGGTCAGTATGGAGGTAACCCTGCGTGTCGAGATCGAAGTAGGTGATGTGATAACCCAGGTCGCTCATCTGCTGCTCGCACTCGGCTCCGCAGATGGAGTAAGGCGGACGCATATAGGTTGGGAAGAAGCCGAGGATATCCATGAAAGCGATCTCGTTGTATATCATTTGATTCTGGCGCTGGGCCAGCGTCAACTGGTCCAGATTCTCGTGTGACCACGTGTGGCTGGCAACCTGGTGACCTTCGGCAATCATTCGCTGGGAACTGTCAGATCAAGCAATCAAGAGCATGTGGGATTGCAAAGCTTACCGTGATGACATCGCTGTAATTGATGTTAATCATGCCCTTGCCAATATTGTTACCGGTGATGAAGAAAGTAGCGACGGCACTGTGAGCCTTGAAGGCATCCAACATGGCATTGGTGTAAATGTAAGGACCGTCATCGTACGTGATTGCGACATCACCCTGATTGACGCAGTCATAGATTCCAACACCACCGTAAGGGATGTTACCAAGCTGGGGTCTCGGAATGTTGGAGGTATCAGCACCAGTGGGCCTCTCATTGCCGTCACAAGCAGGACCGTAGTTGATCTGGCAATCAGGGGACGCGCAGTAGGCCTCGGATTGACCACACCATCTGATAATAAGTTAGTCGACCCGTCAATGCCATATACAAACAAGTAAATCCACATACCCGGAAGGTGAACAGCAGTATCCATCGGCACACCTGCCATAGGTCCCTCCGCACTGGGAGTTGTCTCCCAAAGGGATCGATGATGCCGACGGGGTCGATGATGCCTGGCGAGGACTCAGGCGCACGCCGTCCGCCCGTGGCTTGTTCGCTACCGTCGGCGGGTTCCAGGGCTCGAAAGCATAACGTCTCTGCCGCAGGTCGTCGACGCTGCGATGACGGGGCAAAACCATATTCGGGTGGGGGACATCGTTCTCGTCGTGAGCATGAGCTGCCTCTAGCCCTGCCAGGGTGGCTAGTACAACAGGAGTCCAACGCATGATGACTCTGTTGATACTGAAAATGAAATCACTCAGATACCGGTGATTAGGTTGATGTAAGTGGAAGACGATTATCAAAAAGACCGCCTTCGAGGAAACAAAATTCCAGAACACAACCTAAGAGATGAAAGAGTGCTCTTAGGCTTCTTTAGTAGGACACTGAAGCACCTTGATAGAGGGATGCCGAGAAGGAGAGCATGATGTAGAACTCGTGCGGTTCGCAGTATTATATACAGGAGACCGGAGAGGCGTTCATTTTGATGTCGCAGTAGAAAACGGCATCAGAGACATTCTCCGTAGCCAGATCTGGCGATGGCCGCAAAAAGACATACACCCCTCCTCTATTCGACTGGGAAGACCGACGAATACCACAATGGAAATTGGAGGATCGCGAGGCTAGTCGCGCGCAGGCTCTGCCGGGTCGGGAAAGTTAGCGTGGCGTCGAGGCCTCAAAGCTCGCGCCGTCCGGGGCGGATGGACGGGTGTAGAGAGAACCCATCAGAGCCCATCATCATGTAATGGAGAACGACATGACGCGCTTGTTCGTCGTTCTCACCCGCAAATCGTCCTAAACATAACCTATCCAGATGGGTCCATCCAATCTGGCGCCAACATACGTACCCCACCCTCTACCCATCGCGGCCGATAAAGATTTCGATGACAAGCCTATGAGTGAGACCATGCCGAAGACAGCGAAACCGAAGACCAGATGTGGGGGTTAGGGACGGATAGAGGTCATGATGGACCGATGTAGACTTGTAGAGAAGAGGCGAGGCGAGGCGAGGCGAAGGCGAGACTACACCATGAGAGCAACGCGGTCATGGCGGGGGCACCGGGGCACCGGGGCCAGGCGACAAGCCACCGGTTGCGACTTTGACGGACCGTCCAACAGATGGGGACGCCGTAGCAACGCCAGTGGCTGACCGAGACGCACCGACGGGACCACCAGTGCCACCCAACAGGGCTTCGAGTGATGGAAGAATGCCACGCTGCGGGCAAGCATCGTTGGACCCTTCTGGCTTGCACAGATCAGAGGAGGGGTTCGCATCCACTGACCGATCGAGGTGAAAACGCAGCCAGCAGATGAACAAGCCTGCCGCTCCTGGGAAAGTCGGGATAGTGCTTGCCCGACAGGGACGAGCTTGTGGTGTATGTAAGAGTAAGACAGTACCCGTTCCATCCCATCCCATCCCATCCCATCCCCCCAAGAATTTCAGGGTATCGAGGTCGAGAACGAACAATCCACGCTGGACCCTAGTCGAAGACGGCTCGTGCCTGGCAGTAGCGTCTTCGGATGACTGGATTCCTCCAAGCTCCAAGACACAAGATCGGAGAGAAAAATAGAATTCGACGGATGCGGACGTGTTCCCGGCCGATCCCATCATTCATTCCTCCTGCTGAGCCTCTCTCTCGCCCACTCTCTCTACTTCTAGTACTCTCTTTTTCTACAGTGTCTAGTGTAACACTCTCTCGCTCGTAAACCCTTGGCTTTCTCCGAGGAGAGAGCACTGCAACGTGGGAAAAGCTAGACCCTTGGCGTTGCTGCACCACGATGGTGAGCCCGTCCCCCTGACACACGGCCATCTTTCTTGGCCAGGTTTGGTGTCTCTCCTGTAATTTGGGCTCAGTGTCCATTGCGTATTGCGGTTTGACATTGCTTTCATTAACCTCCGAGCCATGTGGTCTTGGCACTGGCATTTTGCCTCTAATGCATTAGCCTCATGGAAAAAAAAAGGTTTGTCGCTACCTCAGGCACGCAGGTGAGGGTACCTTAGAGAGAGCACGGAAGCAGGGAATAAGCATACTTCAGGTCAGAACAGACGCAGACGATCCGGCAGCCTGGTATGGCTTGCTCGTCACACTCGAGCTTTGACGATCAAAAAGGAGAAACTACTGAATGTCAACTGAACTTTGCGCGCACTCAAGCGAACAAAGCCTTGCAGCTGTAGCATGCAGAAGATCAAATCAATCGTGCACATCCCACCACAGGCTCGTGGCTGGGCCAGATCGATCCGAAGCCGAAGTTTGCATCTCAAGGAATCCCCAGAATTGGGAACCAGCCAAGCCTGACTGAGCCACGAGTATGAAGAGTCATCGGCTGGTGCGTTGTGTGACATATCACTGTGGGCACTCGGATCGTGTGATGGACTGCTCGAATGCAGGTTTGTTTTGCTGATAAAGTGTCATTTAATTTCTGTCTTGTGCCCAACAGCATTCCACATCAGCTTCCTGATCTGCGCTGACGTGCCGACATTCCGGCTGCGACTTTGTTGGATAAGGTCGGGTACTTCGTAACTCCAGTACGCCCAACGCCACATCCTTTCCTCTCCGGAACTGGTATATCAAATCCACTATCGGACCATTCGTTATTCTTACAGGTGACGCCGCTTCAAAAGCGACCAGATCCTCCCCGCAGAGCTGTTTGCGGCATTCTCAATCATTGCCAAACGCCACAACCCGATGTCACGGGCTGTCATCAACCATCCTGGCCTCGGGCTTTGCCATCAACCTCCTTGTCGCCACATCAGCTCGAACGCCTTTCTTTCAGCGTTGTTTGTGACCACACCGAACTAGATGCTCAACGTCCTCGAATTATGAGGCTCGGCATGCCGAGAGCCGATTGTTGATTGTCAGTTCGGGTTGCCGAGACCCGTTAGGGAACCGGGTACGCTTTGGTGGTGTACGCCAATCTTCTCATCGGTCGACAACCCCAAGCTTAGGCGTTCCGAGCCTTTTCGGCAGCCTTTGCCTGCGCCTCAGCAGCCATCGCCTTCGCTTTCGCATCGGCATCATCGTCACCTGTCGAAGTGTTGCCGTCTTCGTTGAGGGGCTTGTCAATGTCTGCCTCGGTGACTTTCGATTTTTGCTCCGACTTTTGGCGCTCTTCTTCCGCCTTTCTTTGCTTTTCATCTTCAGCTTCCTTCTTCAGGCGTTCTTTCTCTTCTTCTTGCTTCTTAGCCTCTTCGATGGCCTTTTCTTTCTCGCTGTCCGTTGGGCCCATGCCGCCTTCTTTGTTGTCGCCATCGCAGCGCTCGCGCTCCAATTTCATATCCATAATCAAGCTGAGTTCGGGGCAGTAGTCAAAAATCTTTTTCCGTTGACTGGCGTTCTTCCACACTTTGTCCGAAATGCCCTGGCCACCATCCTTGATATGGTAACCCATGGGCTTCTCCATGTAGACGTCTTCCACTGCCAAAACACCCTTTTTTCCGTGGGCTACCTTTTCGCCCTGCATGACCCAAAGTCGCTTCCCGTACCACTCGTCTTCGGCTTCAGTGTCATTGTATCTTTCCTGGAATTGCAACACTCTCTTGATGGACGAGACTCGTCGGAGAGAAAGGCCGCCGTTGCCCGAGAAGCGATCATCAGGGGTTCTGTGGATGGGGGTTAGCAAGGGAGGGAGGCCTTGGAGGAAAACCTGAAGGCAAGACATACTTGGGTGCGCCAGCCCAACTCCAGTCCAGCCAATCGTTGAGGCTGGTTGGTGAGTTGGAGCAGAGAATGCTGTCGGATTCGAACTTGAGAATCCATTCCACGCCAGGGAGAAACTCTTCGTAAAAGCGAAGATCAGTCAGGAGGCGAAAGACGTGTTCCTTGGTGTCAATCTCCCAGGGCTCAGGGAGGACCATCAAGTCGAGCTTGCCAATGACCTGCTGGTGCTTGATGCCGTAGCTCCGGGCGACGCTGACTACGCTCTTGTTGGAGCCGATGAACAGGAATCTCCAGTCTGGAGGCACCACCGAGGTCATGTGCAACAGCTGAGGTACGAGGTGCGAAATAGGTCGCGGCTCGATGATCAATGCTAATTTGGACGCGTTGTAATTGGATCTCGGGTCTTTGCTGAGGTCAGGTTTCCAATCAACCTTGATCTTGGGAATCTTCTGGCGGGCCTCGTCCAATCTCGACTTAAACTCGGCCTTGATCATGGGCTTGTAGCTCGGCAGGAGATGAGCAAACCACCATCTGCAAACGCGATTAGCATGTCATTCATAGGCAAAGGGTCAGGTAGGATTGCGACTTGGGGGACGAACGTGATGGCCAGCGACGCAATTAGCAGGAGCCGGGTCTTGGTGATGGCGAAGACGCCGGAAGAACCGTTTGTGGCACCCATGTCGCTGAGATGTCAACGTCTGAGATGTCAACGTCCAGGAACGGCGCAGCAAGAGCACGGCGCAAACGAGAGAATGGGACGGAGGCAGGGACGGTATCGCTTTGGTGGGTTAAAATCGATTGCAAAAGGTCGAGGCAATTAGAAGCTGGAAAATCGGAAAGTCTCTCTGGCTTGACGGAAAGTTGCTGGTCAGAGGCGCGTCATGTCGAGCACGTGTTGAAACCGCCGAGACTGAATGCCAATATGGACTTGGTTTCGTGTTGTGAACAGGCTGAACTCTTGGGAACGATTCAGCTTTCCAAGGGCGTAGACGCGGAGGAATTCTCAGCGACTTTAGACTCGGCCGGCGCGGTTGGTCCTGGAGTTTGCGTTGCGTGCAGTCGGCAGCAAGAGACAAGTGTCATCCGCAGTCCAAGGGAGAGGGAAAAGCGAAAAGGGAAATACGAGGGACTCGCAAGTCGCTCAATAATCCAGAGGTAGAGAGGACGGCGAAGTTTGTTAGATGACGAATCGCGTCTGCAGGCGGCGGGTACTCACTGGCTGGGGGGTGGGGGCTGGAGTCGGATGTCACCGAAATCCCACTCGTTCTGCTGGGTGCAGGGTCTTGGAGCGGGTGCCGGGAAAGAGGGGGGAAACCTGTCTTCAATCAACCGATCCCAATGTCGATAGGCCGTCGACCGCCCGCTAGCTGGAGCAAAGTGAGAGTGAGAGAAAGAGTGTGTGTGAGAGGCTTGGCGGAAGATGTGGGAGGAAGTGGGGCCTAAGGTCGAGGAGAAGGTAGGTGCTTACCTTACAGGCTTGCACAGTAGGTAGCCCCCCAGAGTTGGAACGGCACCCACACCGGAACATCCAGCACATGGGCGCAGGGAGACGACGGAGAGTGCGAGTAGCGGGTTGGTACTCAAATGTATCCGTACCTTCCCATTGCACTTCGATATTCACTTTCCTTTTCCTTCCTTCTTTTGGTGCCGTCGGACGTCGTCGTGGAGGCATGCAGGGAAGGGTTCCTCCCGCTCAGGTAGCCCCACATTGCGCGGGTTCCTCCCTTCGTTACCTACAATCGTAGGTAGGAGTTCACAACCTGGGAGTGTTCCTTCCCTCACTGCGACTCGGTCTCGTCTTCCGGCTGAGATGCGTTGTCGTCTCGAGCAAGACAAGGTTCCAACTTCCAAGTGCATTACGGCCATCAACCCAACATCTTGTATCAAATTTCGACTGCATCCCAGCAATGGCTTGTTTCTCTCCCTCGAGAAGAGATTCGTCTCGTGTTGCACCGGTTCGCCAATCTTGCCTCCATTCGCCCAAACTCCTGCAGTGCTGTGAACCATCATTACTCGACAACTGAACCTCCATCTTCTATCAGCGCACGGCGTCCTCACAACTCCAGATGACGTTCGAACGGCGGCTCGTCAGCAACAAGGCCGTTTCCAAGCGCCAGGCTGTCAGCCTTTTTCATTTGCGCGGCAGCGGACGTGCTCTCCGCTCAACCCTGCGTTGACGAGCAGATTGCGCAGGCGGCATGACTGGATCCGCGCTACTGGAAGCTACTGGAAAAAAGAAGGCCGAGGCGAGAAGGTGAGCACGAAGTTTCTTCTCCTAGGAAGAGGTGAACCCTTTTTTTTTCCTTTTTTTTTTTTTTTTTTTTTTTAAAAGTGGTGAGTCGCCGCGATATAGATTATTAGACTCTCATCTGCGCCCGCCCCGCCCGTTGCATTCCTCGCGTGCTGCAACAATAATGCGACTGCACAAGACAACTGTGTCGGGTGGAATCTGATAGTCGAACCTTGGAAACGAAGCCTATTTTATTCGCTTCGCTCCTTGCTTGGACTTGCCTCGTCCAAGTAGGCCCTGGGATGCCCAGCAGGGACCATACACCGAGCCTTGCATTGGGCTGTGCCGCTACAGACTTGAGATGTTCGGGAAAGCTTCCATGTTTGTCGGCAATACAGGCTGACACGGCCTCGTTCACACTTGCGTGCGGTGAAGCAGCAGGAAGCAGCTCGCTTGCCCACCACCTTTCACCGACTCGTCTATTCCTACGTCGTGCATGTGATGAACATGTTGATGGTGGCGGATTAAGCAGACAGCCACCAGTGTCACGGTGCATACGTCCCATACGGAGTACATGTAGATAATATGCTTTCGTCGCAAAAAAGTTTAAGTGCAAGTCGTGTTGATGCATCTCTCGGAACGTGAGACATGGACCTTGCACGGTCTCCCTTGTGCGCCCTTGTATGATATCGCCTGTGGCCAGGAGTCGAGATTAAACTGATTTGGAATCCGAATAGCACCCTCATTTGGTGCGAGGCTCCCCCATCGCGAGAGTTCATATGGAGTTGCGGTCTACCACGTACTGATGACCATCCCATTGGACGCCTTGGGTCAAACCCTGGTCTTGAATACAGCCGGATTATGAGTGTCACGGCCGGCAATACCGAGAGACTGGCTCGAGGTGGTGATTGTTGGTTGCGCTGTACGAAATAGCTGGGCATGGTACCCCGAGGTTGGGGTTGGTCTGTCTGGGTTTGGATGGGAAACTCTTGGCTGGGATGAGGCTGTCAATATCCTCGAGCTCGGTACTTGAATCAGGGTGGTATCATGGGACGAAAGTGACCGGTTCTCGTGATTTCTCCTCGCAAGGCCGCTGCTTTCTCGACAGGGAAAGCTGACCTGCGACTTGCTGTGCCGCTTCGTATCGTCCTGGCTGTGCAGCTTGGATTGGAGGGAGGATCAAACAGAGCAAGTAGGCAGTGGCAGTGACAGGCTGAGTTCAGCGAGCACCTGGTGGTGTGGCCAGGAGACAAAGACAGCACATCAACTGGAAGATCTGGCTCGCTGATTGCCTACCAGGATTGTCGTCCCTCATCGCTGTCGCTATCGCACCCGACCATCGCATCCAACGTGCCCAGCGTAGGTGAGAAGGGTAGCGGTACTTACAGGTACATAATCGGTACTCGACCAAATTAGACACTGCAACAGTGGCTGGCTGCATTGCGCGGTTTGGCAGGGGCTGGGAGACGGTCGGCGATGTGGGCAGCAAGGGAAGCCGGCAAGATTCATCGACGCGGCCCATGGTCCGTGTTGCTTTTGGGCTCTTCGGGGAGCCCTTTTCGCCCAAAGCCTCGAGAGCCCACTAAAACAGTTCATTGGCTTCCCTTTGCTTGAAACTTCCACGACCCAGGGCCAGGCCTGTTGATTGGAATCCGCGACCATTTCGCTCTCAAAAAGTCTCCAGTCTCTCGCGGCGCCCACTGTTCCTTTTCCCATCCGGCCCGGCGCTGGCGTGGATAGCTGCCAAGGAAAGGGGGGAGGGTCCGGAGGCGGAGGAGGAGGAGGAAGACGAGGAGAATAAGCAGGCGCTCTCAAAAAGGCGCTGAGAAGGCGAAGACAAGGGACGTCCTGTCTTTTCATCAGATAATTCCATCCCTCAAGTCCCTGGTTGCGTCTAAGTCGCTATCGAGGGAGGAGCTGGCAGCCTGCCACACCTAATTACCTACCTTCCTCAAGGCGAAGTGCATGAGCAAATCCTAGGTACCTTCCCAAAGTTCCCAATTAACTCATCCCTTTCTCTTCTCACTCTCTTCTATCCTGTTGCCTCTCACATCCTCTTCGCTTCCAGAACTTCTTCCATTCAACACACACCAACTTTACCAGTTGGGCTATGACCAGTCAACCGCGTGAGTAGCTCGTCTATTCGACAAGAGTCAGCTGTTGTCGTCATCGTCACCAGCCGCCGGACCGGACATGCCTTGATTACCCTGCAACGCTACCGACGCATCCACGCCAGCGACCTTGCGTAATCTCTGTGGACCGGACGGATTTGCGAGTCGCGAATACACCCGCTCTCAAAGCCGCTCCAAGCTTGAGTAGCTTCTGCGACTGAAATCTCTCAGGGGCCGCATTTCGCTACTGCCCCTACTGCACTCTTCTTGACCCTCAACGAGGCCTTTTCTGCCATATTTGGCCTTCTCGTCCTCATCATGGCCTCGCTACCACGGCCTGCTGTCAGCGGCGAGAAGACCATGACAGACGGATGGCTGCACACTAAGGGCCTATTCCTCTCGGTCTGGGCATTGACGAGCCGCCGTATGAGAGTCTTTGGCGCCTTCGTCCTCTTCCTGTAAGTTGATGGCCCAGAAATCTCGGCTTGTTTTCCTCGTGAATAGTGAGTACTGACCACATCGTATTAGTGGTTTCTCGGGATGGCTGTCACTTCCCACGCTCAAGACGATCACCGTACCGCAAATCTCCCTCGAATACGCACATTCACCCTACAATCATTCCAAAGTCGCTCTTCTCGTGGAGAACCGACCCAATCCGATTCTTGCGCCATTGATGCTGCACTTCATCTCCGTCGTGCCTCCCGACTGGCGCTTCCGCTTCATGGGCTCTGTCGAATCCGTAAAGGCTATCAACGCGTCCATGGCGATTCGTGAGCAAGTTGCCGCCGGCAAGCTCGACCTGACGTACATCCCTTCAAACATGAGCACGGCTGGTCAAGAAATGATCAGTCGATTCTTGACAACCCTCTGGCTGTACGAGACCGTTCTGCAGCCTGCCGAGTGGCTTCTCGTGTTCCAGACCGACAGTATCCTCTGCGCCAATAGCAAGCAGAACATTAACGACTACCTCGAATATGACTGGATTGGAGCCCCGTGGAACCCTGGCGGCAGGTGGGGTGGCAACGGTGGCCTCTCTATCCGTCGTGTCAGCGCCATGATTGATATCCTCCGAAATCAGAAGCGTGTAGATGGATCTGAGCCCGAGGATGTCTGGCTCGCTGAGCGCCTTGCTCACCGACCCGGAAGCAAGGTCGCTAACGGCACTGTATCATTGACGTTCAGTGGCGAGATGCACTCGGGTGAAGTTGCAAAGATCAACAAAGGAGCAGAGAAAGAAAAACTAGCGGCCGCTGCAGAGGGTGAACTCGTCTCGGGCATTGATGACTCTCGAGAGGGCTTTTACGAGCCCATGGGCTATCACACCGGCGGCAGTGGCCTTTACCTTCACGGCGCCATCTGGGGTACCCCGGCCCTACGCAAACACATCTGGGACTACTGCCCTGAGGTCAAGCTTACGCTAGCTATGGACGCAGCCAAATATGTCCCTGGCAATTGCAAGGCCAATTGGAAGAGAGGCCTTGAAGGTGTTGAGGCGGAAAGTAGCGGCAGAGAGTACGAAGAGCGAGCGGTAGATTCACCATACCCATCCGGTACAGAGTCCATTGAAGGAAGGGACTACCCGATGTTGCCGCCTGGCCTGACGCCATGGTGACGGCTGGCCAGCTGTCATTCTGTCAAGAAACCCTTTTGCTCGCAGCATCATGCAATGCGATGGATCTGGGATGAAATAACGGCGCCGCCGTAAAGTTTGTTACATTACAGGAACTTGTTAGCATATGATTTGGCTTGGCGTTTGGAGGTCATGGCCCTGCAGGGAAAGGGAAATGGAACCAGATAGCTCAAGAAATGAGTCATGCAAGGCATACCTTAGGTCATGAACTATGAGCGACCATTGAGACAACTACAACCGTGCTGTGGACAGGTGAGTTTCGCTCCCACGAAATAGTCGCTGCAATCAACACTAAACGATCCCCAGCCTATACGGGAGGAAGTAAGTCTTATAAAGTAACTCCAGTGTTGGAACCTTTCCAAACTTTCTTCCGAGCCACGATCCCTGCAGGGTACAACTGCTCACTGCAATTAAACCAAGACTTTGCGAGAGCAAAAATGGAGAAACCACAAGTGATGATCAGTCCAATCCGGCAGTACTGTCCCGGACGATCCGTCAGTCTGCCTCGATTTTGAAGGTCAATCTCTCAGTGAAGTTGGCTTACCATCTGTCTTTACCCTCGAGGACTATCCAAGCAGGAGCAAGAAGATTCATCTCCGAAGTGTCCGCAAGGTTCCTTGATGCCTAAATTTGTACTTTTATGGCTATAGCGGGTGTGGCGAGATGCGCTGCGGCAAGGTAAGGTACGTTCTATAGCCTACTTATAGGTTTGCGAGAGCGAAAAACTAATAATAATAATAAGCGTTCACAATGGCACGGCCTGCATACTGCAGCCATCCTCAGGAATGCGCAACGGACAATCCGCGACTGTCATCGGGGAACGCGGTGAATGAAGAATGCCCATTTCAAGAGAGAAAAAAAAAATCATGACACGCTTGGCAGACAAGGCCCTAAGCAAGAAGGGCAAACTAAATGTAAATATGCAATTGGGATATCGAATTGTGGTACAGAACTATGGTTGCTCTTTGAATCTTGAGCAAACGGAGTCGAATCCTCAAGCAATAAACCAACGACAACAGAGCCTGCATCCCAGGGCCTGGTGTCCGCCTAAAATATAGGTAGGTAGTAATTATTAAGGTACTCCAGCTTAGAGCACGTAACCCCCGCTCCCGAGACACTGCCACTCGCGCACGCCAGTGCTCTCCTCCAGCTCGACGCACCACCAAAGTACCTCCTTCGCCTTGTCAACCTGCCCGCTCTCCTCGTGCGCCCGGGCCAGCGCGAACCAGGCCTCCGCGTTGTTCCAAGCACTGCCAAGCTTTGTGAGGGAAGACAAGAGGCCGTAAGCGCGGTCGCGGGCGGCGAGGCGGTCGATGGTCGGCACCGAGGTCGCCTTGTACGGCGCGGGCAGCTTGTCATCCGAGTCGGCCCTCTCCACCGATTTCACCGACGACGCCGTCGTTGCGGACTGATGGGTGCTTGTCCTGCTGGCGGAGCCCGAGCTGGACGCGTTGGAGCCCAGACCCAGCGGTTCTGACGGGAGACCGTGTTGGGGGACGGCGATCTTGGGAAGATTCGGTGGCGGGAGGGAGAGGCTGGAGATGTTCTCCGGCACGCTCAGCGTCGGGACGGCCGGTGGCGGCAAGACTTTCTCACTGTAGATGTCGAGCAGGATGTCGGATAGGCCGACAATGGCTGCTGGGTGGTCGGGATAATGAGTGAGGGCCATCTCGAAGTCTGACCGAGCCAAGTAAGGTGAGCCCTTGGCTAAAGAAAGATAGCCGAGCTATAGAAGCTGTTAGTTGAAAGAACTCATACCTATTCAAGTACTAAGACTATACTCACCTCGGCCCACACGTCTCCGAGCAGCTCGTCGACACCCTTCTTCTCCGCCCAGCTATTGCCCCTCATAGACAGAGAGCCTGTAGGATCCTTGGCCACTTCAGCTTCGAGTATTCCTACAAGCTTCTGCGCTTCCGAAATGGCTCCCTTGCTATCTTCAAACATGTTGGCTCGACGGTAGAATCCCGCAATCATCAACCAAACTTTAACCAGCAGTACAGCTCTTTGTCTTCGTTCCATGTCGTGAGGAAAGTGGATCAGTGGCAAGGGGTTTGATATAGTGTAGGTGCCACTGGCAGAGATTTCGGAGAAATTTGTTGATCTTGATTTCTGGGAGGCATAAGACTCCAGGTGATGAAGTGAGCGGCCCCGAGAAACAGAAGACGCAGTTGAAGCCTGACGGTTGCCCGTAAGAGGGAAGAACTCGGACTGCTGCAGCTCATCGGCCGGAGTGAAGAACACCTCTCCGTCAATAACCGTCGGCCCGTGTGGATTGGTGCCTGCGCTACTGACACTTGCTGTCCTCTTGGGGCCACCGCTGCTGTCCCGCTTGCGCAAGCTGTGTCTTTTACCCGATTCGCTTCTCGATCGGCGCGTTAGACTGGAAAGTCGCCGCGCTCGTTTCTCTGTCGGTGATCCATTCTCTTGTGTGACTTGTATTGTCGGGGCTGCAACGCTGGCTTGTGTCTGCGCGGTTTGTGGGCGGGAGGGCGTGACTGTTTTCTCGGTTTCAGCTATGCTGGGTTGCCGCGTTCGTGTAGAGCCGAAGAAGCTACCCTTTATACTCCTCAATGTGCCAGCTGAGCTCTTCGGCACCGTCATCGTGTCAACAGCCTTGGGCGGTTGCATACTTGGCTTGGCCTCGAGGTTTCCGAACAACCTTGTGAAGAGGGACAGCAGCTCAGGGCAGGCATTAACGGCGATATCTGGCCCTTCAAGCAGCTCAATGATGGCGATCTGCGTCATCTTGGCCTCGAGAATACTTTCCTTTTCGGTATCATCCATGTCATCCACCACGCCCTTGCGTTCGTTAGCGATTTTTTCGTCCTGAGCTCCGGCCTCGTTAAGATGCTCGCTCTTGAAGTGGATATCCTGTCTTCCGAACAGAATTGAGGGATCACCAAACTGCTCGAAAGCACCATCGCAAGCCTTTCCCGCCATGCTGTAATCCTGTCTCGCGCTCAACAACAGCGCTAAGAGATGCCACAGGGGAATCAGGGAACGCTCCTGCCAGTACGCGCCGTGGTATAGATCTTGCTCATTGTCGGCAGACTTGTTGGAAATGAGTGCTGTCTTGACAATGTCAATCGCCGGAGTCAAATCTCGACGCTCGGCGAGTAGCAGGCCGAGAGCGAAGAGACTGCGGACATCCCTAGTGCGACCCAGTTCTGGAGACAAGGATTTTCTCAGGCATCTGATCGCCTTTGTCTGAATCTCAATCCGAGATGCTGCGTCATATGTGGTTCTCGACCACTGAGCTTGGGAAAGGCCAATCGCTTGCCAAGACAACGCAATCAGATGAGGCCGGATCTTGGGATGAAGGGTAGTCGCCTCGTCCTCTTCGGGGACAGTGTTCTCGCTTTCAATGCCATTTCTCAGCTGCGGAAGCCTCGACAACCAGTCCTCTAGCTCATTGCCAATAACACGGGCTTTCTCGACCGCTTCTCTTCCACCATAGCGACATAGCGCAAGAATGCACTGTGACATGGTTTCAAGAACAGTCCCGTCATCATCGAGGTTGGGCTCCAAGTGGCCAGTTTTGTCCACCCTGGCCTTGCCGTGCCTGACTAGATCGAGGTACGAGTCGAAGGCCTTGAAGGCTAGGTCGAACTCCGCCACGGCCAAGTGTAAGGTGAAAAGACATCGGAGAATCGCGGTGGAGTGATATGTCTTTGTCGCTGCGGCATACAAAGTGTCGAGAACACCTCTACTGAGGCTCTCACGACCCCCTTGGCCAAGGTCCTTCTCAGCCCAACCGCGACCACAGAGAATGGACCAATTCCTTACTACAGCCTTGACGAAGGACTCGACTTCTTCTCTTGTCTCATCGGCTCGGGGGAAGCTGGTCTCGCTGATGAGCAGTGCCTCGTATATGGCCTCGGTTTTCTTCAGCTCGACCCTCAGATGGTTTCGCGCGGAGGATGCCTCGTCTGTGATTTTACCAAGGAATCCCGTTGGGAATGGGATGTCCAGTTCAAGTATAGTTGTCAACGCCAAGTAGTACTCGAGCCAGACTTGTCGTCTTGGGACCGAACCCCTGTATCCATATCCTCCCGTTACCGGCCCTGTCATTGACTCCCAGTACCTAGCCCAAGAGCGGAAACAGGCGAGCGAGTCAGAATCCGCAAGCGACCTCTCATTTGAACGGAGCGCCTCGCTGTGAAGCACACAGTACTCGGTCAGAAACAGTTCAGACCAGACTTTGAACTGCTTGTGAGCGTTTTGGGGATTTGAAGCCATGGATACGGATGGCAGTGCAGAATCGAAGACGGCGAGGGCCTCAGCCGTCTTTTTATTGCGGGTAAGGCAGTTCGCCTTAATAGCGGCAGCTTTTAAAGCGCTGATGTTGGTCCATTCCGACACCTTGTTGGTGGTCCCAAGCAGTGCAAGCTCTTGTTCGATGTCCTGCGGCAACTTGGCCGCTGCCTGATCGACCTCTCCAACCACCCAGTGCAGCAATCCCGCGCAAACCTGAGCTTGGAACCTGTCTTCTGGGTGGGTTATTTCCCCGTCTATTGCGTCCTGAAGCTTTGCCTGCACGTTCGCGGCGTCGAGATCCTTGGCGGATACAGATGTCGAAGGTCGTCCGGCACCGGAGGGGTCGGTGGCTTTGGCAACAGAGCATTCCGTTTCGGCGGCCAAGGTCAGACCTAGAGGAGACTCGTTGTCAGTAACGACGGCATCGCAGCGCTTGCGTGCTTGTTTCGAGGTGACGGACAGGCTCGGTCAGGCGCATGTTTCCTGATTTTGCGGACGAACTCGGGGACGGCACTCCAATTGCCCTCGCAGCGAGCATCGTCGAGTGCCTTGATATAATGGGCGGCCTTGTTCGGATCGGGCTGCGAAGAACAAAGAAGAAAACATTTGGTCAGCTCCGAGATCTCGACGTCATGGGGGTCAAAGCCAGGGGAGAGGTCTACCAGCCCCTGGAGAATGGGACAAGGAAACACTCACAGCCATTTCGCGATGCTGAAGCCAGTGCCAGTGACGGGAAAGAAGTGCAAACCAATCCTACTAGCAGCGCATTTGGGTCCACAGCATTAGGATGATTTGCTGAAGATATCTTGGGGGGTGAAGGGGGGTTGGCGATGTTCAGTTCCCAAGAATGGCTTAAGTAGGGGAAGGCACGTTGCGTAAGTGATTGGAGCAATACCAAGGACACGCCCGCTTGTCTTGTTTGGCAGTGCTTCCACCAAAGTACGAAGTACCCCCGGGAAACCAGGTAGGTCAACCGGCAGAAAAGTGCTGGCTACAGCACAAGCTTTTGAATTGTAGAGCAGGGCAGCGCAGCACAAGGTCCCTTTGATTGACATCTGGGGAGCACGGGCCAGTCGGACACAGGGCGGTGACCAGACTTGCCAGGATGGCATCTGAAGATTGGACTGGACCGCCTTGCAGGGGTCAGAAGGTGGGTCGCAATGGCCAATCAGAACCAGTGCCTCTGGTCGCCGGGGAGGTACAATCAGCATGTACCTTCACTTACAGGAAAAAGTTTCATTCAGCATCAACGCCGGGTGCATTCTTTTGGCTGTGATTCGAGATATTGCGTGTTTCCTCTCACTGCGGTGCTTCAAACACGAAGGAGGGCTCTCAATTGGTTTCTTACACTATTATTTCAACCCTGATCGCTCAGTACAATGTCTCTCCCGCCGGATCTGAAGGTCTTATGCCGCAAGTTAACATCGACACCACCGGCTCAACTTCCTCACTCAATCCCGGCCCTCATTAACCACGTCCTCCGCTGCAAAGATGTCTTGTCTGCGCCTCATGATCCCAAAGCTACATTCAACTCGTCCGAAGTCTCAAGCTTGGTTCATAAGCTGAGGACGATCATCACAACCTTGCTGAATGGCAAGAGTGCCACTGGCCGCTTCACCGGCGCAACTCTCGTCAAGGCCGTCGTCGATGTAGGCGGCTGGGAGTGTCTCAAGGAGTCCGGCAACTGGGTTCGGGGGCTTTTGGGGATGCTTCAGGTACGCGAAATTCCGATATCGTGTTCGCTCTGGTCACTGACTCTGCTTTTCAGAAAAACGACCCATTCCCGGTAAAGGAGATTGCCATTGTCACACTCGTGCGCATATACAGTCTCATCCACAGCTACCAAACCCTCACAAGAGAAATCGCCACACCAACCATACCGACTTTCTTCAACGCATGTATTCAGATGATCAAGCTCCCAGGCGCAGGGCAGCGTCTCAAGACGCCGCTCGCCGTCGTTGAGACTGTCCTAGACGCCTTCTCCGCCATGATCCCCCTGTACCCAACGACCTGCCGCCCTTTCAACGGCCAGATTAGGACGGCCATCAAGCCCTACTTGGCGCCTACCTCCTCCGATGGAGCAACCGTTCCTCATTCTCTCCGCCGGGCAAGCAGACATCTGGCCATCTCCCTGCCACTGACCACGGCAGGCAAAACGGGACCCAGCGACGACTGGGTCAAGTTGGTCGACGAATTGCGCAAGGACTTCCACTTTACAGCCGATCAGGTTTTCCGCGCCGTGCAGGAGTCTTGGGAGGCCTCGGCGCCGTACACCCGCTCCAAGGTCGACTTCGATACCGTCCCGCAGGGTCTCGAGATGCCCGACCAGCTACCCAACTGGACAGGCATCTCTGCTGGCCGTGACAGACTGGTCGGCTTGCTCCAATACATGGCCGATGCCCTCCGCCACTCGACTAAGACGCCCGTTACAATCCCCGTCGCGGCTCTCATGGATATGGTCTCTCGTGTTTCGCTAATCAGCCGCAACTCCAAGTCCCAATCATGGGACCAAGCGCTCGAGACCCAAGCCGCCGTCGGCAGGGAGGAAAAGGAGGAGCTGTGGGCCGCGGTGCCCGACGTCCACGTCGCCGCTTTGGATCTGCTTCTGGTCCTTGTGAAGAGGCTGGAGCACAACGCGCTCTCGACCATTCCAGAGATACACGACAGCATGATACTCGTCTTCCGCTCCGGTATGAACATCCCCGTCGTCCGTGCCGCAACGTACAAGCTCCTCAACGAAACCCTCCCCGTCGTCGGCCCTGGTCTGCAAAAGCTCACCGTCGAGACTCTCGGCATCGTCTCGCTCGCGTGCTGCAGAGACATCCAGCAAGAGTCGGGCCACATTCAGAAAGCAAAGCCAGCGGCCAACAATAAGACGGCGGGCGAAACCAAGAAGAACAACATCGCTGCCAACGCGGACCTCTTCCTCCCCACGCAAGCTACCACAGACTCCACCACATCATCCTCCAGACAAACCCTTGTCGACAAGGACCACCTCGCCGCCGCGGACTCCCTCCTCGCCAGTCTTCTCTCCCACCTGCCCCAGCGACACCTCAAGCCGGGCCTGCGCGGCCTCCTGGACCAGACGGCCATCCTCTCGCGCAACAAGGCCGCCATGCTCGCCAGCGTCCTGAACCCCTACACCAATCAGGGAGGTGCCATATTCCCCAGCATCCTCCCCTACCTCTCGCAGCAGTACCCCCACGATCAGGGCGTCGAGATCCTGCGCTCCAACATCCGCCCTGCCCCCGCCGCGCAAGCCCCTGTGGATGCGCTCGAGGGCGTCAACATCACGCTCGAGGAACTGGAGGCCGAGGAGGAGACCAAGGACGCGGGTGAGGAGATCCTCGCCGAGATCCAGGTCGCGGGCGACGCGCAGGACGCGGAGATGAAGGAGGCGGCTGGCGAGGCCACTGCCGGCACCATCTTCGTCGCAGGTGATGAAGATGGCGACATTAGCAACCCGTACACCAACAAGGCCGCGGGAGCCTCGATCGAGGTCGCCAACCCTTTCGCCGTCACCTCCGCGCAGAAGCGCAAGCTCGAAGACGAGGGCGCGAGCCCGCCCAAGAGACAGAGCGTCGAGAGGAAGGAGGTCGAGACGACCATTGTGGCTGCGGCGCCGGAACCCGTTGCCACCAAGCCGGTCGAGGATGCGGATGACGACAGCGACGATGAAAGCGTGCACCTCAACATGGATCTTGACGAGGAGGAGGAAGAGGAGACAGACGACGAGTGAGGACGTGGGAAAGAGATGGATTCACCTGTTGTCGTTTAGTTGGACATAATACCCCTACTGGAGACGAGGTCCCGGTCGAATAAAAAGTAGTGATCTGGGTATTGATTTTGATTGCTATAGAGCTCTCGACGGTTGTAGTCGAGGCCGTATCTGTACATGATACTGTTAAAGTCCAGTATCCAAAGCCATTGCGGCCGACTTATTCTGACAAGTCTGTGTGAAGTGTATAATTGACCCGCTCGTGACAAGCCGGGGGGTTGCATCACGAAATCCCAATTTCATCTTCCCGCCGATGATAGCCCTCTTTCAAACGCCGCCGTATGAAGAATATCCCCCTTCCCACCGTAACAGCCCGAAGGTAGGCCCGTTTTTTTTTCTTGCTGTGGAAAAAATCTGGAAACCCCAGACTTCAAAAGAAAAGAATGCCAACCGCAGAACCCCATGCATCAATCCCGCAACCAAGCCCTCCGCTTCTCTTCCTTCTTCGCCCGCCTCTTCTCCTTGAATTGCTTGAGCTCCGACTTGCTGGGCTTCTTGCCGCTGCGCTCGGCCTTGAGGCTCCGGCCGTTGTGCGAGTTAGCCGCGGCGTCGACGTCGAAGAAGGCGTTCATCTGTCGCCGGCTCTTGGCTTCGTCCGTATGGCGGTCGGGGCCATCGTCCAGGGTCTGGAACTGGCCGGTGAAGCGGTTGAACTGAGCGGTCGCGCCGTATTCGTTGACCGCAGAGGACGTCTGGTTCGCCTCGTCCTCCTCGGCTGAGCTGCCTTTAGCGTACCACGCGTTCGGGTCGTAGTCGCCGTGAATGGCTGGATTGTAGCCGCCGGCTGGGGGAGCATCGTTCGTCGGTAGGGGAGGAGGGCCCGAGGGTGTCGCGTTCGCGTTCGCGATCGCGGTCGTGCCCGGTGCTGCTGGGGCTGCCGGTACTACAGTTGCGCCGGCGGTCGCTGGATTTGAAGGCACGCGAGGGTTATCCCATTGTGACGCGCCCGTGAAGCGATTGTAGAAGAAGTATGCCTGAGATGTCGGATCCCACTGAAAGTCCCAGCCGTCATCTTCTGTCGCTGGAGGAGTTCCCGAGGGCAGTGGCGGCGCCTCGTTGGGGAGCGGTGGCGCATTGGTAGGAGAGGCAGGATGGTCATCGCGGGCGTCGGCAAGTGCGGGAGAGCCAATTGAGCTGGCCTCGCCCGACTCTGGAGAGCTCGAATCTCGTCGCGAGGTGTTGCTGTCGCCGTTGTTATTATTGTCGTCGCCTTCAGAAGGAGTCGATTTATTTTCGGTAGACTCTTGCTTAAGGTTGGAAGCATCATCGGTCGGTCTGCTTTGTTCCTGCTCAGCCTTGCGCGGGGAGGCGGTTTGCGGAGAGTCTGACGCCATGGTTTCAAAGTCGGAATGCAGGGTTTAATGAAGTGGTGTGGGTTGTCTTTCGTGTGTGCTCGCGGGTGAGTTGAGAGTGCCTGTCACCGGGTAAGAATTGCTATGCCGGCTGAGCAAGAGCGTCATCTCTTAACAGAAGATGGCGATTTGGAACCACGTGGTGGGTGGGCTGAAAGAGCAAGAAAGCGAACGATAGAATCGCAGGTTTGTTGGTGCTTGGAGCAGAGTGCTGCAGTGTCCACCTGAAATTTGGAAGACAAGGAAGATGCCGCCAAGGATGGGAACATGACGGCGATTGACAGGCGGAAGGTGACCTACACCGGGGTATCCGTGACCACACTGTATAAGGCACTCGCGTCAGACTGATATGATCAACTAGAAACACTGTGTGGGGTTTGATACCGTATTCTTCTGCAAGCCCTGGAAGGTAAGGCGAGATACGTACCGACCGACCATTACCTTCCGTCGCACTAAGATACACTTAGGTGAGGTCAAAAGATTGGAGACTGCAGGCGCATTCAAAAATGACGGGAAGTGGCCGCTGAGGCGCTGCTGCAGCACGTTGAGAAATCCCCAGTTAAATAGATCCTTCTAGACCTTCTCACTGGACGGCAGATTGAGCAACGGAGGCAGATCCGGACCACGGTTTTGTTTGATTACCCTAGCTTTCCGGAGGAGGCAGTATGCGACATACATGACTCTCCATTCTCATTGCTCTCATCTGCTCTATTTTCGCCCTTTCCGCTTCGGCTTCTCTCTCTCCTCTCTGGCCCCCCATCTATCCACCCGTTGTTTCTTTCCTCTTCTTACCTCCTACACAGAGAAAGGTCTTTGCGACTTGGCCACCTGTCTCAGCTCCTTTCGAGAACCTGCATGGCATCTCACCGAATTGGTTGCCAGCCTGTCCACCCTCATCACTCTTCCAGCCGACACCCACAATCCTTACTGGACGCCGCATCAACTGTCGTTGGAACCGAGAGCCAATGTCGACGTCTTCCGCAAGCCATCGCCTTCACGTGTTGCCTTGCTCTCCCCATTGGGACAGTTGTTTGTTCACAGCCTGCCGTTCAACAGCTTCTCGATCGGTTATTATGCTGCCTCTGCCTCTCTTCTGTATGCCGAATACCCCTCACTTGACTTCCGTCGCGAGCGGTCACTTTCGTTATAGAACCCTGGGCGAAACAACCTCCCCTTGACCCCCGCCTCTCCACAGTACGACAGGACGTCCTCGCAAAGACCCGACTTCAAGACTAGGTAGCTTCTCGTTCCATCAGTCTGGGCGCACTAGCTGCGAGGCCGGTGGTTGTCATGCCTGATCAGCCCAAGCCCCAGCCGTTGCGGCCTCTGCTCCCGGCCCCAAAAGCCTCACAGCCGCCTCCACCACGTTTAATGCCAGCCTCGTCATCATCCAAGAAACGTCTGCCAAGTACAAAGGTTGCTTGTAACGCTTGTCGGTCCAAGAAAAAGGCAGTAAGCATAACCCTGCTCTTTAAGGATTATGTCCTACCCTCATCATTCGTTGTATGCTGAAAACCCTGCTCAAGTGTGACGGCAAACGTCCGTCTTGTAAAGCGTGCACAGAGCTAAAGACACAATGTGTCTACATCAGTGCTAATGAGACTGAGACGGCCGCGATGGCTCTGAAACGAGAGAACCAAATGCTTCGAGACATGTTGAGCCAGCTCACGGCAATGCCGGATGATGTTGCCCATCAGACATTGAAGAAGCTAAAGTTTGCCGTCGACCCTTACGCCGCCCTTCGCGCGATAAGGCCGTCAGGCCCAAGGGATGCCCGGGAGATCCTGCCTCACATCTCTTCCAACGTCGAGTTTGAACTCACAAGACGCCATCCCACTGTGTACCCCCAAATCCGGAGATTGGGGCGTCTCGAGATGCCGGAGAGCGTCGACCCCAGGCCTTCCAAAATCGCCCGGGTTGAAGACGCATCCGAGGAGGGGTCGATTCTCGAGGACCGCCGAGCACCAGAATACCCGACTATGGCTGAAGTCCTGGAAGATGGTCCTTCTACAGCCTCTGCAAAATCTCCTCGAACGTTCAACTCGGCGTTCTTTGTTCCACCGATGGGCCCTATCCCTCCCCCGTCGCCACGCATTCGCAATGAGCCCCGTCTGAAAGATCTGAATATTGCCTTCTGGACCGTAGTGCCCATCAGTAATCAGGATGCAGCAGAGGTCATCTCGTTGTATCTGGAAACGGACCATCCGATCTTGGGCTTATTTGATGCAGATCTGTTCCTCAATGACTTGGTCTATGGCGAAGTCCGGTACTGCTCTTCATTGCTCGTCAATGCTCTGCTTGCTTTCGCTTGTGTTAGTCATCCCCTATTCCCCCCTTTTTGAGGATTTTGTCATTGAGTAGTTTGACCAGCAAGCGTATGCGGCAAAACAACCTGAGGCGTCTCGGTGGAGTCAGGAGCTGGAAGATGAATCAAACAAGCTCTGGCATGCTCATAATGATGATACCCTGCCTACCATCGCTGCCTTGGCCTTCTTGATTCAGTCTAGCGGCTGCAATGGCAACGGTGAACTCAATGTGAAATTCATCAAAGACACAGCAGCTATGGCGAAGCGTCTAAAACTCTTTGGCTGTCCCGACGCATATACCTTCGTAGACCTGAATCGTCTGTCAGAACCAGAGGCTAGGGCGACGGCTCAAGTTGCCTGGGGAGTCTTCAATTCTCTGAGGTAAGCTCATTCTTTGACGCTGTCCTTCGCAACGGAGCACACCTAACGAAGAGCGTAGTATGACAGCCCAGTTTTGTCTTCCCGCGACGACTGAGTACCCGCCGACACTTCCAATCCCAGGAAAGGCCAAGCTTGGGAAACCAATAGTCGGGTCTGAGCACGAGCGTAGCAGCAGCGCAAACAGCACAGCGCCTTCGTCAGACTCTGACGCTGGTTCCCGATCCCGAAATCGCACCAAAAGAGGACGGTCTCATGCAATCTCCGACACTTTTGCCGCCTTTTGCGAATTATGGCTCATTTCCTCTCAAATCACCTGGGTTTATCAGCACGACACCAGTCCAGGCCATTCATCCCAGGCTTTCGCGCTGGAGAAGTATGGCAAGCTTCTGTCCTGGGCAGACAATTTGTCTGAGAGTATGGAACGAGACGAGCACAGCCCATCCCATGTGCTTGCCTGCCAGTACGTCTACATTCGTGGTTTCAGTAGTGCGCTGCAGGCAAATTGACAATCTTCGCAGCATGTGGTTCCACGGTACTGTTCTCTACCTCCTCAGGCCGTTCATCCCAAGCGATAAACAGCATGGCTTCAAGTTCTGGTCACCGTCGGCCGACCAGATACCCGCCTTTTTCGCGGCATCCGTCGAGCAGCTGAAAGATCTCGTCGAGGTGTACGCGCTGTACCCGGAGTCGACGTACAGCATCTTCGGACACACTGCCCTTATCCATGTAGCCAACGCCGTAGCTAGCGACATAAGTAATCCAGAGTGGCGACCCTACTTTCTCAGCTGCATCCGCGCCTACCAGGCCCTGTACAGCTCCTTTACCGTTGCCGAAGTGATCGCCGGCGGCCTCCTATCCATGGTCGTCAGGAAGGGAGGCATGGACATGACGGAAGCCCTGGGGCTGCTACAAGACCTCAGAGCCCGCAAGGGGCCCAAGGCGGGCGGCCGAGCTACCGGGATGTTTGTGACTGATCTCGACCTCGCCGTGACGGACCGCGAGGCGGCGAGGGTTGACCGCTTGATTGAGAACTTTGAAGAGATGACCATCCTGGATGAGTTTACCCAAGGCATCATCTGAGGTTCAAGGGGAGCGATTTCCTTGCTAATAATTTCCTCGCCGGTTGGTGCACAGTCGCCATAGGATTCTGGGGAAAAGGGCCGACTCCGTTTGATGATTTGAATTTCCATGACGCACATGTTTTGATGAGAGCCAGCAATACTTTATGTTGTTTCATTCTTCTCACGAGGTAGATGTGCTGTACAGTACATGGGCGGCCAACTCGCAAAAGGTAGCTCGTACTTCAAGTGTTACCTGGTGCTCTTATCCGACATGGCTACTTCTAATGAACAACCTGATCCTTCTGCGCTGCGAGTCTAACGGCTTAGGGGATTCAAGTAGGCTATTGCCTTGTGGTGAGCATCCGAGAGGATTTAGACTCACCGAGTCTAGTAATTAGCGTTCTCATGCCTCCTATCTGAGCACGACCTCTACGGCCACGAGATGGTGAGATGGAGCTCGAGGCGCATCCATCCTCAGCCCTGTAGGTAGACCAGGATTTGTAGTTGGCCGGGATACCCGGAGACAACACTTGATAGGACAATGTTGTGTGGGACACCTTCACATGTTCCCGATTATGTAATGTAGCCGCACCGACCTCAAGGCTCACGGGGTACCTAGAGCAGAGCGCTAAGATACCTTAGTTCCTCTCATTTCATGTTTCCATCCGCCCCGATACAACACCGGCCCTACGTTAGCTGAAGAAACATCGTATTCCACGGCCATCCGACCACCACACGGTCCGTCAACGTCCCAATGACAACCGCAGGCCTTTTGTTGTTTCTTTATGGCCACAAATAGCACACATTGCTGGGCCGCCCTACCATCGCCGTCTATCCGCTGCCTAGAAGTCTAGGGCGGCACGGCATCTCCTTCACCACGACGCTAACGACGCAGAACCAAAGCGACGGACGCCGCATCCGGACAGTTGAGGGTGTCATTACCCAACCCAAGACCCGTTTCGGGTCAAGTCTCTCCAGATCATCACCGTCGCCTAGCGTTCCCGCTCAGTCCCTGATGAGAGGTCGCCTCTCCAGCTTTTTGTCGTGACCACTGGGGAGGCCGCCCCCGACCCTGCCGTGCCTGCCAACCTGCGCCGCCGTCGCAGTCCCTGCTGCAATTGAACTCTCCAGGGACGTTTCCAAATCTTTGAGGCACCAAGTGGTCCGCTAGCACGTCAGGAGAACCCGTCGCCGTTTCCGTGAGGATCGGTCGCTTTGCTTCGCAATTTGAATTAGGCTCCCCACGTTCCCTCTCCACCTTTTGGATCCTCGATCCGGACTGTCTTCTCTCGAGTGAGGCGAGGGCCTGGCTATCTAGTGGCTGCTGGATGGCATGGCATCCGGAAGGGAAAGAAGCATTGCGCACGCACGATCCCGTCTCACATTCCGGTGCACCGTGGCAGGAGACGACCTCCAAAGCGACGTCGCCTTTGACTGCGGGTGTACACATCCACTCTAACGATTAGTCGATCACTCTTTAATAAATCGTCCTACATCCCGCCATCTCCTCTGCCTCATCAGACTTTCGATCGTATTCCTGACAGAGCCGCATCCCCAACGCCAAGCTCCACACGGACAAGCAGCGGAATGATGTCTTTCAGACGGGCACCTTTTGTGAACCTGGCTCTCACATTGTTGCCGTTGGTTGTGGTTGATGACCATCCTTACGTCGCTGACTCGGTGTGCGACTGCTATTTGACCAACACGTCGGAGAGCTACTTCACCAGCCACTTATTCTTCGACTTCCGCAACCTCAGTCAATACGCTGGGGTTCCAGACGTGCTCACTGACTGGGATGCGAGTGCCAACGCCAATACGACGTCCGACTACTTCAACTCTGACGCATGGAATGCGATATGGGGTATTCAGAACTGGAACAACACAAATCTTAAGGGAAAAGACGGCAACGATGCCACGATTAACATGGTTAACTCGCCAAACAACATTTACATTGAGAAAAACAACGACAATGACGCAACCTCTGACACTTTTATGAGCATGCGCACTGTTCGCCTTGAGGACTTCCAGACCTCTGCCGAGGTGGAGTCGGTCTCGATGGGATACCATTTCGTATCCGTCCGCATGCTCGCCCGCACACTCGGCGACCCAGGCGCGTGTACAGCGCTCTTCACCTACCGCGAAGCCGACACGTACGCCGACGTGCAAGAGGCCGATATTGAGGTCCTGACCAAGGACCCCGACGACCGCATCCAGTACACCAACCAGCCATCCTTTGACTCGAGCGGCAACACCATTGAAAAATCGACGCAGAATGGCACCATGCCCAAGGGCACATCGTGGCGCGACTGGGCCGTCCACCGCCTGGACTGGGACTCCAAGGATAGCACCTGGCTGGTGGACGGCTCCGAGACGTCGAGCATCTCTTTCCAGGTGCCCCGCGATCCCAGCCGCGTCATGCTCAACTCGTGGAGCGACGGCGGATCGTGGTCCGGCGTCATGGAGGTCGGGCACTCGGCCGTCCTGCAGATCCAGTGGATCGAGATGGTGTTCAACTCCACGGAGTCGTCCTCCAAGCGCGACGTAGTCAATAACTACCACCAAGCCGGACTCGGTCCCAGAGGTCACCTGGATCGCCGTCGCGGCGAGGGCAAGTGTCAAGTCGTGTGCAGTATCGATTCTTCCAACACCATCGGCGAGGCCGTCATGCTGCACAATGGAACGGCGCCCGGACAACTGCTGGGCCAGTCTAGCGCCATGGCATTCTGGTTGCCTGTGGCGCTGATGTCGGCCATGTTCTACCAACTGTGGTCGTGATTGATGAGACAACTGCATCTGTTTAATGCCAGCATAGCAATGGGGTTTAAATATGGGATTTATCTATTTAGTACATCATTAAACACATTTTTGAAGCTTGCTCAGTGAACGCTCGTTGTCAATATCTCTCAATCGGAAGCTAAGGGTGATCGGATCTCAAATCCAGAGCTTGACCCCTGTAAACCAGCACCAACGCGCGCCGCGACATGCCTTATACGGCGAGTGGGACATCTGGTCCCGATGCACCCCCGGGCCATGCCATGCCGCTCACAGGCAGCGTGCCTCGGTCCCAATTGGGTGGTGGGACAATTGGATGGACCCTTTGGCAGCTCAACCTCCCTCAACAATCTTCCCGTCCTTTTGCGCCGTGCACACCAAATTACCTCGCGACATCACACCGACAGAACAAATTGAAGCCCACCTTCGCTTCGCACACGCCTACACGCTGATCTGAGAAACCGCAAACGAAGCTCGAATAGCTGGTCCATTCTCTAGTTCAATAATGTCCGACACAGCAGCAGTAGCCCGGCCGATAAAGCCACAACGGCGGTCCTCGCCCGTTAAGAACGGCTACCTCATCCTCTACAACTTCGTCTCCGCCGTCGCCTGGGCCACCGTCCTCGGCCGTACCGTCGCCCTCTTTGCCCTCCGTGGCCCGCACTTTGTCCACCTCGGGGTGGGCGACTGGACGAGGTGGACGCAGACCATGGCCGCGATGGAGGTTCTTCACGCGCTGCTCGGTTCGTGTCCTTGCTTCAGCCCAATACTCTCCTCCATTCTACGCGAAATCAAAAGAGAGAAAAAAAAGAGATACACGCAATCAGTGATTCAGAGCTAACCATGTCCCCAAACAGGCGTCGTCCGGGCCCCCGTCTTCACGACCGTAATGCAGGTCCTCAGCCGCTTCGTCCTTGTCTGGGGCGTCGTCTACCCCTTCCCCTCCCTCGCCCGCAGCCCCTGGTACTCGTCCATGCTACTAGCCTGGAGCGTCACCGAGGTCATTCGCTACTCGTACTTTGCCCTGACCCTCAGCGGCCTCCAGCCCAAAGCCCTGACCTGGCTGCGCTACAATACTTTCTTCGTACTATACCCCGTCGGCATCACGAGCGAGTGCGTGCTCATCTACTACGCCGCCGAGCCCGCCAGACAGTTTGGGGAGCTCTTCCCATATGTCTCGTATGCTATTCTTGCCATCTACGTTCCTGGTATGTGTTCACTTTCCTCCTTTTTTTCTAGCTACGGCGAGGCCATTGTTGACAATGGGAACAGGATCATACATCCTGTACACGTACATGATGAAGCAAAGGAGCAAAGTCATGCGCAACTTGAAGGCCGAGGAGGCGGGCCGCTCCAAGACGCAATAATTGGTCATGGAAGAAGTGAGAGGGAAAATCCAGAATTTTGGTGGGGTATAGGGGCTATATAATTGTCGGGTATGGCTATAGAAAAAAAAAGGAGAGGATGTGCGTCTAAAAAGTGCATCCTTGCTCCAGCACGTAATAATAGAGGAAATGGAACATCATCGTCTATCAAGCGGTAGCAGTCTCGCCCGCCTCCTTGATGGCGAGCTTGTCCTCACCGCTGGACTCGTACCACTCGTTCCGCGTCCACTGGGCGATCGTAATAACCGCATCCTCCTTGAGCTTCTCGTACCCAGGGTTCATCTTAGGCTCGAACATGTCTAGGCAATTTCAGTTAGCGAAAGCTCGATCACTTTCCCCCCATCATTACCTTGGGTACTGGGGTTTCCACTAAGAAAACGGAAGGGGGGGGGGAGGTTCACAAAGAGACTCTTCGCAATAGGGGCTTTCACTCACTCATGTGCGCCTGCGTCTCCTCCGTAGCAACGTCGTTGACAGCCTGCTTCCAAATCCCGCCATTGTCCCTCTTGGGCAGGTTGCAAAACGTCCGGTCCCCGCCGAGCACCGTGCCGACGACGCTGACCTCCTTGGACCCTGCGGCCTTGCCGAGGCGGGTGTACAGATTGGCGAAGCCGACATCGAGCTCCGCGTTGAGCTTGACCATGTATTGCACCCTCTTCTGCAGCTCCGCGCCTTTGGCCAGGCAGCCCACGAACTCGAGGTGCGACGTCGCCCACGTCAGCCCCTGCGTTATGTGCTCGCGGTTGTAGTACGCTGCGCCCGCGCTCGCCGCCACGGCCGCCGCGCTGCCGGCCACCATGGCGATCTTGCCCCAGCCCCACCCGCCGCCGCCGCCGCCTTGCTGTGAGGAGTTCGCCGGCGGAGAGGGGAGCGCGGCGACGGGAGCCTTGTTTCTCGATGGGGACGGGGACGCGGCCTGTTTCGCGCCCCATAGCGCCGTGCCGAGGCCGCTAAGCTGCGTCATGGCGGCGTTGGCCGTGTTGTAATGGCCTTCGGCGCCATGGGCGACGACGCCCGGGGAGATGCCGAGATACGGGGTGTCGAAGGCGATGACGCCCTGGATGTAGGGGAACATCAGGCTGTTGAAGGTGGCGGTGGAGGAGTCGGCGGCCTTTTCGACGCCGTCCTCTGAGTAGATTGGCTTCTCTGACGTGAGACCGATGACGGTCTCGGCGGCGACAATACCACCCATGGAGTGTCCCGCTAGGACTACCCGCACCGAGGGGTCGACCGTCGGTGACGAGGTGCCGTTTGCAACTTCCAGGTCGATGACCTTTTCCAGGAGCCTAGTGGCTGCGTCAGCGGGGAGTCTTGTCTGTCGGTCGGCTGTGACGGGACAGAGATTTTACCAGTCGCGGAACCGGCTCACGCAGTCTCCCAAATCGCCACGCGTCTCATACTTGGGATAAACGAGGACGTTGACGTTGATCTTGGGCAGGGCAGCGGCGAGGTCTGCGCGCAGTTGCGCCGTGAAGCCCTCCTTGTCGCCAAAGGTGTCGTCACCCCCCTGTGCGGAAACGTACGTTAGTGACCAAAAGAACCGATTCGATGAGGACTTCACACACACCTTGAACCCGTGGATGAAAACTAAAAGTAATGTCTTCTTCATCTTACTTCTCCATGAGATGTTACTTGAGCGAACAGGGTGGTTTTGGACAGCTATGCGCAATCGTCGATGAGCTGGGAGCTTGACGTCTGCGCACAGTATCGAAACAGTGCGGGTATGCAACAGTGTGGGGGTGGGGGTGCCCCGCCCCGCCCCGCCAACTCGCCCATGACTGGGGGCCATGTGACAGCATCCCTACATTGCCTCCCTTAGAGAAAAGCATCCCGTCCTCCACTGGCTTACACAGAACTTTCCACTTTCCACCTGACCAAGATATCACAGTGCCAAGCGACGATTCTGCCTCCAAACTAAAAATCGAGATCAAGTGATGCGAGAAAAGAATCAGATACAGACGGCCAGTTCCTCTTTTCTTTCCTACAGCTTATATCTACAGCTTGTCGCACCAGGTCTGCTCATTGGTTCATTGACCAAGTAAGGTACCTTGTAGAGACATGCAGACGGCCGAGCTTGCCCGCCTCAGCTCGTAAGGCTGAGCGAGCTGCATGATCTCCGAGGCAGTGGTACGCGGATGCCGTCATCTGCTATGCCTACCTTGAAGATGTCCATACAGACGACAACCCGAATAGGCTCGGCTGTCGATTAAGCAACAGTCGGTGGTTCAGGAGAGGCTGGACTCTGCAGGAGCTGCCCGCCCCCGGCACCGTCTTCTTCACCGCTGTCTGGGAGAAGTTCGGCAACGGTGCCTAGCTGGCGCCCGAGAATGAGTCCATCACCAATATAACGGGAAAGTACCTCCTAGATAGCATATACCGCACCGACTTCCGTCGCGCTTAAACCGCCGTGCGCATGGCGTCGGCTGCTCGGCGACAGATGACGAGGGCGTAGGATTGAGCCTACTCTCTTCTTGGCGTAATCGAAGTGAACATGTCCCTGCTCTATGACGAGAGGGGCAGGACTTTTGAGAGACTGCAGCTTTAGGTCATTAAACAGTCTCCTGACGACTCTATACTCGCGTAGAGGTTGACGCGCGACTTCGCGTCGACTCGTTTCTCTGGTGATTTAGCGAACTCGGCTGGTGTTATCACGCATGGCGCGTTGGCCTCGAGCCCTGAAGACTTTACCGGGTGGTTTGGCACCCAGACTAGAACTGTCTATCAAAAGAAACTAAATCATGGAAATGACGAGCTACAGTCTTTGTATCACGCTTCCAGTCATCGAAGACCTGACGATAGGGTCGTATGGTGTGCTCAGTTGCATGGTGGACAGCAAGTTCGACAAGATTCTTGCAGTAAGTGAAACTACCCTCGCTGATGAATACGTCAGACCACGTTGGAACCTGGTCACGATCTCCTGTGGTATCATTCAGAGAACCGTAGAAAGACTTTTTATATCAGGAAGTCTAAGCATCAGAGGGCCGATCCCCATTTTGATTCGGACATACATAAGCAGTATGGAACGGTCCACATTCAACACCCTGACGACTGTCCCGAACGTTTAGTGGGTGTGGCCCCAAAGGAAGCATACCAGAAGTAATGGAGCGCTGTCATTGCGTTCAAGTGTTCTTATGACCGATGGAGACGCATACTTCTTCATTAAAGAAAAGGATCCGGTGGATGACGAGCAAGACGGTGGCAGTGACGGAGACGGGTTCGTCGTTGTCTTGAACGCAAGGAGTCCGCTCAGCGCCTTCTTCTCTCTCTAGATGGAACCTCCGCCTTTTGTCTGCCACATTCTACCTATGCTTAAAGGGGAGGGACTGGAGGATCTGGAATATCGCTACCTATTAGAGCTCAGAAACAGGCTCTCACTTAAAGCTGGCGTTCCGAGGGTCAAGATTGAACGAGACAACTTCCTCGGTCAGGGTCTTTACAATGTCAAGATTCTCCACACCAAATCGTTGGCCGAATCCCCTGGATCTTCACGAAACTGCTTCCGATTTCAGGCTCACGATGGCTTCGCAGCTTATGCCGCTGCCCCTTGTTCTCCGGAGACGATCTCTTCCTGGGTCTGATCCATATCGTTGCTTGGTGATGCAACAGTAAGAGACGCCCCGTCACCACCAGCTGGAAGGAAATCACCTCGAGCGGCGGCCTGTTGTTCCTATCCAGCCTCATTTGACGCAAAGCCAGACTCGCTTTTTGGTCGTCGTGGACAGAGCGGTCGCAGACACTGCGGACCGAGGCGGACCTTTATCGGCGAATGGTATACGTACCCTTAACCGTGCGGGTTCCCTTGTCGATGTACGTGCTGTTCCATGGCTCCCGAAACAAGGTCAAAGTCAGCGCGGTGGTCTCGGCGGTGTGTTTGACGGTGATCGTGCAATGTTGGGGCGTTGGTAGAGGTTCTTCTGGACCTTGGTAGTAGAAACTATGATAGAAGACGTCCCGGCGTTGGAGCTATAGTCACGCGGACGACATCTGACGGTGAGCCATGTTGTGGCGTTTAGGATTATTTGAAATAGATTTTTTGTTGTTAATATGCAGTTTAATAGTGCTATAGCTACGGTCTCCTATTTCTTGTTATATTCGGTGCATAATTTCCTTTTTTATGTGATCCGACATATCCTGTCTCTAAACCAATACTGGTAAGATACACCATATATAATATTTGGGACCACTGAATGTTGATCTTTCAGCCCGAAAATGACCTCGGAGTTTTAATAAAAGTGTAGGGCAGGTTTGTCTCTAAAGGGTGCAAAACTAACCACCCCCTGAGATGGGAAAAATCGAACATCGTCAACATCGCACTGCAGGAAGCCCCATTTAGGGGACGTGATGCTTCAAGTTGAAGTAATGCATTTTAACTCGCTTCTAAACATCGACTCAATCTTTTTAAATAGCATTTTGAAACACGTTAGTACGTGGCCGTCAGCCTCTGCACGAGATACTGCCCAGTGTTGATACCATCGTACTTTTTCTCCGCCTCCGTTGCGTACGTCCCCGGGATAGCCTCAATATGGCTCTTGAAGTTGGGATTGCAAAAGTAACTATTTACCATAGTCAGTACGCGACAATGTTCTTTGTCAAAGAGATAATGGCACCACTCACGCAACGCTGTAGCGCGGAGGATATTCCGTCCCGTCTTCAGGCTTCCTCGGCGGCTCCACGACGCGGTGAATCGTGCTCTTGATGGTGTCGTTGCTCCACCGCGCAAGCAGGTCCCCGGCATTCACAACTACGGTCCCGGGGATGGGCGTGGCATCCACGAAGCGGCCGTTGGGGCTCTGGACCTGGAGGCCGCCGCGGTCGTCCTGGAACAGGAGCGTGATGGAGCCGTAGTCGCTGTGCTCTCCCGCGCGGACCTGGCCCGGGTTGACCTTGAAGACGTTGGGGTCGACAGAGGGGTAGTGCAGCAGGCGCAGCGTGTTGTCGCCGGCGTCCGTGTAACCGTCAAAGTGGCTGTCGTCGAGGCCCATGCCGACGGCGATGGCGCGCATGACCTCGACGTGCAGCGCCTTGCACTGCGTGAAGAACTCGAGCATCTGCGACTTGAACCCGTTGACGCGGGTGCCGTCTTGCTCGACGGGCCACTGGTTCGGGTGGTCCGGCTCGCCGTCGCGGCCGATCTCGAAGCTCTCCTTCAGGTCAGGGTTCCCCGCGCGGACCTTTTCGACTTCTTCAGTTGTCTTGAGGGTGCTGACCTTTTCGCGGCCGGGGGCCGAGTAACCGCGGTTCGCCTGTGGGGTGGTCCAGCCGAGGGCCTGCTTGGCGGCCTCGTCCTGGGCAAAGAAGTCGGCCGACTTGGCAAAGGTGGCGGCGCGCAGCTCTGGGCTGATGGGCACGTTTTGGAGGTAGATGAAGCCGGCGTTTTGGAAGCCCTCGAGGACCTGCTTCGCGGTCTCGGTGCGCTTTGCGGCATCGCCATTGAGGAAGGCCGAGAAGTCGATGAGCTGTGGTCTTGGGTGAGTGGTGATACTCTAGGAATGTTGAAGAAAGGATGTCACTGATGTCACTCACGGGGATGAAGAGGCCCTCCTTGTCTACTGCTGTAGCTGCCATGATGATCTTGCTGTTGGTTTCACAGGGTTGGGAGATGAGTGGTGATCGAGGATTCAAAGGTGGACGTGTCAGTGAAAACTTGGGAGCATCACATGCAACAGAGCGAGATTTGATCTCGAGTAAGAAGTCACGATAAGGTTCGTCACTAAATCCGTGCGGCATAGGTTCCGAGCGACTTATATCTATCCGTCGATTGTGTGAGTGACGGTGCGGCTCAGCCAACCAGAGGCCAAGCATTAACTTCGTAAGTAAACAGCCAACCACCGGCGCCGTCTAATCAGTCCGGACGGGGCCAGGCGTCCCCTTATTGATCCCGGCCAGACGGGGCATTACGGGAGAGGACCCTTGGAGATCTCGGGGAGAGACAAGACCGGCTGGGTCCGCACTTGCACCAGACATATTCGTCGGCGAGCTCCTACACGTTATACATATGTGTAAGACGAAATGGGGCGTTACCCCCCGCTAACGAGGTGAAGACTAAAGAGGAGGTGGGAAAGCAAAGGACGATGATAAGAGGCCGGTGGTGCGTTAAAGGCCGGCGCGCAGAAGCGGTTGAGATAACGGCGGGGTAGAAAGATACTCGAAAAGGGAAGGATTCCATTGGGTTGTATGTAGCCCACCGCAGTTGGAGACGCCCGCGTGTGGGGTTTGTGAGGATGGTGCATTGAGGCGCTTGCATTTGAGGGGAACAAGGATTGGGCCCTGAGAGCACGAGGTGCGGGTCAAGGCGACCTCATCACCTTCCTGGAAAGACGTAGTTTGCCAGGTAACTGGTACTTACTTTTAAAAGGAAGACGAGGGGCAGCACAGCTTGCCTGCTTGTCCCGGGAAAGCTTCCGATAAAGGGTAGACTATCTACAACAACAACAACAGGCTCGGTTTTTCTTGTTTCTGGATTGCAGAGTAAGTAAGCTGGCATCTTCCACCACCTCGGCTGCAAGTGAGTTTCTTCATCTTGTAAGTCTGCCCAGCATCTTGGGTTTTCAATCTCCAAAGTCCCCACAGGCTGACAACAAGTAGATCGATCACCAAGACTGCTAATCGCCGTGCTGCCCTCACTTCGGCTCATCTCGACGCCAGCACCAAGTGAAGACGAAGACTTCAGACTTCAAGGAAAGAGACGTCGTCTGCTCGGCGGATCGCACAATGGCCTCCTCAACGCCCATGACGGTGGTGGACATCCACACCCATATGTACCCACCGTCCTATATCAAGATCCTCGAATCTCGAACCACCATTCCCGTCGTGCGCAGCTTCCCGCAAACACCAGACCCGCGCCTCATCCTCCTGGCTTCGGAGGAACAAGCCCTGGATGAGGCGACAAAGGATCCTTCAGCGAAGCCTCCTGGCCGGCCGCTGACCTCCCACTACGCTTCGCTCGACCAGAAGATCCACTTCATGGACTCGCACAAAATCGACATCTCGGTCGTCTCCTTGGCGAATCCGTGGCTCGACTTCATCGACGGCTCCGAATCGGGCGCCATGGCCAAGGGTGTCAATGAGGAATTTGACGGCATGTGCGCCGCGCATCCGGGTCGCCTCTTCTTCTTTGCCGCTCTGCCCCTGACGGCGCCCCTCGAGACCATTTTGGAGGCCATCCAACACGTCAAGGCGCTCAAGTACTGCCGCGGCATTATCCTCGGCACGTCGGGGCTGGGCAAAGGCCTCGACGACCGGAACCTGCTGCCCATCTTCAAGGCCATTGCCGCCGCCCACCTGACCATCTTCCTGCACCCACACTACGGACTGCCGAACGACGTCTGGGGCCCCAGGGCGAGCAACGAGTATGGCCACGTGCTACCCTTGGCCTTGGGATTTCCGATGGAGACTACCATCGCTGTGGCGCGCATGTACCTGGCCGGCGTCTTCGATGACGTGCCCGAGTTGCGCATGCTCCTGGCTCACAGCGGCGGCACGCTGCCCTTCCTAGCAGGACGCATCGAGAGCTGCATCATGCACGACGGACAGCTGGTGCGCGAGGGCAAGGTCGGCAAAGGCCGTCGGACGATTTGGAGCGTGCTCAAGGAGCAGATCTACCTCGACGCCGTCATCTACTCAGAGGTCGGGCTGAAGGCGGCCATCGACGCCAGCGGAGCGGACAGGCTCATGTTTGGTACCGACCACCCCTTCTTCCCGCCATTGACCTCTGATGAGCAGGGCGAGTGGGAGAGTGTGAGCATGAATGCCGACGCCGTTGCTGTGGCAGTCGGCGAGGGAAGTGAGCAGGCCAAGGCCATCATGGGCGGCAATGCGATTGAAATTCTGAGATTGAAGACGGATTAAGAAAGTAGCTTTGACATTAGAAAATAAAATAAGAAAAGAACCTGGTGAAAGTTACTGATTGATCTCATTGAGATGAAATGAGCGAATCTCAGTGAGAATTGGCTTGAGTGGATGAGCCAACCTGACCGCTTTCCATATCGGGACGGAATAGGTGGGACTTGCTTATACCGCCTTCCAGGTTTCGTCTCATCGACCGGTTTCTGCTGGCATTTACTGAAAATATGGCAGTTGGCCCCGCGATCAAGGTCCATCCCACATCTCATCCTTGAACAATCAGGCTCATCAATTCATTCGAATTCTACCTGTTTTTCACTCAAGCATACCTGCCAACCTCTACTGGATATCAATATCAACTACCATGGCGGCCGAAGTCCGCCGCTCCAACGGCACGCGCCTCGATGCCACCCTCGGCATCACTGAGCGCATCGCGCCGAGCATGGTAGCTTGGACTGGAGATATGCGTAAGAGGTAAGCTACCCAGGCTACTACATCATGATACTTCGTCATTAACGTAGCCACTTAGATACACCGATTTTCAAGTCTATGAAATCAACAAAGATGGCTCCGTCCTCCACCTCACCGAGACGCGCCTTCCCCCGCCGCCAAAGGAGGATATCGCCCCTCCCCTACCGCCACCTCCTCCTGCTCCCATAGTGGAAGATAAAAAAGAGGAAGAGCCCAAGCCGGAAGAGCCATCACGAGACGGAGAGGTGGCCGAGAAGCCCGCTGTCCCCCAAGTCCCCGCCGAGGACATCGCCCTCATCGCTTCCCTCACAAACGAGGACTTCTCCAACCAGCTCCTGGCCATCTACCAAACGATATCCGCCGACAAGAACGCCAAAACCGAGCCCGTCACCTCCCCCGTTATGGACGACAAAGACAAGCGCTCCCAGCTCCACCAGAACGTCCGCCGCATCTTCAACTCCACCATCGACACCACTACAGACCCCACGGGCGCCATCGTCGCGAGGGTCCCGCCCCCTCGCGGGAAGGGCAAGGGCATGCGCGGCGGCCGCGACAATGGCCGCGACAACAAGCAAAAGAAGCCCAAGGTCAAAGCCGTGGCCCCCGGCGAGGGCGAGTACCTCCACTTCACACTGTACAAAGAGAACCGCGACACCATGGACGCCCTGCACCAGATCTCAAAAGCTCTCCGCATCAAACCCCAGGCCATCGGCACGGCGGGCACCAAGGACCGCCGCGCCGCCACCACGCAGCGCTGCTCCGTCCGCGGCCAGCGTGCCGACGCCCTCCTCCGCGCCCGCCTCTTCGGCGTCACCGTCGGCGACTACCGCTACGCCCACGCCCCAATCCACCTCGGCGCCCACAGGGGCAACGAGTTCGTCATCGCCCTGAAAGACTGCCTCGTCGCCGGCTCCCCCAATCTTACCCCCCCGGAGCGCAGCTCCCAGATCCGGGCCTCCGTCGAGGCCGCCATGGCGAGCATGCACAACCCAGGCTGGATAAACTACTTTGGCCATCAGCGCTTCGGCACTCACGCAGTCGGCACCCACGAGGTAGGCCGCCTGCTCCTGCAAGGCGACTTCGAGGGCGCCGTCAACGCGATCCTCTTCTACGATGAAGCCATCGCCAAGCGCGCCGTCGCAGGCGAGGTCCCCGACCAGGGCCACGCCCGCGACGACTTCAACCGCCATCGCGCCTGCATGGTCTTCCGCGACGGCGGCTCCGCCGACGAGGCTCTCTCCCACCTCCCGCGCCGCTTTTCTGCCGAAGCGAGCCTCATCCGCCACCTCGGCCGGTCCACCGCCCCATCCCGACGGGACTTCATCGGCGCCCTCACAAGCATCACCCGCGGCCTACGCAACATGTACCTCCACGCCTATCAGTCCTATGTTTGGAACCACGCGGCGAGCCACCGCTGGCGCCTGTACGGCGGTAAGGTAGTCGAAGGCGACCTTGTCCTCGTCGACTCACCCACCTCAAACCCCGATGCCGACGAAGACGACGACGCAGAATCATCCTCCGCCCGCGCCCTGACCGCCTCAGAAGCCGCCTCAGGAACCTATACAATTCATGACATCGTCCTCCCTTCCCCAGGCCACTCCGTCGCCTATCCCACAAACGCAGTCGGGGCCTTTTACAAAGACTTTATGCGCGACAACGGCGACCTGGACCCGCACGACATGCTCCGCCGCCACCGCGAATTCAGCCTCCCTGGCGCGTACCGCAAAGTCGTCGTGCGTTTCCTCTCGGAACCCTCTTTCGAGGTTCGCACGTACGAGGACGACGAGGAGAAGATGCATCCCACGGATATGGACCGTATCCGCGCCGCCGCGCGTGCGGGTGCGGGTGCGGCAGGGAAGAAGCGGGGCCGGGAGGAGGGCGGCGCCGAGGAGCCGGATGCGGCTAGTAAGAAAGCCAAGACCGAGACGGAAACTACAATGGACGAGGGGGCAGAGGGCGAAGCCAGCAAGACGGATGAGCCCATGGCAGATGCAACGCAGACCGACGGAAAGCAGCAGAAGCAGCCCGAGGCCGAGGCGGAGGTGAAGGCCGTTACGGACGACGTCGTCGCCGAGAAGCCCGATCTGCCGTCTACCGAAAAGACCAAGACGGCCGTCGTTGTCACCTTCCAGCTTCCCAAGAGCGCCTACGCCACCGTCGCGTTGCGGGAACTGATGGGCGTTGACGAGTCAGAAGTCGCTGCGGCTCCTTTGGTTGTCCCTGCTTCTGCTCCCGCTGCTTCTGCTGCTGTCGTCACCGATAATGCCGAGGTTCCAGAGACTTCTCAGACTACGGTTACGGAATCATGATAGCCCCTTACCCGCCGGCATCTTGCAATACTTCACTAGAAACACAAAGGCCGTCACCGGCTTAAAAAGTGATCTACTTGGCATGTAAATGGTTGTAGACTAGATACCCCCCTTGGAGAGAATCGTTGAATCGAGCGTATGTAAAATGCTACCTGGAATTCCCCTGGCAACTTCAGTCCCAATCCAGAGCGTATGGTTCCTCGGCCGTGGAGAAAAGTATAACCCCATCAACATCGGCAGAGTCTTTTTTGCATTGCTCCAACCCCAACTGGTAATCGCTTGAATCACAACAGTGCAAACATTCTTAATCGAGTATTGACCGCTGCCGCTCGTCTCGGTGCATCTCTGCCTCCGCTACATATATCCAGAAAGTGAATTTGTCCCCCTGAAGGCGCAGGCAACATCAGCAATCCTGTGCTCGTATGCCCGTCGCTTATTAAATCATGAAAAATGGCCTTCTTCTTCCGCTTGATTGCTTCATCGATACAGAGTAGTCTCCCTTTGAACTCGGTTCTTTGTTCCTGTTTCGCTTGTGATGTGTTTGACGCTTTCCTCGGTAGCTGACCCAGGTTGACATAATCCTCCCGCCAAGGGAACAGCATTGTGCTTTTGCTGCTTTGTCTTTGAAAAGTCGCCGTAGGTTCGCCGTATGGAACAACGTTACTGTTGGGTGCATCGTCATGGCATTGTGGCCATCAGCCAATCACTGCTTGGTATCCCAGCCCCAAACTTGAGCTAGGTATTTGGCCATGTTGACACGCTTCGAGCGCATTTCCACCATCCACGGATGCTCGAGCATCCGCCATGGGCTCGCTCTCCTGGTAGGTTCCTTTTCTAGGCTTTGAAAGGTCAGCACACGATTTCATACTGAGCCAAAATCGCCACTTACCAACACTCGATGAAATACTTGAAGTTGTCACTCCAGAAAATATTGGCATCAGGCTCATCCTTGAGCTTCGGTATCGGCTGCCGCACAATGTAGGTGAGTAGGTCGATCAGACCAGCTCGTGGCTGCATCTCTGTGCCATCGGCCGGGAAGGGGAATCGATGTTGTGCCACCTCCAGCAGAGTTACGCCGGTCGACCACACGTCAGAGGTGATGGTGTAGGATTGACCGGTGATGCGCTCGGGGGCCATGTAGTAGCTGGTGCCGATGAAAGTGTTGGCTTCTCCCTTGGTACCAAAGTCTCCTGACACGCCAAAGTCGCATAGTTTGACATCGCCATTCCTGCAAAGCAAAATGTTGGATGGCTTGATGTCTCGGTGGATGATACGCATGCCGTGCAGATACGTCAGTCCCCGAAGCACGCCTTCGGAAATCTTGCCGAGAACCTTCTCACCCGTCCGGCCGCCGAGCTTCTTCACCTCCTTGTAAATACTGTCCAAGGAACCACCCTCGCAAAACTCCATGGCGATTGAAATCGTTCCCGTAGTCGAGTCCTCAAAGGCGCCATAATAACGGCAGATATGCTCTGACGCACACTCTTTGTTGAAGCCTAACTCACGCACAATCTGCTTCTTGACGTCGGGATCGGGGTTTGTGGTAATGACCTGGACATGTCAGTCTCCAGTTTTTCGATGGAGGAAATGCAGTGTTCGCACCTTGAGCGCGAATGTGGTCTTTCCACCCTTCAATTTGGCTTTTGTAACGGCTCCGCCGGCACCTTCGCCGAGACTGCCGAGCTCCTCGATCCGGTTTTCCATGCTCGCGACCCTCCACGATTCGGAGTCAAGCTCCTCCACATCCAGCGTCCTGCCCCGCTCTAATGACAGCTTGTCAAAAGCTTCGAGACCCTGCAAGCTGTTATCCCGTTCCATTCCGACACCGCCGTCACTCCGCTCAGAATAAATTGAGCCCACGGCAGACGATGGGTCGGGGGTTCCTTGAGGCCGCGCAAAGCCATATTGTGAAGCAAAGGACAGTGCTGAATACTGAGAGCCAGCTGATGTGGGGTTGCTAGCTCGACCATCCAGAGGGCCGAAGCTTCCAGATCTCGAGTGTGCCGCACTGCTTTCGCTACCGCCACTAGCAGACTGTCCCACGCCTCCCACGCGCGGTGGTTGCTCATACGGTGTCGTCTGACTACCCATCGGTGTAGCCAGGTGGAGAGTCGGGAGAGATGGTCGTGAATTTACGGGTTGGGGCGCTTGTCCACCGACGGGCTTCGCATTTGGTGATGGGGGGATAGCGAGACCGAGTCTAGGTGTTCGGGCACCTCCACCGGATCTGCCGCCGGGGATGGCAGGGCGAAGGAGAGGAACTGGCGAATTCATCATGGGAACGGAACCGGGTGTGGACAAGGCTGGAGAAGGGACACTGGGCGGTGTCTATGGGGAATGATCAGTACGATTCGCGGTGAAAGCCAAAACGAGGGTGCTCATGCGAGCATGCTTACCTGGCGAGGAGGTTCCATCGTCTGCGGTTGTAAGGGATTCTGATCGGCCATGACGGGACGGTATGTTGGGCAGATCAGAAAGGTGCAGTTGAAGCTGGAGAGAGTTGTGCCCCCAGAGGTAGGATCCCACAAAGTCGCAAAAGGGCCGAACCAAGCTAAACTACTTGACGAGGTAGGTCGAGGTGTGACGGCTGCGGCACAGAGCACAGGCGGAAAACAGAAACTAGCGTGGTCGAGTAGTTGTAGGAGGAGCTGATGAAGTGTAGATCGAGTGGGAGGGCAACGCCGTTGAGCGTTTGAACCTCTGGTTCGAAGCTGAGTATATAGCCAAACTATCGGAGCGTGTCGTTGAAGATCAGAAGGCTTGGAAGCGAGAGACAGGAAAGTAAAACGTCGGCGGGAAGCTTTCCCCGCAGGACTCAGGAGGTCGATATTGAGGTGGGAGGGGAGGTAGTTTTGGGGTGCGGGTGACGTCCCAGCACCTAGGCAGACCAAGGCAGCCCAGAGCAGGCGAAATGGTTCGAGGTGGTAGTTCCTGGTCTGTACCGGAACGGGGGTGGGGGGAGAAGAAGGGAATTTCTCCTCTTTCTCGGGATGGAGGGACCGGCTTGAAGTTGAGCAGGCCGGAGAGAGGAGCAATGCAAGAGCAAACGACGCAGTGGCGACGGGCGAGCCCAAGAACCTTGGTCCTTTTGAGAAAGACGAAGTGATGGAGTGGGATTCAAGTGGGCAAAAAAAGGCGGGGAGCAGCGGGACGGGGACGAGCTTGGGCGCTAATTCCAAGGCCAAGTTCCAATGGAAAACGGGGAGGGGGCCTCTCAGGGCCTGATGAATGCACTGGGCGAGGCCATCTCCGTATGGGTGCTGGAGGTGGACTTGGCTGTAATGGTAGGAGGCACAAGGCACACGTAATGGACCAATGTACATTTTCTTGCTGATGCACTCTAAGTTTGGTGTAGACCAGGGGAAGGCTACATCAATCAGCCGGATTTAGGGCTTTTCTGACGTGTACCTTCCTGATACTGTAAACAACCTTGCCTAAGGTAATGTATTTACCTGATGGCGAGCACGCGAGGTACCCTGAGTGCTTAGATTGCCTAACGCTCTTCGCCTTGCCGGAACTCGCCCTACACGAACGACACAAATGACACCAATGACATGAAATGCACGAACAAGAACAAAAAGTCAATCAGCAGATCAATCGAAGCTGAGCCGAAGCCCGCGCTCGGTCGCTTCTTTTCAACCCTTTCAGCGCCTTGGGGCAGAAAAACGCGCCATATTACGGGAGTCCCTTGCGTCGTCTGAGGCTCTGGCCTTCCCAGTCGGATATTTCCAGCACGATGATGGCCCTGCCTGCCCTGCGGTCTAGACTCGGGACTCTGAATCGGATTGGAGACGACATTGGTATCTGTACTTCCTACTTCTACAAGTTCGGGGCTGTCCACTCCATAAGAGTCAGTCACCATCAACTCGCCTCCATGCTGTGTCTTGCTTGCGTCCGTCCTATGTCCATCCGCATTACGCTCAGCTCCAAGAGAGGGCAGACAGAAGACGCTGTTCGACGAGCACGCAAAGAGAATGAGAACGAGGTAACAAAGCCAATGCCGCTGGTCCGGCCCGACAGTCACAGGCACCCGTCATCGGGACGCGTATTCGATCAAGAACCAAAACATGTACCTCGTCACCGCCAACAAAAACAACACTTACTGTACATTACCGACACGACCTCCAAACAGACAGTCTCTTGAGCACAAAGCACGGTGTGATGAGTGGGCTTCAAACCGTGACCACAAAGCAGCTCTGCCCAGTCGGAACGCCCATCGCCTGGCGCTGCACAATGGGCAATGGGCAGACGCCGGACCAGTTACACACAGCCGTACGGCGACGAGGTTTGAGACGGCGTCCGGAAGGCATGGGGGTATGAGATGAGACAGGGGTTGCGCTGTCGTTGGTGGTGTGTCGTCCATGTCTTGGGCTGCCATTCGATGCGCTGCCCTGCAATCGCTTCTTGCGGGTTGCTCCCCCCCCCTTGGCCCCTCTCCGGCCAAGCATCTCGTTGTGGGCACGCCGCACGCCGCACGCACCAAGCTGAGCTCTGCACTGATTTCCGACCGTCTTCTGCATGAGCTCGAGATGCACAATCCGGGAGTCGTCCCCGATGCAACCTAACTCTTTTGTACTTCCAAGGCGATGGGCTGGCTGGCGAGTGGGACACGATGGTTTGATGAAATGAGAAGCTGCCGGGCCATGTTCATGTCTCTCCTCGCACTCTCCGCGGGATTGTTCGTCGCTTCACTCTTCAAGGTATTTCGTCCATCTCGTCACCTTCGATTGACGATTAGGTTGGTCTGGCTGGTGGTCTTGGGGCTGTGGGCCAATAGCTGGCGGAAATAGCGAACCAACGACACTCTTCTCATCACATTCACATCCTCACACCATCCCCGCGGTGTCCCCTACATGACTGCAGGATCACAGAACAGATCAATGGGACTGTCGGCAACCAATCTCCATCCGTCCGACTTCTACTGTGGACCGTGGTCCAACAGGTGTATGGATGAAACTCGCGTGAGCAATTTGACAGCGCCGTTTTGGCTGAAATGGGGGGCTTTTCCTGCAGCAGCATCTAAAGAGAGCAGAAACGGGGCAGCACCTGGAGCTCTTTTCGGCACATGTTGGAACCTTGGACGTGGCTCCTGGACAAAGTACACGGCACACCTGCCGCGGCTTCCAAATCATTTAGCGTTGCGACCCAACAGTGTCGGCATCGCAGTCCGTTTGAGCAATTCTAGTCAGCTGATTGCAGACCCAGGCATCGAAATGGTGGTTGCAGAAATGCTGCTCTTGGTGCCGATTGCTGTGCCCCTTCCACCGGCGGTGCGGCACGAATGGGATGGTTCCCCGACGAGGAGGAGGAAAGCGTTTGCAGAGAAGCGGCAAGCACAACCATTGGGGTCCGAAACACGGAAAAACTTCTGTTCCAATGCGATTGCCTCTCCCTTTTACTTCTGCGCCGTCCCGCCGACGGTGGCGAGCCGATAGGCGGTTAAGCTCAGGGTTGCGGTATTGAATGGGCCACGCATTCGAGTTCTCACCGCATTATCCGTACCGCTGTACCTGGACCTTGATCAGACGAAGGCCCGATTTTTCAAGGCCCTGCCCCAAAACACCTACGTGGTGTATCGTACTTGCGTCGTCTTGGTCGGCGGAATCCCGATGCCCACTCTGCCGGCCTGGGACGTGTGCATCACTTGTCGCACCTTGCGAGGACCAATTGACAGTGAGGCAAGATGAGAACAGAGGCAGGCTGAAGGCGTAAATTCTGCTGACATTCTGTGGCTGCGATCATTTGTCTGCCAAATCTGGCCCATTGGGTCCCAGCTGTGAGGTCAATTCATGACCAGCACCATGTCAGACGGGCACGTCCGAGAAAGAGAATTCAAATCATACAAGCCCCTCTTATTCAGTTGGGTCATGGTTAAGGCGGGGTTGCATGCCTGAAGGTCGTTGTTTGACACTCGGCTTCGTTCTGTTTTTGCAAGATCTTATTGTACTCTCCATGGGTGTTCTTTGAATCCGCTGCGACCAGATCACTCATCTGACAGAAGTCGACACAATCACGGAGAAGACGGGTGAGTGTCTGCCCAGCGGTATCCCAAGGCTCATGCACCGACTTACATAGTAGGCATACGTCCAGGAACAGATCTCTGGATCCCGCCAAGGGCATAAGGCGGAAATGCATCTATGCTAGCCCCATCCCTGGGCGGGAAGCTACGCTATGCTGTCATCGGCCTCAGCCCTGAAAGTTTGTTGGGCTATATGCATCGAGCATGTCCTGTCAATACCTGGTCAACAACCCAACATCGGCTCGACTCATCTCTCGTGAACGGTGCATACTTCCTGCTTATGGATACCTGACGCACAGATAGTCAATTCGAAGGGAAAAGTGTCGTGGCTACGGATGAAGTATGCAGCCAACAGATGACAGATGCGTGAGCTTGCCTGTGTCGACGCATTGAATTCTAGCATTTGCAGCCTCTCACGCCCTGCGCGCTTGATGTTTCCCAACTGGTCGATTTGCCCCTTCCAATCACTCGCCGGTTTGACCCGGTCACTAGCCTCGTTTCCCTAAGCGCGCGTCTCTAGCTTTTCACACCTCTCTATGTGGGGGCCTGGGCACTGACCGCCTTCCATCCAATTGGTCTGCCCCACGCCAGGCCCCTTGGGCCTTGGGTCACCCACCCCGCCTGCCCGCCGCGCCGAAGCTTTACAACCAAAACTTTTTGGACCCTTGCCCGAAAATTCTCATACGCTGGTGCAGTGCAGCCGTTGCAGCCAGTTCATCACCAAACTTTATACCAGAAAGCTGCTGCGTCTCAGGTCCTCAATCACATCGCATCACAACCGGCATAACTAGATTAGTGCTTGATCACCCTCAATGCCGTCCGCTGCAACCCCCAGACGACCGGGCCCCGCGGCCGAACATGAGGACCCGGCATCCTCTTCCGCCAACTCTTCCAGCTCCGAGTCCGAATCCGACTACCTCGACAGTCCCGCCTCGCGCAAGAGACGGAGGACCGACCCCACAGCCGAACCGGATCTAGGAGATCTCGAGAACGACGATGGCGAGGAGGAGGAGGAGGAGGAGCTCAAGACCGTCGTATCTACCATCAAAGCTCCGTCAAGATTCAAGCGCGCTGCCGACCAAGCTCCCCAGACCTCGCGCCCAGCGCCGTCGCAAAACGCAATCACCGCACCAACAGATCCCAATACCACCTTCTCTGCCATAAATGTGCGGCCGTGGCTTGTGCAGTCGTTGGCCAACATGGCAATCAAGAGACCGACGGGCATTCAGAAGGGCTGCATACCAGAGATTCTGAAGGGCAGGGACTGCATCGGTGGAAGCAGGACAGGTTCCGGTAAAACGGTGGCCTTTGCCGTGCCTATACTGCAAAAATGGGCAGAGGATCCCACGGCCATCTTCGGAGTTGTCTTGACGCCCACCCGCGAGCTCGCTCTGCAGATATTCGAGCAGTTCAAGGCCATTTCCTCCCCGCAGAGTCTCAAAATCGTCCTCATCACCGGTGGCTCCGACATGCGGCCGCAGGCCATCGCCCTGGCGCAACGCCCCCACGTCGTCATCGCTACGCCCGGTCGTCTCGCCGATCACATTCGCACCTCGGGCGAGGACACCATCTGCGGGCTACGCCGCGTAAGGTACGTCGTCCTCGATGAAGCCGATCGCCTCCTCGACGGCACCGGGCCCGGCAGCATGATCCCCGACGTTGAGGAGTGCCTCTCCGTCCTGCCGCCCTCCTCGCAGCGCCAGACGCTCCTCTTCACCGCCACAATCACCCCCGAGGTCTGCGCCCTCAAGGACATGCCGCTCAAGCCCGGCAAGCAACCCGTCTTCGTCTGCGAGGTCGACACCCAGGCCCTCGCCATCCCCGCGACCCTCTCCCAGATGCACCTCCAGGTCCCCGTTACTCACCGCGAGCACTACCTCCACACCTTCCTCCTAACTGACGGCAACGTCGACAAATCCATCATCATTTTCTGCAACCGCACCTCCACGGCGGACTACCTCCACCACCTGCTGCGCATGCTTGACCACCGCGTAACCTCGCTGCACTCCGCCCTGCCCCAGCGCCAGCGCGTCGACAACCTGGGCCGCTTCCGCGCCGCCGCGGCCCGCATCCTCGTCGCCACGGACGTCGCCTCCCGTGGTCTGGATATCCCCGAGGTCGGGCTTGTTATCAACTACGACATACCCCGCAACCCGGACGACTACATCCACAGGGTCGGTCGTACGGCACGTGCGGGACGCAAGGGTGAGGCGGTAACATTTGTCGGGCAGAGGGACGTTGAGCTCGTGCTGGCGATTGAGGCGCGTGTCGGGCGGGAGATGGAGGCCTGGAAGGAGGAGGGTGTCAATTTGGAGACGCGCGTGCTGCGGGACGCGCTCAAGCTCGTCAGCGAGAAGAAGAGGGAGGCGTTGTTAGAGTTGGAGGAGGGGAGGGAGGTTGGTGGCAAGAGGAAGAGGACGAAGCAGAAGCTCAATGCTTGAAGGGTGGGAAGGAAGGAAAATTTGTCCTTTTGAGTGGGCATCTGCATTATGGCGTAGTGGTGGCATGGTTGATTTGAGTGGGATAGACAAAATAATACCCAATACACAAAAGTCTGCGAGACCTGACAAAGACGCTGCGATTCTCATGTGATGTCACTTGCTGATGGCTTGACCAAGTGAGAGGAGCTCTTCATTGTGATGTATCCTCAAAGGGAACTAGCCAGCAGGTGGAATGGTATTCTTGATGTCGGGTTTACGTTGCTGAATAGAAGCAATAGCTTACATAAATAGCACATCACAGCCACCTTCAGTTTTCAGCAACGACCCTTGGTGGTTGAAATGAGAGTATGTCTTCATCAGGTACACGGAAATACTCATTAGCCCTCTTTTCTCAGTTTCTATAATGTGGATAATCTCTGTTGCGCATCCAGCATGAGGATAACCTTATGATGAAGAAAACGACTTGTGGCAAGGCAATCCATCAAAAGGGGGCAAGGAGTGCAGGTTCAACGTAGGGGATTGTCTATAGTGTAGTAGATAATGTTACTGCTTGTCCGTGCAAAAGTTACAATTACAATTCACAACATGGGCGGACTCTTTCATACCTTGACTTTGACGTTGAACTGGGGAGGCGTCTCGATGTATCCACCTCACTTAAAACAAGGGGATTCGTGTGCCTTTGGCATTCTCAAACAGCTTTGTACTGACAAGACTAGCTAGGCATCCATCTCGCCCCGTACCTCCAGCAGCCTATGTATAACTAAGGTATAGAAAGAAAGCGATCGAGCTGCTAATTCGCTCACGATTCCCCCAGCATCTGGATACTCAGAAAAAAAAGGGGCCGGCTTAGCTGGTTTGGGAAGCACTGGTCCGACACAATGACCATTCTCCCCAGTCTCTTTGCCTCTGACAAATAGGCCAAGCTGGCCCCTGGGGCCACTGGCAGAACGATCAAAGTCGATCGGGTTCGTCAACCTCCTTCTTCTGTCTAGAATCGTCGTCTTCGTTCCTGGCCGTATTCGTGACTATGAAATGAGAGAGAGTGAGGGGGCGGGATGTGTGGGGGCTCGCCTTTAGATGGACAGAATCTGTGTGCCGCTTTGGTCCAAATCTTTATAGGGTGCCGATGCTTATCCTTATTTCAACGGCTGACTCCCAAAGTCTTGAGACCTACAAAAGCACGAAGACCAAGACGACTGAATTCGTTGATATGAAAGACTGCACAGGTTCCGCACAAGTTATCTGTATATAATAACCTCCTTGTACCTAGTTGCCTGGGCCCAAAGCGCTTCACAGAAATCTGATACACAGTATGATCACACAACACCGGTAAATACTCATACGACTCATGAAAAGTTGGGATGTTGCCTGGCGATGTTTATCCTTGTTTGGCCGACTTCGTGGGACCGGTTATATACGAGAACCTGCAAGGCCACTGCGACCATCTTTGGCATGAAAGACTATATGTATGACTCTCACACAAGCATGCTTCATATATGTGACAAAACCCAATAGCAGATATAGCAGATATGGCCAAGAAAAGCAGTTCAATCGTTGAGCGGCACGAATTACGTAAGGATATGTAGCTTGTAGTAGAGCTAGATCCATGCTTCTTGCGCAAGAGGTAATAATTATCAAGATAAAGGTAACACAATATTGACTCAAAGGACCGAAGTTGATCACGAGCTGCCGCACTTTACAGGGTCTTTCCTGTATATAGGCACGGCGGTGCGGACATGAAAAACTCACAAAAGAAGTTTTAGGAGACTCGGCGAAGCGGTCTGGGCCCCGGGAGGTGCTTCGATCTTGGAGATAGAAAAGCTATAAAAGTAATCAGCATCACAATGTGATTGCCTGCCTCTCAAGTGTTGACTGACTGGCCATACCGCAGCAATTTAACCCCCTATTTTGCTCTATTTCAGTATTTCCAAAGGCGTACTAGCCTGGAATCTGCGCAGAGACTGGTAGTAAGAAGATTTGGGCATCTGGTGCATGGGGTTTCAAATAGCACTCATCCAAGCCCTCATACGTCCGTCAGAACGAGCCCTGTATGTCCTTTAAGACAACGTCTCATCGTAGGGGAAGCGTAGCGAGGAAGTCCGACAGCCTACTCAAATTCCAGAGATAGTCTAGGTGGTATTTGTCGTCTCCCTGGCTATGCCGAAGAGGCATGCCAATTGCTCGGACAAGCTGCCATGGTTTGTCAACAAACGAAGAGAATTGGCAGCTTTCCTCTACCATATTTAATGTTCATCTATTTATGCTTGCTCAGGTACACGCTGTAGATTGTGAAACATTGGCAATCTTTGGAACATCGCTTCAGCATGCGAGATTTCAGGCACAAAATTATTTCTAGAGCGCATTGGGGGACAGTCAGTCTGATATTGCACTGGGGAATCTCCAGAACAGGGAGGACGGGGATACAAATCTGGCTGCTTTGGCCCACAGATGGGATATAAAGCATGCCTCATGGCGCGCACACGTACCTATACTAGCTGAAGATATAAGTATTTTCGACACTGTCTCACTGTTAGAACGGGTTTGTGAGAGGACGCCATTAATTGTTTCATCTTCAAAGATTCATCACGGTGCAGGTGCTTCCTTGGAAACTCCGCAGAGAACCAATCGTCAGCGGCACTTGTAGACTACAGCGATGGGGGGGAGGCGGTTAAGTTACTCGGCCTCCTCGTTGCAACGATGCAGGTACCATAGATGAAAGAACCCCCGCTGCGAGGGAGTACGAGGCTATGGCTTGCTAGGGCATGCCATGTTCTACATGGATACGCACAGTTCAAAGCCATTGGAGCATCCAATCTGGTGGCCATCCTCGAAGCAGAGGCTGACACACTTGTACAATGTGAAGTTCAGGCCAGGCTATACGTGCGAGAGGAGAATTTCTGAAGCAAGGCATAAGCCGACTGGAAAATCCAACTCCAGTGTACGGGAGAGAATCTGTGACGTAGACGCTAGAGTGCAGTATCATAATGTCTCTGTACCTGGTTCTCAACCTGGCGAAAGGACGGATGCGACTAGAAAAAAATAAGAAGGATAAAAGAGTCCACCGTCGATTGCTGCCCGGTGTGCTTGTGATGTATTCTCTCCATTATTTGCAAAGAGCATTCAGTGCCGGGTCCCATTTCCGCCGTCGATGACACATATCGCAATCACCCATCGATCAACCACCTACCTTGGCGGCCCCTGCAACGGAACTCTCAAGATCATCCGTGTAACTCGGCTGGTCTCATCACAAGAAACAATTCATAATCCGACAACCTCCGGCAGCAGACTTACTACGTCGCCAAGCAGGCAGGCCCGCCAGCCAGCGGGCGAGGATGAAAATACGACAGTCATACATGTCTCATCTATTAGGAACGAACGATGTGTGGCCAGCTCTACAATTGGAACCCCAAATACTCTACTTTCGTGGTGACCTGCCCTCATTGGTCGGATGCCAGGCACAAAGCCGAAACGTTACACACCAAAAGTAGTTGTATTCCCGACAACCAGGAATCAGACACGGGAGATGGTTAGCCTCGTGTACCAAATAAGTAACGGACACACCGCAGGGAGAGACCGCGGAGCTGGCCCGGTTCGGGTGCCCGACTACTCGGCAATCCAGCTTCGTGATGAAGAGGAATATTTGCGACGCTGCAGTTTGTTTACTTTTTTTTCACTTTTTTTATCCTTTTTCTTTTTTTACATCGATTCTCGATTCTCATTTTGATGGGCCCCGGCAGGACTTCTTTGTGATTCACTTCTCTCGGACACGGGCCTCGTCCCCTGGAGACAAATTGAGTACAAACCAGGGGCGCTCTGAAGCAAGAGGTCTCATGTAGTCGAGAAGAAGAAACCCCGACATGGTTCTGATCCAGGTTCGCGGAGCAGCTCGACCAATCCACATTCCTTCCGACCCCTGGCAGCTGAGCTCAGCTGAGCTCAGCCAAGCCAAGCCAAATCTGTCCGGCTGCGAGACGTCTCGGGATAGATCTCTCTTTGCAAAACACAGCAGCCTAGGTCGTATGTGGATCCCGCACCGTCTTTGCGTCCCGCGTCCCCGGCGATCACAAAAGTCGAGAGACAGGTCCGACAGCGGGACGCTCCCCGGTGTTGAAACGCGGTTCAGACGAGCCAAAGACCGGGGTTCAGAACGCTTCACGAGCCACGGCGGTTTGGAACAAAGGCTGCTGTCACCGTCTCTGCACCAAAACCCGAGCCGCATGGGCTTAGCGATGTCAGTTTCATCGGCGCCAGGCTTGGTGAGAGATATCTCCGTCCTCTACCAGACCATCGCCGAGAAAAGACCATTCCCTACCGCGTCGAATCCCGTGTCCGTCATCCCACCCCCCCTTCCCAATCCCTCTTCTCATCTGTCATCTATTCCGTCCCATACCTATTTACAACCACGCCCCTCGATCCACCTGCTTACAATTCTCAGTTTCTCCACGTGGGCGTGTGGCTGAAGAGATTTCCAAGCAACGGAGATTCTAGACCAGGAAAATGCCCCACACAATTGGGCGGAATTCGCGAACCAATGAGAAAAATGACTTGCAGCTGTTGTATTCGTAGTGTAGACGGGAAGAGGGAAAAAAAAGGCTGAAAAAAAAATTTGGTAGAAAAATTTCCTTGCGAATATCCACCATGAACGACGGATCCACCTCCAGTCACCACTTTAAGCTCGGAGTGCCTGCCCGATGGAAAGCGGTTCGGTCTAGCTGACGTCGAGAATACGTGGAAAATGCTTGTGAAGAAGTGGAAGCAAAAAAAAAATCTTCATCCTAGCCAAAAGTGCCAGAATCCACTTGTCGTTGCTTGTGAAGATCCACCAGTCCGCTTCCGCGCGTGTGGTATCTCCTACTCTCAAGAAACGAGTGAATGGCAAAGGGACAAGAAAAACTTCGTCGCGTGGCTCTGGGTCTCCGTCCTCTCCTGGTTGGACGCCGTGGAGATGCGTGCCTGGCCCCCTCTGAGGCTTTGACAGCCATGAGCCCTGTCGCACATCA